TGCTTTTTAGAGATCCAAGACACAACACAATTAAAGATTTTAAAAACATATCCAGTTGTCGATTTTCTATCTTGTAAATCTCCTGCCCAGTCCGAATCTACGTAACCTTCAATAATAGCTTCATTATCATTTTTAACAAAAACTAAACCTAAATCTATAGTTCCTTTAAGATATCGTAAGACCCTTTTGATAGCAATCCATAATTCTTCAGTAGCACATGACTGGTAACGACTTAATATTGAAATACTATTTGCTAAATCTGGTCTTGTTGCTAACATACAATACATAATAGCACCAATAGCTTTTCTACACTTTAGCTCAATGGTTTCATTTTCAGAATTATTTAGTTTTACTAAACTGTTCTTAACATTTTGGTCCATCGGTGTGGACACAGCCCTACAATCATACATGTCGAAACTTTTAAGCATCGTTGCTATATACTCAGATTGGTTTAGAGTAGTACATCCAACATTTTGAATTAAATTTATACCCAAATAGCATTTGGCTATTCCTAAATCTTTCACCTTAAAGCTTTTCTTTATGAAATTTTTAACTTTCAGTAGCTCCTTTTCATCTGTAGACATTATAAGAAAATCATCAACATAAACTAAAAAATAAGTTTTAGTTGTAGAACTTACTTTAACATAAAAACAATAATCATTTTGACTAGCGACAAAACCATATTTGCATAACGTTTCGTCTAATGTATCGTACCAATATTTAGGAGATTTTTTTAAACCGTACAGAGCCCGATTTAGCTTGCATACTTCATTTGGACCTACATTAAAATTTTTAGGTACACTTACATAAACAATTTCATTTATCTTTCCATTAAGAAACGCAGTGCACACATCCATTTGATGGATGAGAATACCCAGTTGGATGCTAACAGCAACAAACATTCTAAATGTGGTGAGTTGTGCAACAGGTGAATAAACCTCTGATGGCGAAAGGAAAACTGCTTGTTTAAAACCACGGGCTACTAACCTTGCTTTATACAATTCACTTCCATCTTCTCCTTTCTTAATTTTATAAAGCCATTTTGTGTCGATTGGCTTACAGCCATCTGGTTTTTCGACAACAGTCCAAGTTTCATTTTCTGCAAGAGACTCAATCTCTTTTTTCATTGCGCTAATCCATTTATCAGCTTTGCTGCTGTTTATAGCCTCTTCATACGATTGCGGTTCATAGACGTCCGCAAAATGTAAGACACTATACATTTCATACTCACCATATCGCTCGGGTTGGTGAATATTGTTTCTGTCTCTCAGAACCATTTTTTCTGCTTGTAAATCTTCATTGTTATTTATTTCGATCGTTTCTTCTTGATTGCTATTTTCACTATGGTTTTCTTTTTCTTCCTCATTTTCTGAACTATCTTCGTTAAAAATTACAATCTCTAGTTTTTCGTGACGTACTCGGTTGATCTATTATTTTTTTATTTGTTAAAAACAATACGTCTCTTGATACAACAACGTCATCCATTTCTGATACATAGATGCGATACCCTTTTGTGTTTTCTTCATACCCAACAAAAATACCAATTTGGTTTTTCTGATCCCATTTTTGACGAATTTCACTAGGAATATGATATGAAACGCGATCACCGAATACCTGAAAAATGTTAAAATCGATAGATCTATTTGTCCATAGTTCATATGGGGTTTTTTTCTCTACGGAACTTGTGCCAGTTCTATTTAATACATAAACAGCTGTATTTACAGCTTCCGCCCAAAATCTTTTACACATTGACTTAGCTTTCAGCATAGTTCTAGCGGCTTCTACAATAGTACGCATATCCCGTTCAGCTCTCCCATTTTGTTGAGGCGTGTATCTTACTGACCTTTGATGTATAATACCATGATAATTTAAAATGTGTCTTACCTCGTTGTTAACAAATTCCAAACCATTATCCGTCCTTAAAATTTTGACTTTATGTCCAGTTTGATTTTCTGCTAATTTGATGTAATTTTCTATGCACTTTTTGACTTCAAATTTATTCTTGATAAAATATATTTTTCTATAATTACTAAAATCATCTTTCATCAAAAGAAAATATTTTGAATTACCTATTGATGTAACTTCCATTGGTCCGCAAAGATCTGCGTGTATTAGTTCGCAGGGTAATTTCACACGACTTTCACTACGCTTAAAAAGATCCCTATGTTGTTTACCAGCACAACAACTCTCACAAATAGAATTTGAAATATTTTTGTAAGTTATACCGTGCTCTGTCAGAATATTTTTGATTTGTGTCAAATTTTGATGTGCAAGTCTTTCATGCCAGTCATTCAAATCAAGAACAACGTTACACGAAACAGGTTTGTCGTATGAACGAAAAATCATTTTAAAAAGATTTCCACACCTTTCAGCAATAGCTCTTACAGAGTTGTTTGAGTCTAATATTTTACATAATTTATTATTTATAGTGGTATAGTAACCTTTGTCAACAGCCTTGCTTACCGAAAATAAATTTACCTTTAAATCTGGTACATATAAAACATCCGACATAGTAGTTTTTATCCACACTTTACCGTTATAAGCTTCTAAAGTAACACAACCGATTCCTTTAACAGGTAACATAGTCCCGTTGCCAATTTTGACTTTCTTCAGATCTCCAATAGTCATATCTGTAAAAACATCCTTACTTCTGCACATGTGTTCCGAAGCTCCAGAATCCATAAACCATTCAACTAAATTTTCATCTGTTGTTCCTACAAATGCGTTGGCATTTTGACCACTTACGTTATTCGCATGGGCATTATTAAATCTGTTATTTGCCTTCTTGAGCTTAAATCTGCATTCATTTGCATAGTGGCCGAACTTTCCACAGAAATGACATTTGACATGTGATTTGCAGAACCGTGTTTCATGACCAAATTTACTACATTTTTGGCAAGCTTTACTAGTAGGATGTACCTTTGACGAATGAGATCTAATTGCTAAGGCTTGAGTCGGTTCATTTACATTTAATCTCCTTTCTTCTATTAGCAGCCTCGACGTTAGTTCACTGAGCGTTTGGTTTTCTTGGGATACTGATTCCCATGCAGAAACAAAATGTTGGTATGTCGTTGGTAGTGACGTTATAATTTTTGTTATCATCATGCTTTCGGAAATACTTTCTTGGGTTTCTTCAAGATTATTTCGGATTTCTTCTAATTTAGAAATAAACATACTAATGCCCTCATCTTCGTACTTTATAGTGAAAAACTGTTGCTGCAGTAGATGTTTGTTAATATTTGTCTTGGGCTCAAAAATAGATTTTAATTTGGTGAACATCTGATATGCGGTTTTACATGCTAAAATTAAACTCATCGTTCCTTCTTCTAGTCTCGTAATAATTATTTCCTGGGCTTTCGCATCTTTATTCAAATAATTCTCATCAGCTTCAACTTTTTCGATCATAACATGCGCGTATAGTTGTTTGGCTTTTAACAATATTTCTATTTGAAATTTCCATAAAACATAATTGTTTCCATTACCTTTTAGTTTGATAAAATTGGCCTCCATTTTGAATTTTTTCCTTGCTTAATCTGCCCTCTCGTCTTTAATAAAATCGTCCGTTTTATAAAACGTAATTGACTATCTGGTGGTATTTTCAATTGCCCATAACCTGTGAGAATCCACCAAAATGAAACTACCGAGAAGTATTTTAACACATAAAAGATATTTTTATTTTAGTCCATAGGTTCCTTTTATTAAACTCACAATGACATAGATTTTAATTTAGTTATAATAGACAAAACATTTATAATCGTAATAAGGTTTTATTACAACCTTCAACAATATTCATAATTAAATCATCTTAATAAACATTCAGCAATTAACAAGAAACGTCTGCTCTAAACGAACAGCAAGGTTGTAACTTTAAATTTCAAATGTCAAAGACACGTACAGTTATTATATTGCTACTGATCTTGCATGTCGACGGCGGACGTTGAGCCATGTGTTAAGTTAATCCGTACGGCGGGTTTGTTCTTTTTGGTTCTTACAATAATATTGTTAATAATAATTTGAATTCCTACACAACCTACTCTAGAAATCCGTTTTATTGAAATATATTATTTACTAAGTAACTAGAGTTGTTATGGTCTCTTAAAATCTCTGCGGTGGTATCGTGTGCGTTAGGTGGTTACGATCCCTCAAATATAGTATAGTTGAGTTGTTTAGTTGAAATTAAAAAAGCAGCCCTTGCTGAGTTTCTTGCCGTTTCTTGTCAGTAAGAGATCTCCCGCCTTAGTTTTGCGAACCATTGGTAAAGTTTTCGACTTTCACAAGTACTATGTAACAGTCTAGATTGAATTGATTTTGATATTTATATTAATATCATTCGTTTTGTGGATGCATAATGACACTTCATCTTCATCATCATTTTTGTTCTCCATTCCAAACCTGAATTCGACGAAAGTTACGAGCAACCAATAAGTTGGCTCATCACTAATGTTGACGTATCAACCAATTATAGTTTGAAAGTGAGACATTATAAAAAACACAAAACGATGTCATATTTAGTAATCGAAAATACTCAATTTACATTTATTACGTCAGAAATAAAATTTGAATGAATATCATAAACAAAATCCAAAACTCGCGAGTGACATCTAGTATGATTTCAAGAACTAATTTTTATTTTTTAAATACTTCCTCATTGACATTGGCAGAATTGTGCGAAATGCGCAGATAAGCCATATACATTAATAAAATAAATAAGAAGAAAGTATTATCCATAGACCTCAGACCAAATACTTTTTATTTGGTCTGAGCCGTAGACTCTTTATCCCACGTTTATCCCCCATTTTATTTGCTCGGGGAACGAATTAAAAAAAAAAAATATTTGCTTGTTCGAAGTGCAAATTTCTTTTTTATTTAAAAGTTTCGGTAGACTGATTCGTAAAGTGATTTCATTTTCATTTTACATGTAGAAACTAATTTATTTACTTGACATTGGCAGAATTGTGCGAAATGCGCAGATAAGCCATTAATAAAAGAAGAAGAAGAAGAAGAAGATTCGTAAAGTCTGTTGTATGAATATTTCATAGATTTTAACAAGCATAATGCTGAAATTACGAAATTTGGAACATTCCCTATTAAATGAAAGTATAATAAAAGTTCTTTGCAATAGTCGTATCATAACCATTTTGGATTTTCTAAATGAAGATGTAGAAAAGATTTGTTCTACAACTAAGTTGACTGTATCCCAAGTCTTGGAAATACGGAATTATATATTTCAAAGATATTCAGCACCTGTGTTCAATGGATTAACATTATTAAAAAGACATTGTAATGGTAATAATTATTTAAACACTGGAATAGAGAGGTAAACAACTTATAACAAAATAATATTTAAAGTAAATATTTATTACAAAATCGCATCTTAAAACACAATGATTATTTAAACAATGGAATAGAGAGGTAAACAACTTATAACAAAATATTTTAAGTAAATATTTATTACAAAATCGCTTACACTGTTCAAAATGAAAAAAATAAATACCCCAAAATGCATCAGGCTACTGAGGTTAAACAACTTCTCAAAATTATATGGATTTCATAACAATATTTACACAATTCAGTTACTTCTTTTGCAGTTTAAATACAATGTTAAGTGGTGGATTACCAAAAGGTCACATTACTGAATTATGTGGACTTGCCAATTCAGGAAAAACTCAGTTTTGTCATCAATTGGCTATAAATTGTGTAAAGGAAACTGAAAATATAGTTCTTTATATTGATACCAAAGGAGATTTTTCATCAATAAGAATTCAACAAATTTTAGATTCACATAAAAAATCATATAAGGTATGAAAAGAGATTTTTAAAACTTGCAATAAGTAATTTAAATTCTAACAATAAGACAGATTAGAAATTAATGACAACTACTACTTTTTATACATAAAATCTATATTAGTACTTTTCTGTAAAATATTTTTTTACAGGAAATGGCTGAAATAATGTTTAGAATAAAAACTGTTAGAATTTGGATAATGGAAGAGCTCATAGAATTATTACAGAACATAAAAAGTGGTGCACTTGTCTTGAATAAGTTATCTTTGATAATAATAGACTCACTACCCACTCTGATGTTCCAACATCTTGGTGATGAAAGTAAAATAGGTAGATTTCTTCTATAGATATTATGTTTAAATAAATAATGTAATATTCATAATTTCTAATATTCTTATTTACAGGTCTGGCCCTCTTGAATAAATTTGTGAATTATTGTAGATTTTTATGTCGTCACTTGCAATTATGTGTCGTTTGTGTCAACATCCTGACCAGATGGCTGGATCAAGATGTAGAATTAGAAGGTAAACATAAAATAAGCATATTTTATTAAATTTATTGAAACAAACGTCAAGGTTACAGTAGACTCTTACTTTTTAAATTTACTATACTTTTAGATGAAAGGAATCAACAGCAGTATTCATCCATATTACATGAATCCAGTTATGTAGAAAAACAAAACCGTTGTTTGGGTAAATACTGGCAGCAAATACCATATCAAGTATTATTTTTGGAGTTGAAACAATTGCAAGACAAGAAAGAATTTGAAAATATTGTGAAACAGCTAACTATAAGTGTTTTAGGAACTAATAACAAAGTATCAAAACAGTGTCTTGTAACATTAAGCACTACTGGTGTTAGTTGAGATAAATATGAATTACATTGTCATTGAAATAATAGTTATTTAAAATTACTTAAGTTAAAAAGGTAATACAGATTTTTAGAAATTTTATAACTACACCCACTGAGGCATACAATCAGTGCTGCCAGAACTTTGTTTTCAAAAGTTAGGTAACATTGAAATAAAACATTATATGATTTTTAAAATTATATTTTCAATAAGTAACTAAAAATTATCAGTTTTATTTACATAGTAATCCAAATATTTTTGTAAGACAAACCCGAAATACCAAATCATCGTTAAAATAATAATAGTTCATAAATCAATTGACATGAGAATGAATGTTTTTAGCATACTTTCACCCCCATTTTTGTAGCCTTGATACATCGGTGCTAGACGTGTGCGCCGCGCCGCGCCGATGACCGACGCCGCCGATCATGACACGCCGCCGCTGACCGGCTCGAAAGACCGGCGTAAACGGCGCGGTATGACACGAACTGCGAGTATCGTTCTTTCGTACATAGTGCATTCTGTGCGGCACGTGTTAATTCCGTTTCGTATTTCCATATTTAGTAAAATTTTAATGAATACAAAAGTAAAGTCAATGAACAGATGCAAACAAATAAACAATCGAATCTTTCTTCTTTAATTACAGCTGTCAATCTTGTACAATTAATGTAGCACTCGTTTTCAAGATAAAGTTGGCAGAAATAAAAAATTCAATACTTACTCTTATTTGTCTACTATAGCTAACCCGTTACAAGCACACCTAGCGAACATGTATTCTTTGTAGCTGGCCTTACTAAAACGATTAAACGATTGCGTCTAACTGGAAATAATATCAATAAAATAATTTCTATACGTGATAACTATTAGGTTGGGGAAAAAGTCTTTTCGTATATAGTATGCATAAAGTTGTACTAAAATCTTTCTGGCTATACCATTTCTATATGGCTGGTTGCGGCATTATTAAAAAGTTCAAATTTTAAAGAAGATTTCGAATTCAAATTAAGAAAATGTGTGATTTTCATTTGTTTTTCTAAATGGTGATAAAAACTAGATCACGTACGACAAGGACATGCGAAAAAAATCGTGGTCAAAGGTCGGTCAGGCTTTTTAGACTATGGCGAAATCTGGGTTAGCTGGCAAAAAGGTGATGCTGTTTGTATGGTGGAATTGGAAGGGTATTATTCATTATGAGCTGTTACTGTCAGGCAGCATCATCGATTCTGAACTCTACTGCGAATAACTGATGAGATGAAAGCAAGAAGTTGCGAGAAAGCGGCCAGAATTAATCAATAGAAAGGGAATGGTTTTTAAATAAATTAAGAGTTTGGCTGGAAGGTAGAAGTAGAAGGTAGACGCCCCAAAATTTCTATACCAATGGGATCATGTTCCTACCTACAAGATGGCAAAAAGTTATCGAACAAAATAGTACCTTCATCTTGTTGTTTAACATCATTATGACTATGTTACATAATTTTGAAGAGTATAGTTGCGCCATATTTGTTACTTAAAAGGTCTTATTAATTTAAGTAGCTTTTATATTTGTTATGTCAATAAAGGCATTCTGAATTATTAAAATTTTAATTTTCCATCATTTGACATAACGACGCCGTTTACGCCGCCATTTACGCCGCCGCCATTAAATTTTTAGTTCCACGCCGCCGCCGAAGATTTCGGTATCGGCGCACATGCCTAATCGGTGCACATTACCTTATGGCAAATTTCTCCAGTTGATTGTGGAGAAATTGACGGTTTTGTATAACCTAACGTGCTGTAGACTGTACATCTAAGAAAATAAACATCTTTGTGTTGTATTTTTTGTGTTATTAATAGAATCGAATAATGACGTTATTGACTTTCTTCTGTTTCTTCGAATACAATCATTAATAATTTATCCGGAAAATCCTTTTCTCTCAAACTTCGATGATATGTCTGGCGCCCGAATAAGCCTCGCTAGCATTCGCTAGAATTGTCTACGCTATGGTTTTATCCATAGACAATACATAAATATGTCTGGTAGCTTTAGTCAAAGATTACAATATGTTTTAGTACTTAGTCTATGTTTATCTCTTTCACTCTGTCTGTATCTGTAATAATAACCTCAAAATATACGTTTAATAAATAGTTATCTTTTATATTGAAAGTTTTATTTGTGTATAAATAAACCTTAGATATATATTCTATTTTAAGGCAGACTTCTTAAGTAAGTGTTATATTGTTAAGTTTATGTGTTTTACGTAGTATGGTAACCATAAAAACAGTTGCTTATGTAACTCTTTATCTTATTATTTTTACGAGGTTTAGCTGTCTTAATTAATTGCCGCGTGTAGACGATGATTAACGTCGTATCAGTAAAATAAAAACATCTGACTTTTCATATATTTAAATACTTCCATTGTCTTATAAAAATAAACATCTATTCGGAAGCTACTTGGTTTATTTTTTCAGAATCAGAATGACGCAAACCTAGCAATGTCGTACATAAAGGTGCTACATTGCACATTTTGCCTAAAACATGGAGCTTCAGGGCTTTCAGCAAAGTCTGTGCTTTTCAAAACAGAGGTAAATAATCAATAACTTTGTCAACTTAATAAATACCTTTCATTAGATGATCTTAAAATCTTACTATGTCTAATTTGCTACTTTCATTCATTTACAGAATGGCACATTTTCCCAACACATTGCAAGGATATCAACCTCACAATGTTGGAATAATAAAGCACTTACAACACCAATTGTAAAAAAAGGCAAAAATGTACCACAAGACACAAGGCTATGGAAAGAAATGCCATCTTTAGATAGAAAAAACAATGTAGGACAATACTGTATGATGTTGTCTAAATTTCGATTAACCTGTAAGTGTAAAATTATCTTATATGGTTAGAAATTATTGAGTTAATTATTGGATGTACTGTAATAACTTGCTTTAACTGAAGCTGCTATTATTACTACTACTAAATAGTTGTTAAAACAGAGATTGTTAGAAATGAAATCTACTCTATTGTTCATTTTTAATGTTTTAGCTCTAGTAGTAATGACTTCAATGGCGGGTTATGCTTTGGCACCAGCACCATTTGAGTTGACAACATTTGCACTGTGTGCAGCTGGCACTGGTCTTGTTTCTGCTGCTGCAAACTCTATCAACCAGTACCATGAGGTTCCTTTTGATGCCCAAATGTCCAGGACTAAGAACCGTGTACTTGTGAAGGGCTTACTCGAGTAAGTTTTAAGTTTAATTTATAACAAAGTAAGTAAGCAAACATTGTGCTTGCTTGCAAAGCAAAACTTGTATAATTGTTCTTTAGAGCAGAAAATCTTTTTACAGAAAAATTATCTTGCGAACATCCATCGTAATATGCAGGCGGGATGATAAATAGCTAGCCTAACCCATATTGTGTATAATAAAGATATAAAATCTCCTTAGTATTTTACTCATTGGTATTGATAGTATAGTTTTTCTTTTAAATATTGACATTTCAAAAAGCATTCTTTTGTTTTTTCTGCAAAATGGATAAAATAGAGCTACAAGCTGTGATAAAGTTTTTGCATTTAAAAGGATTAAAAGGTGGAGAGGTTTTTTCGGAATTGAAGGATGTTTTGGGAGAAAGTGCTCCTTCATATGTGTCCATAAAAAATTGGGTGGCTGAATTTAAACGTGGCCATACCAGCACCCAAGATGAACTTTCTCTGGAATGTCCAAAAAGTGCCACTACTCCAGAAATTGTGATCAAAATTCATGATGCAGTTTTAGCTGACCAAAGATTGAAACTTTCCGAGATAGCTGTTACTGTAGGCATCTCTAAAGAACGGGCGCATTACATTTTGACTCAAGAATTATGTATGAAAAAATTATTCTGCTGCATTACTTACAGTTGACCAAAAACGCGTTCACAAGAATGTTTGGACTGCTTTAAGAGCAATACAACTGATTTTCTGCGACAGTTTGTTACTACAGACAAGACTTGGGTTCACCACTATATACCTGAATCAAAAATTCAGGCTAAACAATGGACGGAAAAGGGATCCCCGGCTCCAAAGGAAGCAAAAGCTGTGAAATCAGTGGGGAAAGTCATGGCGTCAGTATTTTGAGATTCGAAGGGTATATTGATGATTGATTACCTTGCAAAAGGACAAAACATAAATGGCGAATATAATGCAGATCTACTGGATAAATTACAAGTGTGTATTCGTGAAAAAAAATAATCATTCATCAGGATAATGCGCGCGTTCACACGCATCACTGCGATAGCGAAATTCAAAGAATTAAATTATGATTTGCTACCACACCCAGCTTATTCTCCTGATCTGGCACCATCTGACTTTCATCTATTCCTTAAGCTCAAAATTTTTTTAGATGGACAAAGATTTGAAAATAATAGTGAGGTAATGTCTGCCATGGACAGTTATTTTGAAGGGCTTGAAGAAACCCAGGGATGGTATCAAGGCTTTAGAGCATAGGTGGATGAAGCGCATAGCGCTTCAAGGAGACTGTCGAAAAATAAATATACTTTTAACTAATTTAAGTTTTTCTATGCTAGGCTAACTATTTATCATCCCGCCCTCGTAAAACATGGCAACCATAAGTACATTAATATGGAAGTTAGAATTAAAAAAAGTTTTTCTGCTCTCAAGAATAAATTTGGTTCTGCAGTTTAGTTTTGATGTGTTTTATTTGTAATTCCTATTTTTACTATTATTGCTAGTACAACAACTTTACAATTCAATTATGAAAAAAAAATTTAAACACTGTCATACTACTTAATTTCAATCTCATTAATGTTCTAATGTACTTTACCTGTGTGAACTATCTAGTCTCATTATTCCTTTTCAAAGTGAAAAGGAACTCCACATTAAAGTTGACATTTCTGCCAAAAGCCCTTAATATTCATGCTCGTGACATTATTTTTTTTTTGTTGCACTAGTCTGAACTATGTATGAAGCTTCAAAATACAATATTTATTTCAGACCCGTCCATGCAATAGGTTTTGCTGCTGCAACTAGTACCACTGGTCTGAGCTTACTGTACTTTGGGGTGAACCCTCTCACTGCTGCATTGGGTGCTGGCAACCTTATCCTTTACACATCTGTTTACACTCCAATGAAGAGGATGTCCATACTCAATACCTGGCTGGGCTCTGTTGGTGAGTAAGCTTTCTCACTTCTTGTTTGGTGCCATTTAATGCAACTTGGTAATGTATAGTCTGATATAATTCTTCATTTTATTGTAAACCTTAATTTAATTTCATTACAGTACAAAATTTTGCTATTTCTAATTGTTCATAGCAGCCTAATGTGCTCTGTGTGCCTATTCATTCAGTTTTATTTATCCTCTTAAAATGCATTCTATAACCCATTCTAGGATATGTACTTGTACATACCTCGTTGCTCTATACTTAGGTATTTTTTTCTAAATCTCGAAATTTACTCTAATAGGTACATCAGTAAGTTTAAACTACATATCTGAAAAAAGGTTTTGGTTCAGATTATGAGCAGGCAGGCATCAACCCAATAACAATCTCAATTTGATCTAATCTTAGCTTGTAGTCTTGAAACATAGACTCAATACTTACTCAATGTTAATTAGTTCATTCAATAACCACATAATGTTGAGCCAATTGGCGCTAGTGTACCAAATCAAGAGTACAAACTTTACAATAGGGTAGTTTCGGTAGTGGAAAATAAGTCACGAAATTGCACAAAAACTACAATTTACATCGTAATTAACAAAGAGATTCTGATTTTGAGTTTTAAAATCGCACGATTGTCTTATTATCTTAAAAGTAGTGATTTATTGTGTCTCACGTGACTTGAAACCCGCCATTGTGTGACGTCACTTTGGCGACGGGTGTCAGATTAGCCATAGAGATATGCTTAATAATTAGAAATATAATTCCTAGATGGCGCTATTCTAGCTTATTTGTAATATAAAGATATTATCTTTTTATTTATTAATCGATAGTTAAAAGGTAGTATCTTTTACTTTGTCATCTTTTAATCTTCTACTCTATGCATCCGTTTTATGTACATATCACAATGATTTCTTGAATATAACGGTCCTCTTTAGGGTATTAAAAAAGTTTCATTTGATTTAATTTTAAGGCAAGAAAACGTGTTAATTTTTCCGAAATATTTGTATTTTTTTGGGCTTTCTTTAATTAAGATAAACAGTTACAAGGAATAATTCAAACGTAGTAGAATACCCCACTGCAATGTTGATATGCATGCAGGTCAAGTTTAGTTATATTCGTTATGTCTCAACTGCGAGTTAAGTTAAGATCGTAACAGAGATGATGCCTGTAAAAAATAATTCTGTTTAGTCTGTCAGTCAGATAATAGAGTAATATTAGATACGTAATTTTTATTTTTGCTTCAATTCAACAAGATATAGTTTAGGTAATAAGTATTAAAGTTGAATAGAGAGGCTCTACGTCACAACTATTTAGAAAACGTACAAAGGTGTGACGTCATGCGACATTTCAACTTAATGTATCGGCGTAGTTTATTGATTGATTACGCAAAATATAATAAAAATACGAGTTTATTATCCTTTATAGTCTACCCGCCGGACAGATGAAACGAAAATTAGTCATCTTCCCTATTGTACCACACTAATTTTACGCTGTCATTCATACTTGGGGTCTTGGTTGGATCATACACTGGGTCAAGATTATGTTTGTGTTATGGTATCCTATTGTTTTAGATTTCCATTACAAAAGGGCTTCAGATACTTAGTTGAGATCAGAGCAATGTGTGTTATGTTAAAGTTTGTTTATTTTATTATTAAAGTGGGGGCTATCCCACCCCTAATGGGTTGGGCGGGATGCACGGGAAGTCTAGACGCGGGCGCGCTGGTACTGGGCGCGATATTATACTCGTGGCAGTTCCCACACTTCAATGCGCTCTCGTGGAACCTGCGGCCTGATTACTCGCGCGCCGGGTACAGAATGATGGCTGTCACAGACCCTGGTATGTTTACTTACCTTTGAAAAATCGTTTAGTCATTTTAAAAGAATAAGATTATGCTTTGATTTCTTTTTGTCTTCCTAATATTATAAAGTGAAAGAGCGTTTATAATAGAACTGCAAATATGTAGCGAGGTTTACTTTAAACTAGATTAGGTAATTGTATACTATAATTTTTGTTGTGGGTAAGTCAGTACAATATAAAGTACTTAAAACTCATGTTGATTTCAAGTATATTTAATTCAACATGCCATTACCCTCTAGGGTGCTGAATTAATTCTTGATCCGTTGGTCACTTATTTATTAGTTTGTTATGAAATAGGGACAAATAGTAAAGTTATTCGAAATTACGGTTTCAGACATAACAACTCTTTTGGCACAGCAGCGCCACACTCAAGTTTCGTTCGTTCTTGCAAGACGGTGGTGCTGCTTGCCTAACAGACACGTTTAAGAACTATTACTTTTAATAAAATTTTAACTTTGAATATTACTACCAACATACAAAAAACAGAGTTTATAAAACACTAAAATATGAAGTAATCTGAGCGAAACACTGGATTCTGGCGAAATCCACAAGAGCGACGCCATTAGTTAAAAATAAGAAGAATATAAATATCATTTTCAAGGATAAATCTTAATTATTCATCTCCTTTCAGCATTATGCAGAAGAGTTGCGCTACGGCATACTGGAATAATCACTGGTGTATGTCTCGCGTCATCATATTTCGAGGTCACCAACATGTGGTTCGCCCTCGAATCGCTACCATTGAATGTTTACTTCATGTACTTAGGTCAGTATACGTTATCTATTTAAATCTCGATACCTAACGCCCTTGGCACGTTCCTGTTTTTCTTGTTATATTTTAAGATAAGATATATATATTTTAAGATTACTGAAAAAAGACATTTATAATTTTATTGACCGCTGGCTTGCAAACCTCTTAAGAATTACTTTGAGACTGATATCCCTTCTTGTGAAAGTACCAGCAAAATATGTACAAGGAAAAATTAAATGCCAATATTGTACTGATTATTATGAAAAACTCTGCAGCATTATTTTTTATCTATAACTTGCATGCTAATAGTTTCACCGTGAGTAAACTAGACAATTTAGTTGTGCCAAACTTCTTTTTCTGCAATATGTACAGTCAACAGCATGTCACACTGTACGTAACTGTTAAATTACTCAATTAAGATTTTAAACCTTAACATCTTGAGTGTAGAGTACAAAATCACTTGCTGAAATATTGTGGTAGTCTATGTGCTGGCAGAACGTCAGGTACATTATGTACGTACATGAATCGAACGGGGAATAACGACTAGATTTCATCGGGAGTAACGAATAAACTCTTCACCCATCATCACCCATCCTATGACGGGTCAGAAGCAGCAGACAGAACCCACTTCTGACCATTACACTATCGAGCTCCCCATTTTATTTGTATTTGCCTTCAAATTTAAATATATTTATGTCAAAATCTTAATTTTGTATAATGAAAAAATACAATTCCCTCTTCCTCTATTACAAACACGTTTTCCTCTATTACAAACACGTTTTTCCTTGTAGGTGTTGAAATGCAATAACTGCAAAGTTTATTTCTATCACAAACAGATAAAAGATGGATAATTTTTAACATGCATAATTTTTTGTTACAGCTTGGCAGTTTTACAAGAAATCGGATAGTGCCAGTTCTAGAAAACTATTTAGATTCTCTCTAATACACTTGCCAGCATTGATGTTACTTATGCTAGTGAATAAGAAATATTGGAGCTCAAGTGATACCCAAGAGCAGAGAGACTCATCAAAGGCACAGGACCTAAACAAACTGCATGACACTAAAAGAATAACAGTATTACCCCGAGGTCCTATCGTCACTGCACAGGAGTCTGAAGCCGAATGATCTCTAAATCGAAGTAACTACAAGGATGTAGATAATTTATATTATTTTTGTTGTAAATAATGTACAATGTAATTATGTGATTCAATCAATTAGCTGGTGATGAAAGTTGATCAATCGTAGCTTTGTGATTCAGCATTATAATCACAGAACAGAGATAGTAAATTGACAGATATGTTACATATCTATTTTGTGTTAGTTTTACGTGACAAATAAAACAGTTAATTTAATATTGCATTCCTTCTTTTTTTAATAAAATATTTGAATATACTGATATTAATTTTCTTTGCTCTGTGGTTATTCGGCATTTTAATCAATGTTATATTGCTTTGTAGCAATAAATATGTTCCTTTAATTTATTATTGACAGAGGAATAAATGAAATTTCCAAATATTATTAAATCTTATAATTTAAATTACAATTATCGCTGGAATTATTGGTAATCTACATACATACATTACATTCAGGCAATCAGTTTTTGAACATTATGCAGACAGACACTAGATGTAAACTTAAGAGATTGATTCATAGACCGAGGTGAGGTCAGGAAAACCCGTTGTATCCACACATGACAACAATTTGTAAGACTTCGTTGTCTGCAGTAATTTATTTCCTGAAAGAGATAAAAACTCATAAACCTTCAAAAATAATTACAATATTTCCTGTTAAAAACTGAAAACAAAAAAGTAGACCATGCTTGAGTTTTATAAAACAGAATAATAAGAGATCATAGAAACCATGATAAAAGTTGAAAATAGCTATCTGTCTCATAACGCAATGGAATTTGCTTATAAAAGTAAATGGGATAACGAATCCCGTTTGATTCTTATTCAACTAGGTTGTCACTAGTGATTGTCAAACTGGTTGCAGATTTCGTTGCATTTACACTACTAGTTAAAAAGTCGATAATTCTCTCAATCTTGTATATATCAATGATAACTCGGTAGCATAATAGTGACATTATTAGTTACACGGTAATTGGTATATCTCTGAGAAAAAATTACAATTAATACAGTATTATTCAAAGAAAACTAACAGTGTTTGGGATAGTAAAACCTGAGAGTTAAAGGTCGTCAGTGATAAAAAATCTTGTGCAATCGTGGGGTGTAAGTCTCGCACGGGAAGAAAAAATACTCTAGAAACATTTCATCGGTGAGTTATGATTATTTTCGACTTTATTGAAATCAGTGAACCACATAAAACTTATACCTACTGTCGTAATAGCACGTGTTAGTAGTCTCCATTTCCAATTATCTAGCGATTTTTGCATTAAATTACAAAAGTTTTGTTTACATCTTAGAGGTTTATGTTTTTGCGTATAGTATACATTTCTATATCGATAACATAATTATATTCTACTATACTCCATTCATTATAGCATTAGACAGAAGTGAAATAAGGTTCTTTTTATGGTATACTTTGTGATAAAATATCAATAATCATGTTACTTTTAAGACTGACGGCAAATTTGTTACATATCCACTTAAATATCAGCTGCTATACTTAACTGTTGTCATTTAAGCTATCTATTAAACAAATTTATGAGTATATGACTAACTTTAATTATTTAATAACTATTACAATAAAAAGTGTTCATCGTAAAGAACCTAAAGAAGCAGGGTTGGATAGTTTCGGCACGATTCTCATGTCACTATAACTCTACCAAATTTAAAACGTTGCCTAACCCCTTCAAACGTTTCGGTAGTACAGCTTTTTAATTTTGTCAGACTATTATTTATTCATAATTGTTAAAATCGTAATCTGGGATTGTTATCCATTGTGAATGCTACTGCCTTTCTTGTTGTTTTCCGTGATGTTATTGTTTTATTTTTGTTGTTAAGTTTTGGTAAATATGGACGATGCCGGTACAGGCCCGAGTGGCCTACAAAAATTACGCTCTAAGCCCCAATACCTTCCCTCAAACTTTGACATTTCAGGGAGTTTTTCCAATGTCTTCATCAATAGTCTAACTTATTACATTTACAATTAGAATTTATCAAAACACACAGATAGTTTCAGTTTTAGTTCCATGTTGGCTTGGGACTAAAAGATGAATTTATAAAATGCTGGCCTCATCTCAACCCCGAGGTATCATAAAAAATGGAAAATTGCCCAGCTCTTTCAGACTACCTAACGTTCAAAGTTTCAACAAAACTAATACAGATTTTTTAAATTTATCTTCAAAATAAAATGTTCTGCACTGCTGCTTCTATGACCCTCTTTTTTTCTAATGTTATAGTGAAAGGAGTATACTATAATGAAAGGCATTAGGGACATAAAGTAGAGAACAATCTCAATAGTATTATAGTTGTCTATACTAATATTATAAATCCTCAGAGATACTGATACAATTATGAGATTTTTTCACCTGCGGAAAGCAACATCCTACACGGGTGACAAAGGCTATAATTTACGAGGGCGAAACCGGTGAAAAGGGTTGTTATATTTAATAAAGGAAAGATAAAATTCTAGTTCTCTGTAAAATAATAACAATTAATTTACGAATTAAAATGTTAATAATGATACAAACTATATTTTGCTACAGATTTCCGAAACTGAAGAATTGAAGCAACAATGGTTACAGCATTTAAGAAGACCGATTTTGACATCGACTAAACGCAGTCATGATTCTGCTCTAAAATGTATCTGAGAATTGATAATCCAAATGAAGTAGTGATTGATTGGAATCTTTGCACTAATTCAGATGCGAATCGTTAGAAGGATATGTTTTCGCAATACTTTTGTAAAACCGCGAGTTTACTGCTTTTTATTTAGGTATTTTTTATGTGATTGACAATACAATCATATTGATTAATTTGATCATACACACAAACAATGTTTTATTGCAACTTTCAATTTTTCGAGGAATCAAAAATATAAAATTAAACAAAATATTATTAACATTTTCATTCAATCATATCACGGACTGCATCTTATTTATATTAACTTGTTTTTGTCGATAAATTGTCGCCAAGTGAATAGTAAATTAAGGTCATTGACGTAAAAATAGTAAATCTATAGATTTGCAAAAACTTGTGACAACCTACCTAAATTGAGACATGACTGATATTATACATCATCTCTTTCTCACACAGGTCGTAAGGAAAAAAAAAGACGAATACATGTAATCTTGACAATTTAGCGTGGTTTCTATGCTTTTATTATTATTCTAAGGTAAAAACCTCTCAATTTTTTTATATATAACACATTAATGGAAGTTTATTCTATGTATAAAAAAATAATAGAGATAGCCTTTGATAAGTTATACATTATTGAAAAATTATTAACAAATCCGCCAGCCCCAGGTACACAGAGATGGGACTCGAACCCACAATCTATAGCAATCTGGGCGACTGCTTTTGATCGACATTTTATAATCATTCAATATTTATTGAGGCAATATCGATCAGTTTTCAACGGGCTTTAAAATCTAAAAGTTTGAGGTTCTACGTTTTTTAGCTCATAAATGTACTATGATACTGACTTGGCTTTCTTGGACGAGCGTTCGTGTTCGCGACTGTCGTCACGTGACCGCTTGTGCGACCGGTCGCCGTGCTTCTTGTGGTCGCCGTTGGTCTTGCTGTGCCGGTCGTTGGAGTGGGACGACTTATGCTTGTCGCGATTCTTAGACGGACTGAAAGAAACATTAACGTTACAATGCAACCGAGTCTCATAAAAAAATCAAATTACGAAGCTTAAATTAATATAATATTAAATAATAGATTTGCAGCCAGCACATACGTCCTTTAAATTTTTCATTAGGTTAAAGCGACATTGCCCATACAGATTAGGCATTCATTAGAGTTAAAGGCATAATTAAACTTTAATGGATGTTTGTGCAACTGACCGTTACTTTCCTAATATTTATTTTGATATTGACATAAGCGAATTTCTTTATAGTTTCACTAAATTGGTGGTCCACAGATTCTTTGTTTTATTTTGGGGTTTGCTTGAAATAGTGGTTGATTTCCTAAGGATGGACCATTACTAAAGAATTTTACATCAGACTAACTATTGTAATGATTCTCAACAATTTAGGCAAGAATCACGTTCACTTTCCATGTTTCATGTTGTGACCCACCTATAGCGATAATTTAAATAATTTTTGCTTAAAAAAAATATATTTCATCTGGAGGCCAATAAGATTGATAATTCGTAAATGTTTTGGAGTTTTATCAGCAGTCAAAACTAGCGATCTACTTTAAAAACTAATGCAATAATAAAACCAAAGATTTTTATAGTTTGACTCGAACTGGAAATAAATCTAAATTTAATTGTTAATGTGCACTTTTACTTACTTTATGACGAAAGAATATTTTTTGTAGAGTAAGATGATTTGGGTAGTTATCACAGTACTATTTAAAAATAGTTATGAGCCTTGAAATTTTTATCCTGACTTTATATTAAGATCTAATTTCTTAATATGACATAAGTACATTTTGAGATATATCACGTCACTAGATGCGTCAGTAAATTTTTAGGTCAGAATTGGACATTATTTTTTATTGCACTGTTCACATTTTTTTATATGGGATTCTACATCAGTGGGTAGTTGTTTTATTATACCCGCTACCATCGTTATAACCGATCTGGAACTGAAATGTTAGGAGGCGCTTTTGAGCGAGGTCTTGTGTGAATTTTTTTTTTATTTTTGATCAGGGACAACATTTCAGAGGGTAATTATATTTTTCCCAATGCAATCATATAAGCAACCAACCTGGAACTGGAGTGTTTGGAGGGACTCTTGTGGGGGCTCTTATGTGGACTCTTGTGGGAACTCTTGTGCGAGGTCTTGTGTGAGGGCTTCTCGTGCTTGGCCTTCTTGCCGCGCTCCTCGTCGCTGTACCGCCCGCGGTCTCGTTCGCGGCCGCCCTTACGTTTGCGGTCGAAGTCCTCGCGGTCGTAATTGCGCTCCTTTTTATCCTCCTCGGCCGCCTCGCGCTCTAGATCTGACCAGTCTTTGCCGGACTCTTCGTCTTCTTCACCTGGAGATATATAAATACTGGTGTAGATATTAAACGAAATTAGATACTTTTTTTTTTGTTTCTGATAGTGTTTAATATACTATTACGAAAATCACAATTTTATACTTATTATATTTATAATATTGCTTAACTTTAATATTTTATATGCGTTGTCAGGCAAACAGCTCGTGATGTCACGCCCCTCTTACTCATGTCAAAACTTAGAGAATTAAACCTTACGCATACATAGATATTAGTTTTAGTAACAGTGAATTTTTAGATTTTAACTTATTATATGAATGATACTTATTAAACTTTTTTTTTAAGATATATTTCATCTATAAAACAAAAGAAAAGAAAGTTGTCTATACCCCTGTTAATATTAGACAACATACATTGCTCAGATCCAAGATGAATAGCTAAATAACCCACATTATGGAGTATCTGAGACGAAGGTATCACAACACCCAGATCCGAGACAATATAGTAAAGTACATTTTCTAAATTGGTCCATGTTTAACCATAACTTTTATTTAATATCTTTTAATAAGCACTAACACGAACGTGAAAAGGGGAGCATAATATTAAATAATCGTGGGAGTATAAAATTAGAGATTAGTTAAAAATCATGAAATTCATGTGAGGCAATTTATATATGGCCCCTACCTACCTAAGAAGGTTAACCTACTATATAGTAAATAGCTGTTTTGTGTAGTCACTTTAAAATCATAATCTAAATGTTATCATAAATACTAGTACTTACTACACATTAACTATGTAACAAAATTCAAAAAAGATCAAGTAAAACCTTAAAAATATTGACATGGTAAAATTAAAGTATGTACATATTTTCTATATAGCGTTAGATCTATCTAACCTTCACTGTCACCGGATCCGTCGGATTCGTCGGAGGCCTCCGAATCATATTCGGAGTCGTCCTCGGATTCCTCTTCGGACTCGGCATCCGTAGGCTCGTACGCATCATCCTCCTCTTCCGAATCTTCTTCCTGAAATTTAAATTATTAACGTTTTCAGTATTGCATAGCCACTTTATTTCAAAACTATAAGGACTAATCGAGGAAGAAGTATTCTACACACCGCTTTGCATTTTTTTCTTTACAATAATTACAATAATTTCATCAAATATCATCGTATAGGTATACATGCGAGATATCTATGTATAGATAACCAACTCCCCTACTACTGTAGGGGGGAGTCGAGGTTGTTAAATTTGATATAAATTATGTAAATATTAAAATCATACATCAAATAAATACTTATATACCTTAATAAATACCCTAGTCAAGAAAATTAAAGAAGTTGGACTCGAAGTAAATGCAATTAAAACTTAAGTAATGACAAACAGCGTGGAGGTCGACTTTATACTAAGCGGCAAAACCTTTGTTATGTAACAAGTTATGTTCAGGAGTATGTTTATCTAAGTCAAATGATATCCCCAAAACACCTCATGTCCAGAGAAATTTATACCCTGGGACCATACTGGACAAGAGTAGCCGCAGATAGGAACTACTGGAAGCAACTGGAGTAGGCCTATGTTCTATGGCATGGGACATAATTTAACCAATTATACACTTTTATGAAATTTGTTACTTGTTTTCGGCTATAAAAGGCTATTTAATTATTTTTTTTTCTATATAATAACCAACCTGTGCAGCATTCTCCTCTTCAGATTCAGGGTCTAAGAATGACCAGCCCCCATTATCAAAGAAACCTTCTATGTCATCGGTGATAGTTTTCATAACTTTTGTCCAGTTTAGAGATTGAATACCCTCTGAATAGCGGATGTCACATGAACTGTAAACATCAGATAGTCACTTAAAAAAATATTCCGATTATCCAATTGTAAAGCTAATAGCATAATTGAATTGCTTGGTAATAAAAGTCACCAGTCTCTGTATTATATTGTCTGTAATTTCAACATTTTAAGACTGCGAACTCCGCTCATAGAGGGCGTTTTGCAAAGATAGAATACAACATGAAATAAATGTTTTTATACATTGACCGAAAGAAGCAAATATAATTATTTTTCTTTACATCTCACAAATCAATGAATTATGTCGATTGAATCCGCTCGTACTGGTGAGCAGATTTGCCAGTGAAGTCCCGTCAAAATCAGTCTAGCTGTTTCAAAATTAGCCTGAACAAACAGGCAGTACTTTTATATATGTACAATGCATGTATAGTATATATTAAGTAAGTTATAGTATGTTAACACCAATATAAGTCATGTAGTACTGAATAAATAGAAAAATAAATACTCACTTGAGCCATTCCTTGACGTGATCTAGCATATTCATAGGGACAGCGTTCACCATAGCAACTTTCTTAGCATAATCTTTAAATACGAACACCATATCAAAGTTCTTCAGGTGAAATTGTACTCTTTCGAAGTGCACTAATTCTACGTCTTCTAAGGCGATCACAAACGGCGGCCACTCCGTTAGATTGACCAGGGCGCCGGACGTGGGCTGGAGGAGTACTGTGCTGCGGAACGGCGCGCCGGGGAAACCGAGCTCTCTGTGTACGTAATAAGGTTGATAATGTTATTTTATATAAATTATACTCATAAAGTGCTATATTTTGAATCCATTGTAAACACAGAAAGTGAGTCTTTAAACACGTGTTAATAAAAATGTACTGAAATCCTTTACTGCACACATGCTTAAAAGTATATTTTTTAATTTTTTTGGCCGAGCACCAAAGAAATTTAAAAAAAATTGATGAAAATATGTCTAACTTTAGAGGCCTTTAATACATACTTAGTTTTATTTACCTATATATTTGTTTTATTTCCTCGCAAAAAGCATTGAAAATTGTTGTAAGAAACTTGAGCGTAAAAGGTTTTTCGAATTTGTGGCAATGAAATCAATTTGACCCTTATTCGTAAAACCTTACTTTCCGCACTCGTATCTTAAATTACTATTACATCTTATATATATAACAATATAAAGAAGAAAGAATTGATTGTTTGCAACAAATAGGCTCCGAAACACGGCCTTTTTACTAATATCAGAACTTAGAGAATTCAACCATAGTCATACATAGAACGATATTCGTTTCAGAGTGCCGATAGCAACGCCATGACAGAAGTAACGTTTTCGCAGGAAATTTCAAAAATTAAATTTATTTTTAGATTTTAACTTATTATATGAATGATATTTTTGATATATTTCATTTATCTATCAAATAAAAATATTAAAAAATGTTGTCTACACCTCCATTACCTACAGGTGAATACACACCTTCAATATTAACGTTACACATTCAATCTTCGGGTCATCCGTCTTTGGGAATGACATATGGGTATCAAATTCTTATTCAATCATTCCAATAGTTTCACATTGAATTAATTGTGACAGACAACAAACGGACAGACTGTGACGTGAGTAATCTTAAAGGCGATAGTTCCTCTAGCTAGGGGTAAATCAGTTTTCTTGATAGATCATATGGGCTACAATTATGAAAAGGTTAATCAGCACTACGAACCAAATAATTATGAAAAAGTTTGTAAGCACTGTATGGAACCCTAAAATAATAATTCTCAATTCAGATCAAAGAGAATACTAATTAATATACAACATTGTCATACAACATTTTCAGTATTATTAAACATCCAGGTTCGCTAGATTAACATACCTGAATGGTGTATCAAACTCGACCTCCTGCTTAGTCATATTCTCTACCCTCTCACAGAAGCTCTTGAAGGCGACTTTGAGTTTGTGTCGAAGCTCACGCTCGCTTTGTTCCGCCGCTAGATCGTCTCTATCGTGCATGTGTTGATGTTTACCAAGATCTGTCGTTATTTCACCCACTTCCGTGTAGAATTGGACGTCCACATGTTTCTTTTTACCTAAATATATAAATTAAGTTTAAAATGCCATTACATATATTTTTTCTTAATATAAAGCTTTTGTTAGGTACCTTTGTTTTTACTTAACTGTTAAAAAAATGACTATAACAAAATTAGAATAGATACAATATTATTTATAATTTTTTAAATTCTGATAATGTGACTAAATTTAAAACAGAATAGCTAAAACAACACTTCTACTTTCCTAACTTTACAAACGTTTTAATGCAGTATGAAGTTCAAGTAATATTTGTTTTTCCAAAAACTTTAATGAGGACTTCGTTTAATATAGGAAATAATGTTAATGAAGTACTTATAATATATTGTAATGTGTCACTTACCAAACATAATAGCATGTTTCAAATGAAAATGTAGTAATATAATCATTTCACCATCACAAGGTTGGAAGAACGCATTCTTTATGTTGTTATACAGAATGTCTACTTTATCACCTCTGACCGATGTGAATCTGAAGCCGTTAGAGTGTGCCTCTAAAGATCCGCTCATTCTCTTAGTGACTATATTAGGTCTAATGTAAAGATCTTTCAGTTTGGGGTTGCCTTTACTCTGAGAAAGCACTAGTGTGTCCTGTTTCACCAAGTCTTCCTTCTCCCTCTCTTCCGCTTCTCGCGTTTTGAATTTCTTTTGGACTTCTTTTATGAGTCTGAAGCCGGTGTTTAAATTTGACGACGGTGGCGATATTTCGCCGGGTTCTTTTGTGTTTGTACTTCGATATGTGCTGGAATAAAAATAAATATTCCCTATATTTTATATGAATCGATTGAGCATCTTTAATATTATAAATTAAAGTTAGGGAAACTTTAAATTACACCCATTTTCACTGAACAAGGTGTAGCTTAACTAGAAATCACTTATTATTAAGATAAGCATAAACAGATTTGCCATTTCACCAAACCTGTAACGTAAGGTAATGCCTTACTAAACTTATCAACTTGCTTAGTTAGGCAATGTTTGTCTATGATTTTGCATGCTTCAGCTCCTTTTCTTTTTTTATGTATGGCATATTTGCGTTTACACAATTCGGGCTATGTCACATTAAGGGTCTTGACACATAAAGAGACAATAACAAAAATATATCATATATATTTTGTGATAATGAAACAAGAAAAAATATAAGTGGTCTTGTATTTAAACGAGCACCCAAGCCGTTATTGTCCATTTATAAAAAGTGTAAAATAAATTTAAAATCTCGTTGTATATATCTTAATTGTTTTTTTCCGTTATGGCCAAAGAGTAAATGTATTTAACACATTACGCATATGTCCAGCGCTAGGCGCCGCACAGTGCATGTCTTAACTTTATCCGTTGCTTAAAGTCGTTAGGTGGTCCCTTGTCCTTGGTGAAACGCATTTTCACCTTTGACAATGCCCAAATAATTAGGTGTCAGATTTGGGCGACTCCTAAGTTTGATGAAAACAGACCTAAGAGTGTTACCATACGAATATTGATCGATAACTTTGATTGAACGCATCGATCAGTGGTGGATCAATAGTTTATCGCCCAGTATCCATCAATCAGCGAAATCTACCACACCGACCGATCAAAGTCGACGGATGGCATCAGTTTAATTTATTTGAAATTACAACTTTCTAGTACCAATAGCTTTTGAGCTAAATCGCGAACGAACGGACGGACATAACGAAACTATAAGGATTCCTTCTTTTCTACGGAACGCTAAAAATTACTCTTTCTGTTACAATAAATAACGTAAAAGAATAGAAATATTTTTCGAAATAAATTAATCAACAGCGAGATTATGGCCATTGGAACATGACCATCACTTACACCTCTTTCACGAACGTAGCATCTGGCTGTGAGTAGTTCCCGCCCTCGTTCCTGCCCATAGTCGCGCCGGGATGGAAGAAGTTTATCCTGAGATATGTGTAATCACCTTCTACTGACTGTGAGATGTTCTTTATGGTAGATATATGGAATGGTACTGGCACCCCGAAGATAGGCAGGATCACAGTTTCATATTTACGATCTAGAAGTATGAACATGAAATTGATGACGTTATAAGTTTGAATTCCAAAAACATCTTTTTGTCAAATTTTTGGGTATACAAACTAAAGCAATAATTAAATTAGACTAACAAAATTAAATTGAATCACAAAAAAAATACAATTATACGCGTGAATTAGTATTTCATTAGCATGCAGATAGTATTATAATGCTATGTCATTTGGATAATCTTTTACAGAATAATTTCATTTTAATGTATCTCTGAGTCTTGTTTAAGCTAAAGTGAATAGACAATTTTCAAACAAATTCGAAACTGAATTCGAATTCACTCAGGTGTCTGAATTCACTTCTAAATCTAAACGGTAGTCACTCTAGTCTTGGACAACAAAAAAAAAACATAGTATCAACATGTTTTCGTCAAGCCCTTTTAACTGAATAAACGTGTTTTATCTATGTCCTTTAAATTAAAATTGAGATTTAATGAAAAAAAGTCAGCATTTTTGAATGCACAGTTCAAATTCGCTTCCACGATTAGTGGACTAATTAGCATAAAATTTCAATAGACATTTTAAAAACCGAATTGCATTTTATACATTTTTATCTCTCAATGTTTGCAAGTATTATAAGTATAGTAAGAACTTAATAAGTAAACAGTTTCGTTCAACTTTAGAAATCAGTAACAGTTTAATACATAGGTATAAATGTACACCGCGGAATGGACTTTTATTCCTCAATACAGTAGTTACTCACCCACATAGAGCTTGAGATCCTTGACTTCATTTTCCCGGGGCATCTGACTGACACTCTTGTATGATACTGTACTTTTCCTGACCTTTTCACTGTCTTTCCCACTAGACTGTTTGGCCAAACGCTCTTTAGCTTTCTCGTTGAGGGCAATGGCCAACTCTCTTTGATGTTCCTTGCGTTTCTCTTCAGAGGAATGCTCTGTACGCAGCTTTGACTCTATGACAGCGGTCCTTTTACCTCTGCCTAAAACGTTAAATAATTTAGTAAAACAACAATCAAATTACAAAACGATACAAACAACATGCACAACAAACGATTATTTTGAAATAAAATGCAATTTATTTAAAAAAATCCAGTAAATTACTATCAATTATCAGATCTACAGTTTATACTAATCTTTTAAAAAACCCTCAATACAACATTGCTTACAAATTCTTACTCTATGTCTAATATTAAATTGTAGTATTAGTAATAAAAAATAGATTTTTATATCAATCTATGTTAAGGCTGTGACGGAACCGTTAGAAAAACAATTAAGTTTCCTCATTTTGAATTACAGTATTTTGGTGATTATTTTCTTGGACAAAACCACAAAGTGATTTAGGGTACACACACATTCTATAAGAATTGATTTGATATAATACAAACTTAGTATGCGAATAGAATAAATAATAACGTCTCAACATCTGTGCAATAAGATTATCTCAATAAAACTGATACATTCCAAGTAACACCTAAATATTTTCTAATATCTTACACTTTTAAAACTTAATGTCATTTTTTGGACATTGCTTTTTAAGCACTTTAATTTTGTCGGAAATGCGTCAATGTTGTATATGAGATTTTTTTATTAGATACTATAAATTTGTTCAATTTGTTAACTATAAAGTTGGTTCAATTTTACTACACTAAAAATTACTTTAGAAAAATATTTTACATCACACTACAGTTACTATTTTAATATGGCAAGTCTCAATTGTTACTGAATAACGATACACACTTATCATGCAATTAGTGGCTGATCTCATTTTAAAACTCACCTCCATTTTCTATCCATCCACGATTGCATGTAAGTAAATAAAAATGATAAATAATGTACACAATTCATTATCCGCTTTCCATATAACAAGAAGCCTAAAAGCTCTCAAAAGTCTTTTTAGTTAACAGTTGTGCCAATAAATAAGAAATATATAAATTTTTTTCACCATTAAATATAAAACATCCCTTAACAAATTACATTAATTCAAAAGTTATCACTCTTTATTGTTCAGTCCTACCGCATACCTGCAGCTTAGTTATGTTATTCTGTCATTAAGAGCCTCGAACTCACCAGAATCATAGCTCAAATAAATAAAAGCTTTATATGTATATGAGTGAAACTCAGCATTGCAATCAATGAGTTTGAGGTTGATTTTATAAGAGTGGTAAAGCTGTTCTGTCAAAATGAAGTTCATGGGCAGATCAATGAGATTTGATCAGACCAATCATGATTGATCTGCTGACGGTTTATCTGACAGAAAGATCATGCAGTTTTGATTTTCACTTATTGATTAATTGATCAGGGCTTCAGTCACACAGTAGAACCAATGGTTTTTTATTATTTGAGTTTTCATATTAAATCAAATACTGTGAATTTCTATGGGATCATGTAAACCAATTTTAGGATTTAATTTATAGAAAACAGAACCATTTTACTTAATCAATCTTACAATAATGTATAAGTTTTTATAAAGTTACAAAACTTCTTAAGGATATCTATCGATTATAAAATACAAATATTCTTATTTATTAGCAGTTTATCAATAAAAAACAGTGTTAAGATTAATATAACATATAAAAAACTTTCCCAAAAAGATGATTTTTTTAAAGTTAAAATCACACAGAATTTTCTTATAACACACTGTATTGATGCAAAAGCAAGAGAATTATTCTGAAGCGCATTTGCAAACAAGCATGTGTCACTCACCAAGTATCTCAGTCTTATTTTCTTTCTCTTCTTCTTCCTCTTCATCATCATCTTTCAAAAAGATTCCAATGTTTTTGATCTTCTTTTTGGATTGGGTGAGGAGTTGGGCTGGCTGCTCCTCATTCACTAATACTGTGTCACCAATGAAAAGGGCATAAGTCTGGAAAAAATGTTATACTTCTTTAAAGTTCTGCACAGTATGTAATAGTAGTGATTTAATTTAAGGCAAGGGTATTTCGGCCCATAGAGCCTTTAATTTTATTTTATTATCTTATGTTTCAAGCATTTTAATTCTTCTTTAGAGTTTTTAGTCAACGTAAAAATGTAATAATGCAGAGAAATACAAAAGAAAGGAGTGACTGATTTGCATTCTAACAAAGACTTGTATACAATCCATTAACAGACCATATTATTTAATTTCTTTTTATATTAACTTACAGTTAACAACTTACAGATTTTACTGTGTTACTGACTCAAATAAAATAAAAAAACTACAAACATGGTAATAACAAATTATTGCATTTTGATATAACTAATTTGAATCCTTTAATTACCTTTCCCTCTTTTTCAGTAGCAGCACTGTTAGTCAAGTTCGCCAAGCCAATGTTTATGTTGAATATCATTCCTTTTTTAGCTGTTACTGTAGTTTTTGGACCAATCACAATAGAACTTTCTCGAAATTCAATACCCATTGCAAATCTGTAGGATAAGTTGATGTTTCTAAATACTGTATAACAATATTTATTGCTAGCATTTTAAAATAAGGATTAATTTCTAAAGTAACATGAATTAAATAAACATAAACTCGCTGATACTGACCCAAAACTTTTTGTTAGGTTGTCTACCAAATTAGGCTTCTCCTTTTTCGCCAATTCTAAGCCAGCTTCATAAACTGCTGACAATTTTGCTCCAGCAACTAGTTTTTTCATCACTTCTTCTTCCATATTCAACAGAAAATTGTAATTGCTCTGTATTTCATCCGTAGGATTGACCAGCAATGTACGGACTATGTTTGAACAGTAAGATTTATACCTAGCACCTAAAGAGCAAACAATAGATCCAAAATGCAAATGATTTTTATCTGAAACAGCACTGAACTTGAGACTGTAGTTGCCCCCAGATTGTATAATAGGCGGATAGCACATGTCCACTTGGCTTGTGTCAACACCAGTGACATATTTCTTATCAGATATAGCTGCTTCTACACCCTCAGCTAATTTAGAATGTTTCACTTTCTGTAAAAAATAATAATCAAATAATTTAAACATCAATCTTGTACATTCTTATTACAAAACAAGGACTAACTTATTAAGGTTTAAATCATTATGCAAAGAATATTTTGTTGTTAGTCAACACATCTCAACTTAACGTTCCTCTTCATTAATTGGCAATTTGCTTTAGACAGCCAATGGTTCAAACTGACTGACTTTAGTTCTTGTTTTACAATAAGAATAATAATGTATATTTTATGTCAATACAATATTACCTTATCAGAATCAATTATTTCCATAATTTGATCTTTTAAATACTTTGTGAAAACATCAACTGTCACAAGACAAGCTTTTTTAACAGTTATGATTTCAGGATCTTCTTTGGGTGCCATGAGGATGGCTATAGATGAGCTTATATCAACATTTTCAAACTTCTCTGCTTTCATTGTGGCTTTCCAACTTTCACAAAACTCTCCTGGATAATTGTCTTTAGCAAATACACCAAGATTCTTACCAGATTTTGATTTTTTGATCTCTTGTATAAGTTTGTTAAAGTTTTCTTTGTCTTTGTCATTCTGAAAAATACCAAAATCATTTTTTTTTTATCTATTCCATTTTCATTACACATAATAGTAATATATGTTAATGCATTTAATAATAAATCCTATTATTAAATGGATTAACACCATATAGGTAAACATACTTTAAACTAGTGCATATTTAAATATTTTTTTACAATAAATATCAATTGTGAATGTAAAATTGGGCAAATATATAACTTACTCTGTCTCTTATTAATAACTTTACTGGAGGTAGCTCAGTTTCATCTTTCCCGTTTTCTATCTGTCTGAGAAACTCAATTTTTTTCTTGCTGGCGAGGAAACACATACTATTTTCTGTGAGAACTGTAATAGTATCTGGCAACTCGTATCCAAACAGCCATGTCTACAAACAAAAACTTTTATATAATAATACCTAAATATTCAACATTACAAACATCACACGGCTCTGAGCATTTAACACTTAGATTATAGTAATCTTGCATATTAAGTTGAGCATTTTTTTTGGGCACTTAGGTAATAGAGGAAACACCCACTCTCATACACTACACTACATACTCCCTCCATGATAACTTATAACAGTAGAAATTTTAATGCAATGAAATCTCACAAAATTATTGTGCAATACATCATGAGTGCACATGCATAATAATCTTATTACATTCCATACACTTGTATACTAATAACAGCTAGGAATAATAATTTGATCACATCACCCTCACGTGTCTACAAAAATTATGCGCGAGTTACGAATGCATATGTTTTTGTTGGCGATTTCCTGACTTGTGTTTATTTCATAACTTTAAATGGTAAAAATAATAGGTTCTTTAAAGCACACAGTAGTGATGAATTATGAACTTAACACTTTAGAGCTGTGAAGAGAATTGAATACAAACCTGTAGTGCTGTTGATTTGCTATAAAGTGTATCTTCATCTACTCCAACGCAGGAAACTAAACAATCAACTTTAGCCAAGGCATCATCACTTTTAGAATCTGTTGCAGCTGTCTGAAATAATTACAATAAAGTATCAAAGCGGTTCTAAACAAAAAATGCTGTAGTTGATCGAAAAATGCCAACCTTCCACGCCGCATACAATTTTTTCATTCGACGAAAAAATGTGTCTTTATCAAGAGATATATTAGACATTGTGTAAAATAATCCTAACTACAACGAATAGTGTGTTATTACGCCTCAACCAACAAAAAAATCATCCACAACTTCGCGACATTAGCACTTTTGACAGCAAATAAGAATGGCGGGCGTCGCTCGGTCCCAGTGTTACCAACTCCTAACAAAATAAAACCCTAAAATCAAACTCAAATAACCCTAAGGGCGCTTGTGCACTACACTGAATTTTCATGTCCGGCGGTCCGATTTTTTCAGGTCCGATATGTCAGGCCATATGTAGGTAATGCGCGCTTGTGCACTGTCAGGAATTTTACCGTCCGGAATTTTACTTTTCTCTATTCCGGACCGGTTTTTTCAGGTCCGTGATGGCGGCAATGAAAAACGTGTTTACGCTTGTGCACTGCTGTGTCCGAGATCCGGATTATTCATAAGGAATAGGCTTGGGAAAAAATAATCGATTTGAATCGATATTTATTTCGGCAATAGGTATTGTTAATTTCCAATAAACTTATAATCGATATTTATTGTTGATTATAAAATGCTATATTTTATATGATGATTTAATATAGTTGGTATATATCACTGCATATGCTTTGGAAAACTCGGTATAGTTCTAATTTGATCAGCATATGGTTCTAGTATCGATACTTAGCTAGATTTTAGAATCGTATTAAAAGTTTCGATAGCTTAAATAAGATAAATAAGTGTTGTTACGTTTAGACAACTAAACCCATCTTAATGGAAATTAATATAGTAAATAGACTTAACTTTAAGACCTTTCTTAAAATTAAGTCTATTTACTATATTTTTTAGGCTACATTTTATTGCGAAAAATAGGGGATGAAAGCTGCCTGGAAATTTGTCATTATCAATTTTTTTTTAAACAATTGATAAGTATAGATAAATATTTGACAGCAGAAGTAATAATAAAGATAATAATAATTCTCCGCTAACACGGCACTAATTTCGATTTGTTTGCCACCGATTGGTCTATCTCTGTAATCGCTGAAAGTTGTTTTAACAAAACTTCGAAAAAAAATTGCACATTTAAAAATTTAAACATCAAGTACTAGACCATTATCAGTAATTTTATTCTAATGTCAGATATTTTTAGCTATTGTATGTGAATAATGCTGTTCCTAAATTAGTAAGGGTATAAGTTTTTACATCTGCTAGTAGTCATCCGATAGTAGTAAAAAAAAATTCTTTCGTCTTGCCATAATTTATTATGGTTTATGTAAAACGATCAGATCATTATTTAGGTACCTTTCTACGTCTTCGAATGGAATTACCAACGTTCCAAAAATCTCATCGTACCTAGCATAAGTGACGTGTAGCTTCAAAGAGAGCTGCCCTACACTGTGCCGCTCCGATCAGGAAAAAAACGGACAAGTGCACAAGCTACACATCCGAGTTTTTCATGTCATTCCGGACCGGAAAAAATCGGACCGCCGGACCTGAAAATTCAGTGTAGTGCACAAGCGCCCTAAATGGTATAATCAAAAGCATAGATTATACATAAAATCAAAAGCCCCAAAAAAATCCCTGTCCTGTTTATATCCCACATCCCACAGATTTATTAGTATTGTTTAAAAAACTTTTCTGTTTTATTTAACGGTGAATACAATACACCTCGGTTTTAATTTAATTAACTTTTTTAGATTTAATTACTTAAAAATAAATCTACAAATAATTTTATTGGTTCTACTTCTTCACTTTGAAAAATAACAATCACTTGAATATTTTTTTGAAATTCATCTCTTCAAAATAACAATAACGCTTTAAGCGGTAAATGTATTATAATAATATCATGATATTGCTGTGCCACATAACATTTGTCCTGCGACTTAGCAAGTGAAAACAGAAATTTTAGCATATCCCATTGTTCTATAAACTTGCTGATAACTAAATAACGTGCCAGCCACCGCGTCCCAATTAAACCTTGTATTTTTTGGTGGTTCATTACTTCATAAACATTTCGATACTTTTTTTATCACGTTTAACGCTGTAGCTAAACCCGAGGTATTACCTAAAGAAATTGCAGTCCAACTATTAAGTTAGGCTGCATTTTCTTTTGTATATTGCAAATGATGTTAACTAATCTATTTTAATTTAAACATTACCTGAATATTTTTTTTTTACTATTTTTGGCACTAAAATTAGCCCTAAATTTTGTTGAGCCCCAAGAAAAGCCTAAATAGATTATTTCCGCCCTAAATTTGGGGCTAAAAGCCCTAAGTTGGTAAGCCTGCTCGGTCCGAACATAGTCCGAACCACAGGTCCAAACTTGGTCCGAATCACAGACCAAGAAGAGCTAAGAGTAAAGAGTAAAGGGTACCATAAGGGTACTTACTAAAGGCTCTCCCTCACAGGCGCGTTATTTAGGTATATCGCACGCGGTATTGCCTTAAGGCGTCCCAAATCCTTACATTCCTTGCACACAAATGCGTTTTTATCGTCCGATATTTCTTACGAGAGAGTTATTGTTGCAGGTGTGTGTACGGTCGTGTGCGTCCTGATAGAAAACATTCTAGAACTAATATCGTAATATCGCAGGACGGAGAAACGCAACGTCCTACTTCTTGCGGCTTTATTATCGCAGTAGTGTGTAACTACATGACCATCCTCATACAAAATGTACTGAAAACAGATATCGCAGCTATCCATGCGATATTATCGACCGATAATAACGCAGCTATGTGGAGGAGCCTTAAACTGCAAAAAAGGAGACTTTATACTATACCTATATCAGGACTTATAAATTTTAAAAATTGTAATTACAAAAATAAACCTTAAAACTATGTCCTTTACAGACGTGTACAGCTTGATGGTGTAATGTAGTGGTAATATTAATATCCGTGCATTTGAGATTGCGCAACTGATATCGCTCCTCAATTTTCTAAACAGATAATTTTTATATAGAAAATAATATTATTAATGTATTTACATATATAACAGATTTTGTGGTCTTTTTGTGAAATTTGGGCTGCATAGGCTGAGATCCCTTTGTTTAGTAAATAGCCCTTACAGAAGAGCTCTGATTGGCTGAATATCGTAATGTCATTTGACGTAGTGGAAGGGATAGGATGTAATTGGACAATCGAGAGTCAATAAAAATAACTGAATATTATTCGTTGTTGCGTTTTCTGCCAATCTTTCATTTGATCGCACGCCTGATAGGCGATGCGCGTGGCTCTGTGATGGCTTTATTTCACACTTTTGTGAATTCAACATTTTTATGATATTTATTAGCTTCGTAACAATAGTTTAATTTTATTTCAATCGTTACATTTGTCTTTTGCAAAATGGCAAACCAACCTCAAAAAATCGTCTACAAGCTGGTTCTCACCGGAGGTAAGTGTACCAAGATATCAAAATTATAATTTGTGGCAATTATATTCGTGTAAATATTCTATACCTCCTTAATTTCGAATTTGTTGTTGTTTGGAACATTATAATACTTTTCAGTGTTTTCGCAATACCATGCCATGCCTTATTTGAGTACATAATTTTGAGGAAATCGAAGGTTACTCAAAAAATACATTTAACACGTGGTTGTAAATATATATTGGAGTGAATGCAATTTATCTATCTTTTGTAGGGCCTTGTGGTGGTAAAACTACGGGACAATCACGCCTGAGCACTTTCTTTGAGAACTTAGGATGGAAGGTAAAATATTTTTCATACATATTTATTAATATTTTTATTTTTTAATGGTGTACAAGAAAATAAGTACTTATACAAAACAGATGCAAATTATCTTAATTGTTGTACAAAAAATTTCAAACCGCTACCTATTGTAAAAAATAATTATTGATTGTATATTCTTATAAAAATTACCTAATAAATATCACTATTAAGTTATATGGCTTTTTAATCTTATTATTATGTGTTGTTTATGGGCGAAGTTAGCTATATTAGCTTGACTTGTGGTTTCTCCTTTTGGAGATCCAAAAAAACATCGTTCCACAATGTGTTTATTTCCAGGTGTTCCGGGTGCCGGAAACGGCTACCGTGCTCCTCAGGTACGAAGTGCTACCATCTCGTTACGAGACAGTGCATGTTGAAATACTTAAATTGGTTTTTAAAAATTATAATATGTTGAATTCTTACATAAGATGATTACTCCACATATTGAATTAGAATACCCATTTGCCTCTTAAAAATCTTGCCATATTTAAAATCACCAATGATTATTGTCAATTGCTGTAACTACCAAGTGATAATATTTATTTTTTAAGTATATTTCCAACAATTTTTAAATCTAACATGTAATTGTAAAATATAGATTTATTAAAATTATAAATAAAGTTTAGTCTAAAAGTATCAACTTTGCATTGTTTGCTACAATGTTTTATATTTTTTTCAGTGGTGGTGTAAAGTTTGCAGATCTCACACCTGATGAAGGTGAGTTATTACAAAATATTTTAGTTTCAATTAACTTCAGAACTAACTGTTTTCCTGTGACTTTGGCTTGTAAATTATGGCCTATGTTATCAGTGTATCATGTAACTTCCCATTGGTCAAAAAATGTTCATGATGCTTAGTACTTCCTAGTTCACCCTCGACAAACAAAGTTAGAAATTTACCTGTTTGTAATATTAGTATAGATTATGTTACATTTTCTGCATAACTTCCCCTATAACGTTTTTTTTCTTTATTTAAGTGTTTTTGCCTTTCTTAAATTGTAATCATTTTGCTTAAATCAGATCTCTAAACTTAGCTACGACCTCCTCTAGGCCTTTACAAAGATTTCCATATAGAGCTGCCCTACGCCAGTAGGGGCCACTGGGTAATTTCTTCTGTCTTGTGAGCACAAAATTGTGACAGATTTGCTCTATTTTTCTAACATGGCTGGCATCTATTTTATGGTTTAGGAGTTATGTATAAAGCCTATCAGATGTATTGCTTTGACATATTTTGTTTTAGTTTTGACTACAAAAATATGTTTTAGTAAAATGGATGACAGTTTCTAGACCTAATATTTTGTTTGTCAATTTAGGGATATCAAAATTCCTGTATTGCTACTCGTAATGAAAGTGTCAATAAAACTGATTAATATCAATTCTTTTATTAATTAATAAACCTTTGATTTGAATCACTGATTCTCAAAACGTGCATAGGGGGTACGTTTTGGTCTCTGTGGATGGATATGTAACAATTTTTATGCAATAGTGGGGGCCTAGCTTATAGTTTTGCTTTTCACCACTTTTATTTGGATACACAAGTTTGTTTAGAATGGTCCAACTTGTTATCTTTATCAGCGGTTTGTTATTGTAATAAAATTATGCAATAAAGTATTCGATCGTTATCTCTGTCGTATTGATGATAGCGTCAGCAGACGTGCTTAATTACATTTATATCTACATTAAAAATAAAAATCATGATGCTTTTTTTTTGTTGAGTAGATGCCAAACTAATAACCGTTTCACTTGCACACATATACTATATAACTTTACTTATTTAAATGTTTTGAATTACCCAAAGATATTTTAATTTCGTTGTTATGCATGTACATGTAGTACATGTTAAATACAGATTAAATGTTTGTTAAACGTTAATGATTCGTATTCTACACTTTTGGCCAGGAACGATGTGACGTCCGTTGCCAAGAGTTCGTTATAGAGGATAGATTAAAGTCCAATTTAAATGGTCTATGTAAACCGTAATAAAAGCGAGACCAGTATTATTATTGCGTAACGAAACATTTGCTTTTGTTTGTGCTAGGGTGGTGTTAGGTTAGCGAGATTTATTTTAGTTTGCTCTGCCGCCGGTCACGTTTTTGTTTATTTTCGCCATGAAAAAGCTTTTAGCGATTTCTGTATGCGTAACTTCATTTTATTGTTGCCGTACATTAATAGTATCTTTCACAAAACCTTTAATACCAAATCCTTAGCATTTTCAGACGAAACCTTTATTCATATAAATTGTATTATGTATATAAATAATAATTTTAGCTTAAAAAAATATTGAATTTAACAATCTAGCTAGCCTAAAGTCCAGTAGGAAATCTAACTTAAAGTGCTGTTAACTGTACCAGAAAAAAAAACTATTTCAGTTAGTATACTGGATAACTGTTAAAATATTTTCTAATAATAGTTATTAGGTAAAAGAAACGATGCGTGAAGAATAACACAGATTTCTCACCGAAAAAGTGGGTGATATGGATTGCAGTGTGAGTTCTTGTTTTGTCATTTTAACGTATCAATCTATAATAACTATAGTATCGTAAACCTTGGTATTATAAATGTTATATGTAGACATTATGGCTTCAGCCTGTTCACGGCGGTTACAGTCCACGTGATCTTTGTAATGCTGTGACGTACTGACCTGTCCATGGTCACGTTCACGGCCTGCTATAAATATGTATATTAAGTTTAGACACGCCTTTCCATTATAAATCCCTAAAACTATCCCTGTAGATAAAGTAGACCAATTAAAATTTAATTTTAGGCACACCTACTACAGGATTAAAATTCATTAAACGTTTGTGTATGTATTATTTAAGGCGCACGCAGTAAATAATAATTGATATCAATAATTACTAGTAAAACATGTTACCTGTGTTATTCATTTAATATATTTTATACCAGAGAAACAAGTATTAATAGACCACTGTTTCTCAACTCCTGACCCCTAGGGGGAAATTAATCTTAGCGATATTGTAACAATAACTTATGGATTCAAATATCTAGAAGTTATTTAATAATGAATATGTATGTTAATACTATATTTATGTCAAAGCTCACACGCTTTGTTTTCAGAGGAATGAGAATACACCATTTATTTTCATTTATAACGATTCTGACATAACTCTTTGTTTTAACTTTAACGCGCGTAGGTGTATATCCGTCTAGAAATTGATTTATTAGATTACCATTTTCAAGATGTTCTTTTATCTGGACTCTTTCAATGAGATTCTATGCTATTTTTGCTTTTTCATATCTGCTTTTCTATTTCAGATATGAAAACAATAATTCATGAATACACATATGAACTAATTTCACAATATTTCTCCCCCCATCACCAAAGCGACCACCTGCGAGAAGGCAAATTTTAGCATTTATTTATAAAGCGGTTTTGAATTCATTATCTCTTTTATTTATAACGCAAATGATTAATTCATAACCTTAATTTACAGTAAGGTATTGTTAAATAATAGCTTCTTAATTTACGATCGTATCTCAAAGTTCGCCTTCGATGTAACAAATTACTTTTATAGATACACGATACCACCGGCTAATAGCAGCGTATAATACAAATGCTTCAGCTACCTAGGGTTCGATGTTCTATTCATATTCCATATTTATTCCTATAACTTTGTTAATTAATACATCCTGTTTATGTGTCTGTTCTAAATAGTACACGTTCCTCGTTTCCTTTTCTCATATTTTTCGTTTTTATCTTAATGGGTTAATGCTCTGCGTTTGTGTAGTAGGTAATCACATGTCGCCAAAAGTTCAATAATCTCTATTACCAGCGTCTACATTGTGATACTCGAGCCTAAGTTAATGACAACAACAATTCATACGAATACCTGAGAAATCATACTGTAGCAAAGTTTACTTTTCGACATCCGAAGGGAATCCTTTCAATTGCGAATCCACACACATTGAGTGCGGATTTTACATGTGACGTCAATCTCAGGTTTGAACACAAGTATTTTACGTAGGAAGTATTGTTTGCATCTGCTTTCTGCCGCAACCTTATCTAAAGCCAAGAACGTAAACGTAAATCGTTATGTTTATGTATTTGATATAAATGTTTAGAGGAAAATATCGTTTTAGAATTGACATTGAATCAAGTTTCTAAGTAAACATTTCATCATAAGTAGTTAGTCTTTGTCTCGCCAACAATATCAGTGTTACGTAAAAATATGTATAACAATGTCAATGCTACAGATAGATAGTTATATACAATACAAGCAAATGTAAGTCAAATTATTTAATAGTGTTTCTTTCGCAACAGTTCAATTTCATGGGATGACCTCGCACCCGTTTATGTCTGTCTAAACTTCGTTTAGATATTTCCAAGTCTCAATTAATGTTTTTGATTATGTTGTTGCTATCAGAAGGTTATCTTTCTTCGACGATAGAAATCTGATTTGAATGTTATAGCTGAATCACCGGCGAGTGTTTCAGGAGAGACGTGTTCGACAAATTGCAAACGATGTACCGCCGCAGCTGTGGCTCAGGCAAGCCAGGGTAACCGTGGTGAGTCGCCACTACTGAAATTGAATTCGACCATCTGATAAAAATCCATGATACGGTTTCATGCCGCTATGTGAACCGACATCATGTATCAGTTGACCGTATCTTATTTGATGTGGCTATGTTGTCAGATCGCTCACTAGGCTGCCAGTGTCAAATTCATTGTCATCGCTATTGTTCTCACAAAATTATATGTTCGTAAAGATAAACGAACAAGTTACATTTTCTTTAATACAGGTGTTTTTTTTTATCAAATATTCTCGTTCATTTATTGTGAATTGCTAGAGGAGTATACGTATATTTATTATTTTCATCTAAGTTTTCAATTTTAATGCATATCATACATAGTCTTCTTAAATATGCAAATTTAAAATTAATAAAAACTCGTGAGAAAATTTTTCGGTTTCCCTATTGTCAAGAAAGAATTGCATTTGAAAAGTCGTGAAAAGGTAATAAGACCTTCAATACGTTTTAGTGATACTTTGCTTGGTATTGTTCCATCCCATCAGTTTCACAGATATTCCAATTTTGGCACTTACGTCATTGGAGGTGTGTTAGTTGAGTTATTTGCCAGTTGCATAGCGGTGCCAATTTTATAGTTCACATAATAAAGATAGACTACTATTAGTGTAAACACCAAAAAACAAGGCAACAATAACGTAAATTTGGATATTACAATCGACGGCCTTTAATCACATCATTAATATATGAAGTTTTATCACTATAAAGCTTCTATAAATCGACATTTTCTAAGTAAGTAGTTGTGAACTTATGAAGACAGGGATGGTATTAATTAAGCATAATTAAACCATAAGGTTCTCGAATGGTTTAAACCGTGACGGATCTTCCGTTGAGTGTGCAAGCTGGAATGACATAATATCACCTGATTTGTTCAGTTTTAACGTTACGCGACTGACGAAGCATCTTCCGTTAAATATAACTAGTTTATATTTCAAATGTGTCACAAATTAGAAATGCTAACATTTAGTGCAAAAGAAATTCTTTTACAGAGTTCAAAATACTATAAATATCATTACTTGACAACACGCGAAAATAAAACAGCAGTATAATTTCAGTTTAATAGGCAAATCGTCCGCCATTCTGTCATTGGTTGGGTTATGTAAATGTACAACACGACAAAATAAAAGCAATGTCGACATTAAACACGCGATACCTCAATAAACTTAATTTGCAAGTAACTTATCCGCTGTTTATACACAACTCCAGTGTAATTCCAATATAGATCAATATAAACAAATATACATATAAAAATTTTATCTAAAAACAAAATATTATACAACATCATCGACGTTGACAAAACGTAATAAGTCTAATAATATATCCAAACATTTAACTGGTTAGAACTAGTAGATTGAACTGATAATTATTCGTGCCGAGAATCTTATAAAATGCCTGTAGATACACGTCTCCAGTATTCATTTCATGCTATACGGTAGTGCTTAGTTTATGAAGTTACATGTAAAATAAACTTTATTTATTGGATCATGAAAGGACATAAACTGTACATCATTAAATACAGAGTTGTCCTTGCCATGTAAGCGACCTCGACCTTTACAAATTCAATTACCTTTACCAATAGAATCGGACAACGTTTGAGTACCTACGATAAAAATTAATGAGGAAATAGCTAAGGCTTTTGTGAAAAACGAACACAACAAAAAAAGCAAATTTCCATCTTTAACCACCCGAATACTACAAAAGTTATTTCATTGACTGATTTTATCTAATGATTTATGTTTTTGTCCTAATATGTATATATTTTATGTTGAAATTGATTCTGGAAAATAGACTTTTCATAAATAACAGTTTTAATCTTACGTTTTGTATTTTGTCAAGATATTATAAACACGGACAACTTTATCGTTAAAAATGATTATTTTGAATGATGAGCTATACAATAAAATATTTATGCAAAATACATATTAAATATAACTGTGAAAACAAATTTATGAGTTTCACGTGATCTAGATACTGGAATCAATTCATTTTTTTTAATTTAATTACAACAAGTTATGAATAATGTACAATTTTGGTTTGAAATGTTAATACATTTTTAAAGGCAAGAATAGTGTATTGTCATGGAAAACATGAAGCAGATCGCCTGAAACGAGTTCATTGGCAAGAAGCTGAAAATAAAATGAGACCGTCATGGCCGCCGTATCAGCTCAAGCCAGAGTCTTAAAAATGTTATTCATTATTTTTTTAATACTTCCCAGCCAAGGTACCTTATTTAAAACTCAACTGTCTCATATCCGTCTTTCATTCTTGAAATAACAATTGTTATTTTGATAATTTGTATTCATTGGCTAGCCACTACCGACAGTCTCAGTATAATTTTAAATTTGCAAATATTCTAATAAAAATTGTTGATATTGAGAAGACGAATTTTGTTATTGTGACAAAAATTGCTTAAAGTTTTGGCGAAACATGGCAAAAATATTATTAAATCCAGTGCAGTAAGTGTTATTATTGCGTAAACCACGTAACATGATTTAGGTTATACTTGGATAGAAGCGTGTTTTTGATATTGGCCCTGCTGGCTTTTAATATTCATTTCCTAGCAATGCACATTAAACAATATCCTCTAAAACGATGAAGGTATATCAATTATTCATTGTGTATTTGGCAACGCAATAAAAATAGGATCCATAAATTTTATTTCCTAACAGGAAGTATTATTTGATGCCACTAGGAATGGTTAAAAAGGCAAACATTTTTGCAGGTTCTTCTAGTTATTGGTTTCTCTCTCTCTCTCTAGTCGGTCCCCTATTACTGAGGATTGTGGTTGCTGAACCTCATCCATCAAACAAATTTTCTCCATTAATTCCGGTCAGAAGTAGCCTGCGCTACATTTCGCTTGACTATCGTGCTGTGACCGGTCCCGTGATCTTTTCCCTTGGTATTGTCGACAATTTTTGGTATCAGGACACTAATGATTGTAATGGTTGAATTTAAATATGTCAACATTGTGTACGTGGTAATGATTTTTCGCGTCCGCGCTTATTGTCGTAGTCACGTCACGCGCTTCTGACTCTGCTGACGTCTCTATAATAAAGAAGCTCGTGATTGGCCTAAACATTTGCCAAATACAATCTGTAGTATTCTTTTTTAAGTGTTATTTCTAGCATTTGCCATATTTAAGGTTTTTTGTCATTTAACGATCATATACATCCACCTGTCAACGATGAAATATCTTTATATCATTTACACGAAGCGCTTTTATTCTACATAATTTTTGTCACTCTCATAAATAGTAGTTGATTGTAAAATTTGTACTAGTTAAAGAACCATGACCTGCCCTAGCGTGCCTGTCAAGTGTACGACGTTTTTGTTCTGATCCATTGTTAAAATTCTTAATTCATTTTTTGCTGTATAATAGAAACTTCTATACCTAATGATTGCTTAGTGAAAACTTCCTCTTGAATGGTCGATGCAAAAACTTCGTTTTCGTCATTTTGAACAACAAATAGTTCACTTCAATCAATATCACCATTACCAATTACTAACATTATATTTCTATAAGCTAGTCATAATAAATCAAATTAGTAGAAACTTAGTTATTAGTTATTTATAGGTTTAGTAACACAATGCGATAGCATAATTCGAGGGTGTGTTAGTTGACCGAATTATTGAAATAAGATTTAAAAAAAAAAATCCTGAATGCATTCTGTAAATCTTTATTTGACGCGAAATCTTACAATTGAGTTCTGTGTAGGTATATGTAACACATTACGTATATTTGGCTGCAAACCAAATTAGCTAATTAAACATTATTATTTAAGAAACATTGTTTTTATACGACCTGGGTCTCTTAAATAGAACGTGCTATATTCATACGATACCCTCTGCTTGCTTTTCCAAACTCGTGATAAAATATTAAGCGTTGGATACTGATACGCTGGGGATTCATATATGATGTAGATGAAACCTAAAATATAAAAATTATGAATTTCTCTCCTCTGCCAGTAATAGTTACCGAAATGAAGCTAGAATATATATAATGAAGCGTAGGGTATAGAATATTAATTAGAGAATATAAAGAGAGAAGAGAATATAAATTAGATAAATTATAGAATATACCATACGCTATGTCTATTGTATCTCAAAATTTATAATCAAAACGTGCACTTATAATATTGATGAAAAGACATTGGAGAGCTGCGTCTAAATAAATCGTCGTTATTATGAAAATAGCGTGAATTGAAAAATGGATTGGAGTGATTGCAGTAGTAAATTATGTTAAAAAATCATAACAAAAAAATTTCAGTGATGACCTTTGAGGAAGTTTAATAGTATTTGCGTCAGATCACGTCCACATAGGTTCTGCTGACCTAATATAATATTAGATAGTTGGTCATAAATCTCTTATAGTAATTAATAGGGATGATGACTAATTCTTGTTTGTTTGTACGTCAGGTAGGGTGTTAAAAAATATTAAACACGTATTTTTTAATTTTTTTCGTAATCATAAAATTACGGCGTTACATGGAGTTGAAATTTCGCATGACGTCACGTTAGAGTACGTTTTCTACTCAACTGTGACGTAGCGAGCCCCCACTCCTCAACTTTAATCTTATCTAAGCTATTTCTTGTTAATTTGAAGTAAAAAAAAATACGTATCTAATATTTTTCTATTATCTCACTGACGGACTAAATAGAATTTCATTTTTTTTACCCAGTCATCATCCTTATTATACTGATACCATTTCGTTTTGTTAGATGTAATTTTTTAATTAAGTATATTATTACGTTTGTTACAGCTACTAAATTCCAAGAGAACCTTCTTAAAACTATGATACAGATAGAGAATACGTTCTTCGAGCTGGGCCGTTCCTGTCAAAGGAACTGCCTCATCATCTGTGACCGTGGCGCTATGGACGCTAGTGCATGTGAGTAACTTAATTTTATTGATATATTAAATCGATATAAACTAAGTAACAATATATTCATTGATGTATCTATTCTCAATAAGTAACTGTCCAAGAACTGAAGCTATTAAATTAAACGATGCGCTGGAATATTTCCTGATAAGACCTGTCTAATAATTTAATATTCTCTATTTAAAGAATATTCGAAAATTATTGAATGACATAGCTATTGATACTATCTTGTGTAAACAAAATGTATTATATAACATAAGTATAATCCCTTTATACAATCTCTAATCTAAGATAATCCATACTTATCAAAATATCATTCAATATGGAATAGCTTACAAATAATATTATAAAGGCAAAAGTTTGTAGATCTGGATGTTTGTTACTTATCCGCGCAAAAACTACAGACGGATTTTGATGACATGATAAGGGTATGGGTGATGTTAAACCTGAATTAATATATAAACTATTAATAATAATTGTTTATCCCGCCAATTGGCTCCCTAGGGATAAAAATATGATCATCATAAAAACGTCGTGGACGAAGCCGCTGCCGGGCAGTTAGGTTTGGTCGTATTTATAAATCTAACAGGCACTATCAATTTAAATGTCGAGCTGCAAGATAATTTTGATATCTTTTAACAATGATCGATTTATTTATATTTTTATATAAGCAGTAATTAAATTATTTGCGGTTATTACATTTGTAGTTAGCAACAAATATTGGCTTTATTTATGATTTGGATGACAAACAATGATTTTGCTTAATTTCCATTAAGGAAGGGTGATACAGTTTTATGTTGTATTCATACTGCTTAATAATAAGCATGTGAGCATTATTTTTCACATAATAAAATCGAGGATTTTTAATAAAGAAAGAACTGATTTTATTACTCGTTTTTGAAGCTATAAAAATTTTGTAATATATGCTGCCTATATTATTATGATACATAGTTCAGAATTTCGATTTAAACTAAATATTTCGCTTTTAGCGTCGATATAAATGTAAGAACATTTGAGAAAACCACAAGCGTGTCATGGTACGTGCTAACACATTATCTAATTACTATTACAATTAATGTCGCACGTCCGACTAATTATCTTTTTGATTGCCTTCAGTGTCTCCCAAAGCGGCGTTCATGACCCCAGGGTCTAAACGGAGAATCGGTTGCGATTGCGAATGATATGATTTGATATCATGCCAATAAGTTTTTATATATTTTTCTGGCATCCAATTCAATTAATACACAATAAACAACACTATACTTACACTTATACTATTTTTCCTAAATATTACGTCAATGTTTATAAAAAATATTTTAGAAATAATACCGATAAGGGAGATAATACTATAAAATCAGGCCATTTAATTCTGGATTTCTCAAAGTGTAGACTTTTCATGTACAAACATGTTAATGTGTAGGATGGTGCTGCTTTTGGCAAAAAATCGCTGATATTCGTTTTATTTAGTGTTAAGTTGAGGACACGTAAACACTCTGTGGACTTCCACACATATACTAGTGTACCCCCAGGACTCCAAGGACCACAGGTTGAGATACACTGGTCTAACTAATATGTATGTGCGAGAAACAATTTCCCTTGCTTTAAACTATATTACTCTCACAATTGTGGTGAACAAAACACATTTACCACAAGTTATATATTGTGGAAACGGAATCATTATTAAGTATTACCTATATGTCAAATAATCGAGATGGCATGGCGTTTGACTTGCAATGTATAATGTGTTTGTCGAATCTTGTAACTGAATTCAAAGCACTTATCTTTAATCGATTATAGTGAATTTTTGCATACAGGTTTAGTTTAAGTGACAATGTTTGGTCAGCTAAGTTATATCATTCCTAAATATAATGTGGCGGACCAACCAATATGATAGACTAGTTACGGATTAAGGAGGAAACGCGTTTTTGTGTCGTGTTGTGTGTGTTGTAGTGCGACAACAGCATATCGGTTTCATACATTTCGTATATGGTTACAGATCATTTGCATTTCGTGTTACGTCCCAACAGAAATATGAAACAATACGCAGTACCAACAATATGTAGATAACATGACACCTGCTCTCTTATCCAGTCCATTGTGGGGTTAACAATAAATAAATAAAAACATAATAAAAAAGAAAAATAGCATTTTAAGTAACGCTTTTTAAATGCTCTGTATGTAAAAAATAAGCTTAAGTAAATCTAACCTAAAATTTTGCTTTTCTAAAAGTGTAACCGTAAAAGAATTGTTAAAATAAATCTAATAGTTTTTGAGCCGTACAAACAAACAAGTAATCTGTATCAATATAGACGTTTCTAAGCGTAATATACACTTGCTGTTTTCCCGCGAAATTGCCCGCGCAGACATGCAATTGCGCGGGCGAATTCGTGCTGATGTGATCTGCGCAAGATATAGCGTCTAGCGTTGTGTTACTCACTCTTTTTTAATGAGGATGAGTGAGGACCTCATTTTCCCTCGTGAGGGGCTCGCGAGTTACCTCTCATTTGAGGTGAGGATAGGTAATGTTATAGTAGCAGTGAATGAGTACGTAGCGAGGCGCGCGCAACATTGCCGTTTGGTACAAAATGAGGGAGGGAGTCGGTAATGCTAAACAAAATATATTTTGTCTTTAGATTCTAAGAAATAAACTTAATTAGATTATTATTTAACAGAATGACCACAACACGCAACTTATTTGCATTAGTGCCAAATGTTCCATTTTTAAAATCGATCTTTTATATTTCGAATCATATAAATATATTTCTATATAAAACCGATACATTTTTATTAACTTTGGTTTTTACTTAGACTAAATTACTTTTATTAAATATTAAATACGTATTTGCGAAGAAACACATAAACAAACCTGAATCGTTCCAAAAAACTCATAAAACTTAACCCATTCCCTCAATCTTGAATATATTGAGTATGTATCGAGTCGCCTTTTCATTCGAAACAACTCGCTATTTAGCTCTTCACTCAAAAAATCCACCACCTCATTTAGCTCCTCACTCAAAAAGTGAGGAGCTTAATGAGGTGGTTCAAAATTGAAATCTTGTCGAAATGAGGAACTCAAACGAGGTACCTCACGAGTGAGGGGCTCATCACTAATAGCGTCCCTTATGTGAAAACATTTTCAAGATCGGAGCAGTATTTCCGAAGATTACCCTTATCACCTACAATGTTAGAAACATTACCTCTTTAGTATGTACAGATTACAGATGACATTAGATATATGACTCCATCTATATTTGGTTCCAGTTATATCAAAGGAAAAGTGGCAGGCTATGTTGACTAGTAACAATTGGCACAGCGTGGAGTTGCGCGACAACAGATATAACCACATAGTTCACATGGTCTCTGCGGCAAATGGAGCTGAAGATTTCTACTCAACTGAGGTGAGCCACCATAATATAAATAACTAGCTGTTTTAAATTTTAGCCTGACACCCGCGTATAGGGTAGCTATCCCGCCCCCTTTTTAAATCTGTACAGTAGTTTTAGTTTACAGTAGTTACCTATTTGATACGATACAAAACTTTCCTTACGATCTGGCATCATAGCTATGTTCCTTTGCCTGTCTCAATAGACGAAACATACAACTAGATATTTTCATACAACAAGGCTTAAGTTCCGCAGCAACAAGTGGTTAGTCTCAGGGTTAAATAGCGCCAAGTTCATTATTGAATAAAATTATGAAATATTTTCCTGCCTCATGAGTTCTCTATTAAAAGTGTGAGCATTGTTGTCAATATCATCATAAAATTTGATTCATCTGTAAATAGTGTTGCCAAAGTATAATTTTATTGGAGTTTCAATATTTCAAAAAGGTTTTATACCTTATGACTATCCGAATGGGGTTATTTTTTTCTTAAAAAAGTCGATAGAAACACAAGTTAACAGAATTCTAGTCTTGAACTTAATTGCTAATTTTAAACTGATTTAGTCCGCATGAATAGATCTTTCGTTGTATATTTCAAGTCAAGTCAAAGTTGTTTTCAAGATAAGCCAGATATAAATTATATACATCGTCACCTTCATATTATCGTTTGAATAGAATTTTTATAAGCATGTTCTTTAATTAGTTAATGGAATAAAAATAATTTATTTTTATCTAAGACTTATCTTATTACATATGTACTTATAAATAACACTAATCCTGATGCATTCGTTAACTTGCAGATTTTTTTTTATTAATTATTGTTTTTTTTGTTTGAACATCGACCATTTGATGTTGTACTAAGATTGAAAATAGTATATGTCATATTACCTCTTACGGATAATTCAGATTGTTGTTACAAATTGTTTTTAAAAGGTTTCCTAATGTGATTGCTGCCATTAAATGCTTTTGATGTTCGGCTTGGGATTGATTGTTGTCCCACTGAATTACATTCATTTATTTTCACTATTAAACATGACCATGTTGTACGATTTATTAAGAGTTTCGTGCTTCAAAAGATGAAAATTGAACCTTATTGGGATAACTTGCGTGTTTTTCAGTGATGTGCTATATGTATGTGCATAAAGTCACTGAAAAACACAGCTAATTTACTTGAAAACTACTGCACTAGTTTACTTGAGATTTGGAACACCCAATTTCAAAACTAGCCCCACTATAGAGGGTACCTTCCTAATTTTTTTAAAATATAAAATACATAGCGAAACTTTAGACAAATGAAAGGCCTTATTGTATAATTCTCGATTCGATACATTGGAGAATGGTTTAATTTGACCTGTAATAAAAAAAAGGAGAAATAGTCCTTTGCTTAATATACCGATAAGTATATTAAGTAAAGTATTATTTATGTAACTGTTTTAAATTTTGTTTTGATGAAACCCTCCGTGCATCAATCTTATTCGGCCGGTATTTTTTTATACACGTAATGTCAGGTCATGGTATGTGTGCAGCTGCAGATATATTAGAAAATATGACTAGTTACAATATTTATTGTTTTCCATGTGTATTGCATCCATGCACGTGCTTTAAACAGTATCGTGGTAACAAACGTGATACAATATAGGTACATACCTATACGTAATAGGTATATGTCTCACATCACTATACGGCTGTGACGTACTATAATTTTGTATTGTTATGATTTTCGCATTATCACTGTTTGTGAACATAATTCCGTCAATGTATACTTAATCTAATAAAAAATGTACATATATTTTTCTGATTATAGTAACCAATTACATATGAGAGAAAAACTAGGTAATACAATTTGATTAAAAGCAGTGATAAACGAAACTTCCTGTTATTTTCCATACCATTTGCCTCGTGACTGAGTCATGTCTATTCCTACAAATTGTCGTAATATAAACCAACAAGTAATTTTTGTACTGAAATAAGGCTATTGCAACCGGATTATACTGCATTTTGTAGGATTCGAACATCATGTCATTTGTTGATGCTAATTGTTGATGTCATTGCTGAGTTAATAAATTAAACGAGCTTATTGTTCCTTTAAAATGTACCCAGGACCACGCGTGCCGCTCCGAGGGCGTCGAACTGGCACGAGAATTGGACTACAACGCGGCGGCAGCATGGATAGGCCACCCTTACTTCGACGTGATAGACAACTCGACAGACTTCGACAAAAAGATGAACAGACTCATCGCGTGCGTATGCCAGAAGATAGGCATCGATACAGGGGACAGGCTCAACGTCAATTCCAAGAAGCGCAAGTTCCTCGTCAAATCGCCGCTCGTGCCCGACTCAGAGTTCCCGCCGTTCCAAGACTTCGACGTTGTCCACAACTATTTGCAGAGCGACGTGCGCAAGGCCCAAGTCAGACTTCGCAAGCGCGGCCAGAAAGGCCACTGGTCATACATTCATACTTTAAGGAAATTCCATCCAAATGGACAATCTGTCGAGGTGCGAACACAGTTAACTCACAGGGATTACATGAATATGTTGCCACAGCGGGACGACGCTCACTATGCCATTTTCAAAAAGAGACGCTGTTTTATATATAACAATCAATACTATCAGTTGGACATTTATAAGCAACCCGCGCATCCAAGGTGATCTATAGTCTCATTTTTTAATAATTTTTTTTTGTCTTATTTCTCTAACTAGCTTTTGTCCACGACTTCGTCCGCGTGGTAAAGTTACTTTAAGCAGCATTTCTAACGAATATGTATTCATTATATCGTGTAAAATACCTGAAATAAAGTTTCATCTCCTATTTTATCCTCTTAGTGATGGAATTTATCAAAATCCTTTCTTAGGAGATGCCTACGTCATAGTAGCTTTATGCATGCGGAGTCTCAGCCCGATCGGTTTAAAATTGACAAAGTTTCATACAAACTTTCATCCCCTATTTAATCCCCTTCGGGATAGAAATGATCAAAATCCTTTCTTAGAGGATGCTTAAGTCAAAGTAGCTTTATGCATGCAAAGTCGCAGCCTATCGGTTTATAATTGACAAAGTATCATACAGACTTTCATCCCCTATTTTATCCTCTTGGGGGTAGAATTGATCAAAATCCTTTCTTAGCGGATGCCTACGTCATAACATCTACCTGCATGCCAAATTTCAGCCCGATCCGTCCAGTGGTTTGGGCTGTGCGTTGATAGATCACTATGTCAGCAAGTCACCTTTGAGTTATATATAGATAGTAAAATGATAACGAATCATGTATTTATAGATAAATAATAAACTATTACTATGTATGTATATATTTTATTATTCGAGTTCCTTATTTTCGGTTGAGTGCAGTGCTTCCGATGAAGGTAAAGTTGAAGAGCTTTATTAGAACGTAGTTGTAATAACAAATTGTTTGCTAATTATTTTTATATAAACAAGTTGGTTATAGTTTAATAGATTTGTCGGTTTGTGTTACAGGTGTCGGGGTCTCGTCCTTCTCGAGACATATAGCGCAGCATATGACCAAGATACGCTGCTGGCGTCTTTACCAAAGTTCCTAACCATAGAGAAGGAAGTCACCGGAGACCCAGCCTACTCTATGTACAATTTGTCTTTGAAAGAAGATTGGAAGACATCAAAAAAGTATTATAAAGGAAACGAGACTAACGGTAAGTTCACATATTGTCAAGTAAACTTATTAGTAATTGTCATGTCTCAAAACAACACACTATTGTTGACTTCATTTCGACACGAGTGTTGTGTCTTTTGTGCATGTTATTTTATTCTTGTGAACACTGGCGTATTTGTGTTTTAGTCAGAACCTCATTAGATGTTTTTTTCTCTATTTATCGATAGATGTAGATTTTCTTAGTTATTTAATTTTTGTTTAGTCCTCGATGTCTTTAGTGACACATTTTGAAGTCCCCGCACAGTAGTGAGATCGCTAGATTGATAGCTGATAGCTTAACTATCCATTCCAGAAATTAGATATTAAAGTCATCCCGTGAATTTGCAGATACAAAAGCTGTTAAGCTGGGACATAATCCCACTGATTATAAATCATCTCATAAATATAAGGAATCGAAAAAAGTTATGCTGGCACACCATTACTCTGATAGTAAATCATCTACTGACGAGTCGAATGATATGGAATAACTTTGTGTTTCAAGAAGTTTGTTAGAGGACATTAAACATTTAGTTTTTATATGATAACACAATACGCCAGTGTTACATTTAGCGGTGCATTTGTAGCTGTGGGGTTAAAATGGTTTTTTTTTTGTTGGTTTATCAGGACATACTAAATGGTCGATGAACGGCCACAGTGATTCCAAAGTCAATGGCTACAGTAATAAAACAAACGGTCATAAAATTGATTTGAATAATGATGAGGATGGAAAGCTGAACGGCTGCAATGGGGCAGCCAGCAATGGTGTAGTAAAGATGAATGGACACCATGGTATGAACGGCCAAAAGGATAAAGTTCCTAATGGCACTGCTAATGGCGGTGGACGCGACACCGTCATGGGAACCTTACAGAATACCCACAAAATGGATCTCTGCCCACCAAAGATTCCCAAGGTTGCACTTAAAACTTAAAGATGTTTATATCTTATTGTGTAGATGTAAATTTTACAATAAAATTTCACTTGTAATTTTTAATTATACACCAAATTGTAAGTAATACAATTATTCAGACACGCCTATACTATATGGATACAATTCTATTACATTTACCGCCAATATTTTGGGTGTATATCTCGTATTGCTGTGACGTTATTACTAATATTGTATTTATTCATAATCGTTGTACAAAATGCCAAATGAAATCTATTTTTGTAGTATTCCTTGAGCGTAATGTATATTTTACATATTATTATGATATTGATGCCAAGAAATTAATATCTATGCACTCATAATGCAATACACATATTTTATTGGAAATAATTTATTGTTTGTGCCTTCATATAAAATTACATATATACTTGGAAAGTAAATATGACACCAAATATGTGTTGCAGCAGTTTTTTTTCTGGTGTCTGTGGAGTACTTAATAGATTGTATAAATTTTAAGTATTGTTGCAGTATAATTAGATTGTCTTAGTAAGTAATTAAACTTGCTTATTATGAATTGCTTCTAGCTTTACTGTTTCCATATGAAATGTTTTTACTTATAGGAACTATTCAGATCCTTGATGTGTTAAATTACTTAAAATCTATATATTTGTGCATTAAAAAAAGATAATTTTATTTTGCATTGTATGTATTTAGAGACTAATAAATTATTGCCGGTAACTATTTTATTTCTAGAATAAGATACATTTTGAAAATCTTGATGTCGTGTCGTCATATAGTAAATTGTTTATGATTTATGTTAGGGGTCCAATGAAAAAAATATTTTCATAATTCAATGAACTTATTTTAAATATAGACAGGTGTCTAGATCTAGATTCTAGAGTCTAGAACATATTAGCATTTTTGTCTCTTATTACAATTCACTGTTGATTTTTATGATTCAACATAATAATTTGTGTTCCAATGAAATATTGTTATACCTGTGCTATTGAACTACACATATGACCGAGTTTTATATGTTACAAGTTGTTTTTATTGTGATTTTAAGAAGTATTTTAAGTCATGCGTTGTTAATATGACTTGTATAATTTTTACCAGTTACAACTATTAGGAAGCTATTATTCACTGGCATAATTCCAACCCTTAAAAGGGCGGAGCTATTGAATTAGGGATAAGAGCACCGCTTGTCTCTGTTAGGCATGCGTGCCTATTGCGATTATACAGACTAACTCTGTTTCATCTAATCCTGGTGCATGCTATTCCGATTGGAAGGAAATCACTCTAAAGGATATTTAGGTGGCTTACTTAATTATGAAAATACTGCTAGAAACAAGAGTATTAAGTACTTGTGAAATTCTATTCTTGTTAAGGTCTCTGGTAGGTCAGAAGAACATTCGCCCAGTTAGCGATTATCACGTCACGGGTGCGAGTCCCCGTCTAGAATACCCAAGATAGTTTGATTATTTAAGCGTCTTTGTATAAGATCAATACGTGTTTCATTTTGAGCTATGACGTGTACACCGGATAGAAGTGTAATAAAATATGTTATATGTTTGTCATTATATAATTTGCTTTTTTTATAAATTCGGTGTACAAAACTATTTTCAATATGTATAAAAATATAGCATAAAATTTGAAATAACGTTTGTATTTTATAATTTCATATTTGTACTTTATTATAAATTGACCTATTCTTAGAATAAAGTTACATTTGATTCGATGTTTAAATCGATTTCTTAGGTTTAGTGACACGGGATATTGCCCAGTTGCGCATCTCATTTTGTCACACAGTGGAAATGAACTTTATCCCTAAATCACGACTCGGCAAATGATGTGGGAAGAGGTCCTTTGGGCTGTCACCGCACATCGCCCTTCGTGGAGGGATATCAGAGGGGTTTCTCTTTAATTTGCCTATCCCTCATGAAGGTCTGCAGTGGAGTCCCAAAACCTGTGCTGGGCAAGCCCAGTTCGCAATGCATTTGTACTTCTGACCTTATATAATAACAACAACTATAATATATTATAGATCTATAACTAATTGATTCTCAAAAATAATACCAATGTAACAGATAATTTTGTGTCAAATCGCTCTCATAAAAAGAAGAAATTACTCAGATGTAACCTTATTCTCTGGATAGGTCAAAATATCCAGGAAGTTCAAAAATTATTTCCTCCAAAATAGGGTACAAAATGCTTTGTGATACTATTTGATGTCTGACCTTTATCGATTATTACCGCCAGTAGCCTTCTGGATGTAAAAATCTCAAAATTGAACGTCTACATTGTGCATTGTTTCTGAATATAGAAAAGAAATGCGAAATTATCTTTTTGTTTTATTTATTGTGGTCCTAAGGATCTCCAAGTGGAGTTAATAAATAAAGGTATTACCGACATGGTTAAAATTTCATAGCGTTGCCTAATAAGGAAATTATACAAACGCCAAACATTCGAAAAATTTGATGACAAGCCCTTTCATTCGACACAACGTGTTGGACTACAGGTGTGGAAAGAAGTCAAATTGTATCGTGTGTTTATTTTACTATTAGGTACTACAAAAACGGAGTCGTATAATAGTTATGGTAATGGTATCCATAATGCTGATAACACTACAGTCGTGGATTTTGAAACGAATGTAACAAATAGCAAAGTTGCGTAGTTTTCGGTGATAAACGAGTCTGGCGCTGCTGGGCTAACATCAGTGTACCAGCACCATAGCGAGAACCATGCTAGACCTCGGTACTTTATATGAATTCGTCATCAATCTTCTAAACGTCCGTTTTAGCAAGAAATTGTAAAACATTGAAACTACATCCTGCAAATATTGACCAGTCTTAGGGTGTTATGAAGTGTAATAAATTGCACGAACGATAACAAACACGACTGTCGTTTATCTTCGTAACTACGTAAACTTAACGTAAGTTCAATCCAGACTTAAGTGGGTCAAGAATGAATTTCAAAATCAAGGAGATTGAAGTTGCCAGAACACTGGAGAGGGTCATTTTAATCATTTGAAGATATCGCAGATTAGTTGTGAGGGTAAATAATATCACAGTTTTGGAAAAAGACTAAGGGATTGCATTGTGCAAATATATTTAATGTGGAAGTATTTTAAGAAAAAAAAAGAAAGCACTAATAAAGCATAAGTTGATTTTTTCAGGAAAAGAATGGACCAAAGGTAGTAACTTCCATTCCTTTTAACATATTAAAAAACTGAAATTTGCCCAGTTCGAAACTTAAGATATCAATACAAATACGAAATAGTATTCATAAAATACGAGTTGTTTATTGAGTTATGAAAATTAATTTACTTTCATACATGAAACCCAGAAATGTCATGGGGAAATCACGAAAGTACCATAGCAACATCTAGATTGATTTCGGAAACAAATGTTTTGTTTTTAAATACTTCCTCATTGTGTAATATTAATATTCTTTTTAGATATTGAATGTTCTCTTATAATTTTTTTTCCATAAATTAATATTCATTTGAATGCAGTCATTTTTTGAGGTGAAATGATATCATGCATTTTGACATGAAGTTTACTAATATAGTAAACTAAATTGATACTTCAGGTGTAATAAAATTTCTAGTTTATTTCTTAGACTCTCTTAATTTTTGTTCTTTATACATTTTCATAACTTTCTTTCCTGGTATTATGCCTTGACTCAAACCAGGCCTTTTTAATTTCTTTTTATCTGATCCACTTTCCCAAACAGCATCATCAGTTGGTAACACTGTTTCCACTTGAGGTGGTGGTAATGAGGATACAGTGCCTGCTTGCTCACATACAACAGATTTCAATTTCTGTAATCAATATAATAGTAAATCAATATATTTTTCACTCACTGAAGAGACCTATGATAAGGATGTTTCAAACCATGGGTTAACAAGAGATTTTTATTGTCAATATTTGAATAGTCTTAATTAATAATATCTAATTACCCACCTGTTTCTCAGCCTCTAATTCTTCAGGAGTTTTATGTACATCAGAGTCATGTGCATATTTACAATTATGTCCAAATCTGCACCTGCCTTTACGATAATTCCAACATATCTTCTTGCCGTTGATCATTAGTGTGTCATCTTTACCTGGAACCTTACAGTCATTGCCTATGTACTTGACGATTACATGCAAAATTGGATTTATTGGTTTACTCTTTTATTAAAACTGTTATAGAAAAATACAGTATTTTATTAGGATGTATAAGTTTTCATTAATTTATTAAAAAACTCCACAAATATATCTCTGCTTTTCATTATTTTAATTAAATTTTCGTATTGCAGCACTGAATAAAGACAACTTTTTTTAAACAGAGCAGCCACATTAAATTACTTCAAAAAAATGTGGATGCTATACAAAAGAAAGTCAACATGTACCATTTTTACGTGTTTCTCAAGAATAGCAGCCTTAGCTAACTCTGCTTCTACAAATGGGTTGGAGAACACCGATGTTTGTAAAGCTGCTTCACCTAATACGGGTTTGGGTAGTTTGGGTTTTGTGCTGTTCATCCTAAAATACAACAAATGTGGAAATAAATACTTTTTCATTTCAACTAGTCTTATTTCAAAGCGATCAACCGACTTATCTGTTTCTTCCTGATCTTGCTCAGATTCACTGCCTGACGATGATCCATAATCTAATAAAGCGTTCATTATTCTCAATTTAACGGAGTGCTAGGAATAAATTTATTATTAGTTACCAATAAATTTAATCAAAGCAAATTTCAAATCGTGCTTATATCGATTACTCACAATACAACAACAATCATACATTACTAATGACAGATGACATTTTTACTAGCGCCATCGTATTCGTAACTAACAAAAAAAAAACATTGAGATGATATGTGAACAGAAACGTCAGCAGTGATATAGCCAAAGATTACAATATTATATAGCCAAGGATTGCTACAAGTACTCTTTCACGTATGCGTCTTGGACATGTTTGTTCTCCAGCACATTTAGCCAAACTTGGAATCATTAGTGATACGAGTGTGGGATGAATACTGGAGATCTAAACCATATCTTTTTTGCTTGTGTACGCTACGATCGCACAGTCTTCCTTAATGACCTAGTGACCCTCCGTGTTCTTTTCTCGATATAAATCGTTTCCTTACTATCTACTAATGACCTATCCATTTATAACTGCATAGTATCATATATAACTTTAAATATTATTAAAGTCTAAACCTATCCTGCATTCTATATGTATTATGAAATTGTGTAAATATATCTTCCTTCTCTTAATTCCTAAGCCTTCTGAACATATCCCATAAAAACCCGTTCCAACTTCTATTTTCTTTCGTTTCCGTTTCCTAAACTTTGACAATGTCTAAGCACAAACAGAGCAAGCCAAATAAAAAAAACAAGGGGTTCCTTTGACACGGCAAATACACAAACTGTGTGATGCTAAAACAAAAAACCAAGGAGTTTAAAGCTGGAAACAAATTATCGGACGCGGCTGACGGACGCGGCTGTCAGCCGCGACTTATAGGCATCTACGTAATGAATGTACACTAAGCTGTTCAGACTATCGAATGTCAGTCGTGGACGTAACCTTGGGCTGACCTTCAGCCTTCGGACGTCCGACAGGAATCTGGCTCGCTGGATGTTTTATCAGCCGAAAACGTCCGCGGACGGTATGCACGGGGAGCGGGACGCGTCCTTGCATCAGAAGGACGCTGACGACGCGAGAGATTCCACGTGTCCATATGCATTAAAAATGGAGGAACGAATTATATAGTGTGTGTAGTATTAATATGTTGTCTATTGTTCATTTGACTTTGTCAATATGAATTCAGTATATGTCTAATGTAACTAATATTTTTATGTTGATTAAAGCCAATATTCTAATGATAAATTGGTTATTTCTATCAATTTAATCAACATAAAGAAAGCTGATAAAAATGTCGAAGGAGAAACCTGAAAGTTCTACGGAAGAAATATCAAAACAAATGTCAAATATGTCTCGCTATCTCCGACCGGAAAGATTTGAATCTGAACCGAATTCTGTGATGGCCGATCTCAAATGGAACCATTGGTTAGCTACGTTTACTAACTTTTTAAACGAAGAAGGTCCTCATATTTCTACTGAGTTGAAATTACGTTTGCTAATTAATCATTTGGCACCTACAATATTTTCCATAATAAGAGATTGTATTACGTTTGAAGATGCTATAAAATTATTGAATGATGCGTATATAAAACCTAAAAACGAAATATTCTCTCGTCATGTACTTTCCACAAGAAAACAACTGACAGGTGAATCGATAGCTGAATATATACAAATGTTAAAAAATTTAGCTCATGAATGTACCTTCAAAAGTGTTACAGCAGAAGAATATAGACAAGAATATATACGAGATGCCTTTATATCGGGGATAGGTTCAAAACAGATTCGTCAACGACTTTTAGAGAACAAAACTCTATCATTAGATGATGCTGTGAAGCAGGCCGTAACACTTGAATCCGCTGAGAAAGATAATAATGCAATTACCGAAAGCTCAGTTTTAAAGACTCAAATCAATGCTGTCAGTGAAATACCTTATTCAACATCGTCGAATGAGAATTTAGCCATTGCTACGCGACGGAAAAGGCGGTGTTTTTTCTGTGGATCGGAGAGTATTCACCAGCGAGTAAAGTGTCCAGCTTATAATGTCAATTGTCAATTATGCTCCAGAAAAGGCCACTTTGCTAATGTTTGTCGCTCTGCTAAGCAAAATACAAGTTTTTCGAACGCAATAATACACCAGGATAGTCACATAGAAGAAACAAATGACGGCACTGCATGTATTTCGGCTGCATTTCCGGGTAATCTGATAAAAGCAACAATTCCAGTCACAATAAATGATCTCCGAGCTGATGCTCTTATTGATACCGGAAGTTCATGTAGTTTTATCAACGCAGAGCTTGTAAAATCTATGAATATTAAAATGAAAAGAGTAACCCAAGCAGTATCATTCGCATCATTGAATCAGATGTCATACGTTAACGGACTTTGTCATGCTACAATAAAATTGAATGAACATAGTTACACGCGCCATCCATTGCTTATAATAAATAACCTATGTGCAGATGTTATTATTGGGCATGATATTTTAAAACATCACAGATCTTTAGAATTCAAATTTGATGGAGACAGAGAACCACTTCAAATATGCAATGTAATGCAGGCTTCAGTACCTCCAGCTACTATATTCTCTAACCTTTCGTCCGAATTAATTCCTGTTGCAATTAAATCGAAAACTTTTTCTGAAAATGACCAAAATTTTATTAAAGATGAAATTGAAAAATTGCTGAAAGATGGAGTTATTGAACCAAGCGTATCACCATGGAGAGCTCAAGTTCTAGTAACGGGTGGAACTACACATCGTAGGAGAATGGTGGTAGATTATTCCCGAACCATAAATCGTTATACTGAATTAGATGCCTTTCCTTTACCAAAAATTGATTCAATAATATCTAAAGTGTCAAGATATAACTATTTTAGTCAAATTGATTTAAAATCTGCTTACCACCAAGTTCCAATATTAGAGAAAGAACGACCATTTACAGCGTTTGAAGCTTGCAGGAACTTATATCAATTTACTCGCATTCCGTTTGGCGTCACTAATGGAGTAGCAGCCTTTCAACGAACTTTAGAGTACGTCATACAAAAAGAGAAGCTAAAGGGGACGTATGCTTATTTAGATGACGTTACAGTTTGTGGGAAAACAAAAGAAGATCATGATGAGAACTTATCAAAATTCATGGAAGCGGTTGCTAAATATAATCTAACTCTTAATAAAGATAAGTGTACTTTTGCAAGTGAAACTATTAATCTATTAGGATATACAATTAGTAATAACATAATTACACCAGACAAAAGTCGTCTAAAGCCATTAATGGATTTACCTTTACCTAATAATACTGCTTCCTTAAAGAGAGCACTTGGAATGTTTGCTCATTACTCAAAATGGGTGCCTAACTTTTCAGCTAAAATTCAACCACTCGTACGAGCAAAATTACCACTCAATACGGAGCTAAGTGACAGTTTTCAACAACTTAAAAGAGATATCGCTAAGGCAGCATTGATAAGTATAAACGAAACTGATCTCTTAACGATAGAAACCGATGCATCAGAATACGCTATTGCTGGAACCTTGTCTCAAAATGAAAGGCCAGTGGCATTTTTTTCACGATCATTAAATGACGCCGAGAAAAAGCATTCTTCTATTGAAAAAGAAGCCTATGCTATCGTTGAGTCTTTACGAAAATGGCGTCATTTTCTAGTTGGCAGACATTTTTTACTAGTGACAGATCAAAGATCAGTATCTTTTATGTTAAATCAGAGACATAACAGCAAGATCAAAAATGAGAAAATTGAAAGATGGCGGCTAGAATTGTCTTGCTTTAAGTATGATATAGTATATCGGCCGGGCAAAGAAAACGTTTCCGCCGATACATTGTCTAGAGTTTGCGCTAGCCTTAGTACTAACAAGTTATATGACTTACATAAATTATTGTGCCATCCAGGTGTGGTAAGAATGTGGCATTGGATTAGAACAAAGAATTTACCATACTCGATTAATGACGTAAAATCTATTACGGCGTCATGTCCTATATGTGCAGAAATTAAGCCGCGATATAATAATGCACATAGTCATTTAATTAAAGCTACAGAGCCTTTTCAACGTCTCAGTATTGATTTTAAGGGTCCTTTGCCCACGATTTCTCGTAACAAATATATACTCACGATAATTGACGAATATTCAAGATTTCCGTTTGCCTATCCATGTCCTGATTTATCTTCACAATCTGTCATTAAATGTCTTAAAGATTTATTCCTTACTTTTGGAGCACCCGCTTATATTCATTCAGATAGAGGAACGGCCTTTGCATCGGATGAAATGAAACAATTTCTAACAACCTATGGTGTTGCCTCAAGCCGTACTACTCCATACAATCCTCAGGGAAACGGACAGGTGGAACGCTTGAATGGGACGCTTTGGAAAACTATTCAACTCAGTCTTAAGTCAAATGGTTTAGATAGTTCATGTTGGGAACAAGTATTAAACGTCGCCTTGCATTCTATACGATCACTCCTGTGCACAGCTACCAATGAAACACCACATGAGCGTCTATTTCGCCATACACGTCGATCACCGACAGGGGATACTATACCTTCATGGTTATTGATTCCCGGTCCAGTACTAATGAAAAAGAACGTTAGAACATCAAAATTTGATCCTGCCGTAGAAGAAGTAGAATTACTTCATGGAAATCCTCATTATTCACATGTTCGCTTGTCTGATGGACGTGAAACCACGGTTTCAAATAGACAATTAGCCCAACTACCGACAGAGGACTACGATTCTGATGAGGAAGTCGATGCTGCAGATGTACCTGTTGTTACAGGTGATATATCAGATAGTTTTCCTAGAGAGACTGACGCTACTGCCTCTCCATCTGGCACTCAAGAAGAAGGTACCGAGGTTTTGCGTCGGTCGTCACGAGATAAGAAGATGCCTGAATATCTTAAGGATTTTGTTAGAAACTAAATAACATGGGAGGGGTGAATGTAGTATTAATATGTTGTCTATTGTTCATTTGACTTTGTCAATATGAATTCAGTATATGTCTAATGTAACTAATATTTTTATGTTGATTAAAGCCAATATTCTAATGATAAATTGGTTATTTCTATCAGTGTGTTCGCAACAAAGAATTACTTTATAATCCTAAATTGAAGGATTATAAAGATGTTATAAAAAAACATATAGGAGTACGAAACTGTGTTGATTGTTTTTCAATGTCATTTTCGATTAGATTTAGCAAAAAATTAAATTGATCCTCATTCATTCTAAAATAAAGTTTATAGCATTCATCTCTTAATAATTGTGGATACAAAGTGTGAAATTCACCACACTCCGTTCTTTCTTTATCTATGTCATGGACCCAAACGTGGACGTACTTTCTAGCTGGACAACATAAAGCTGCTGCCGCTAATTCGAAAAATTCGTCCTCACTTTCACTACTCGACATGTTTCTTCATCAACAGTTCTTAGTGTCCTTGAAGACTGTGCAAACTTATAAGTCGCGGCTGTCAGCCGCGTCCGATAATTTGTTTCCAGCTTTAAACTTTTAAGTTGCTTGTTGATGTCAAATGAAAATTATATGGCTTATCAGGGTCTATGACAACTATATTGCCAACGGTGTATTTTATTATAACTTTTAGAAGAAAAATATTTCGATAATAAAAGCCCTACCGAAAGATAAATTGTACTATTGTATTTGACATATTGAAAATAAATTGCATGTTTTGGTCATTCTATTAGATAATAGTCTACATAAAGTTTAAGTGTTTAATTTTATTAAAGTAATGTAAAGAAAATGCTACATTTTTTAGGAATTTAAATAAACGACGAAAACGCAAATGAGAAGTATTTAAAAAGAAAAAATCGTTCCCAAAATCAAATTAGATGTCGCTACGGTACGTTCTTGATTTCTCCATGACAACCGTTATGGTTTTCTTCCATGTTAAAAGTAAATTAATTTTCAAAACTCAATAAGCAACTCAGGTTCAGGTTTTTCAAATTTCAGTTTTTTAATATGTTAGTTAAATGGAACGGAAATGACTGTCTTTGGTTCATTGGTTTCCTGCAAAAAACATTAACATTTTTGCAGGAAACGAATGGACCAAAGACAGTCATTTCCGTTCCATACTATTCGTATATTGTTAATTATACTATTCTCATAAATTATCATGTTAACAGTGTTTTATCATACAAAATTAAGTGTTATGCACAAAATAACGTTTATTAATTTCGGAGCAGCTCGGTGGTGTAGTAGATAAGCGCCGTAGCCTACGATCGTTGTTATTAAGCGACTTCGCAAGGATGTGTGACCAAAAAAATATTATCTCGAGGTATTTCGTGCTTCGGAAGGCACGTTAAGGCATTATTAAATTATCTAAATGAAAAATCAACAAAAAAGGTCCGTTCAAAACGAACATGAAGGTTATAACTTTTAATTTTAAAATCATAATGACACGGCGGACGTCGCGCCAGGTGTTAAGTTAATTTGTACGTTGGGTCTGTGCTTTTTTGGTTTTTACAATATGTATGTAGTCTAATGAAAACAACGAATTTCTACTTATATAAGTCCACTTTATTAAGACGTCTTGTAAAACCCCATAAAACGTAAGTGCGCTATTAAGCAAAAGTCAAAGAGTATATCTCCACTCTGGCTAAATTCAATAAAGACTACATGACTGAAGAGGATGCGTTCCAATATCACAACACAATAATATTGTCAATAATAGACTGACTTCCTACTCAACTTACTCTTGAAATCAGATTTATTGAAATTTATTTACTTAATAAGCACCTAAAGTAGTCACGCTCTCTTAAAAATCTCTACGATTGTGTCATGAGGTCTTTACGTTCCCTCAAATATTGTTGAACGGGGGGCTGTCAGTGGGGGTGAGTCTGCAATAGACTACTTAATTTCGTCCATTTTCGTTAGTTATGAATATTGCATATTGAATTATTAATGAGTATGTATGACTCGGTAATCGAAAAATATTTCTCTTGTTATTTCTAACATTGAAAGTGACTTCATAGTCTAATTAAATCACATTCCAATAAAAAAGAAGCTGAATTCTGCGCTCCGCTTTTTATTCTTGTTTCTAAACCTGAATTCGGATGAATCTAGTTGATTTAAGTTACGGGCAACCAAATAAGTTACCTAACTTATCACTAATGTTGACATAAACCAAACATCGCTCCTTTACATGTCATGTAAATAACTTTAACTTACTATTCAAATAAATTACAATTAATTTGGAAGTTAGATATTAGAGCAACACGAAACGATGTAATATTTATTAATTTTTAATACTAAATTTACTTTTATTATATCTTTTATTATAGTGAAAAAAAATAATAAGTGGTCAGTCCTGCGTTTAACTTACTTTTTGCGGTCTGCTGTCGCTGTCTCTTTCTCACAGAGATGTTCTTTGGTCATAAACTTATTCTTTGGTGGTCTGTCTGATTGCTTCTATGGTTTATATAGTCTGCTTGTCTGCTTACTGCCGTGACGGCGGCATCAATTTCTGAATTAATTACCATTTGTCGCAAAAACTGCGCGTCCTTTATCTTTTTTGATCAAAAAACTTAGCTTTTATTTTAAATTGTGATAAATAGTGATCCAAATGGCATCAGATGATGAGGTGGACGGTTCTTTTGCAGGTAAATGAACTATTTAGCTAGCATGTCATAGGTAAGCCGCGAATAGCGGGATCATGTGTTTACTTGCGGTGGATGCAATTAATGAATTAGATTTTTTTTTGTATTCTTTCGTAAATTTGCTAACTATCTGTGAATAGGTTGATTACGCTTCAAGAATGGACGTTATCAGCCTTTCAATGGTGCATGTGTAATTTGATGGTTGTAAATATTTTTATGTGGCCTTTATGACAGAAAAGAACATTCAATATCCCCTCATTACTACTTAACAAAATGGACGCCGCCAAACAAAGGGATTAGTGACCTTTTCTTCAGGAGTGTCCATGATTAGTGAAATTAAGTCTCATTAGGTTTCCTAGTGCAGGGTCAGGTGTAAAGCATGGTCAAAGTGATCTGACCAGTTTATTATGATCTCTCAGGTGATGAGGACGTGGAGGAAGGAGAGGGTCAGAATGAAAATTCTGGTGAGAGTGATGAGGCACTGATGGCAAAGGTATATTATTTTCTTTTTTTTTTGTAATTTTATTCTTACAGAGAGTTTTTGTAATTTTACTATTTCACAGTTATTGGTTATGTTTTGGTTTTAGTTGATTTTGCTTTTTGACATATACCTACTCCTTGGATTCCTGAACTTTGTGTTCTGTATTAATGCATAAAATTTGATTGTAGGAAGATGATGATTATTCCCCTGAAGATGGCAGAAAAAAGAAAAAAGGTAAGAAGAGAAAGGCCCGTGGAGAAGAGAAAAAGGGAAGAAAGAAAAAGAAGAAGAGGAAGAATGAAAGTGAAGAGGTAAGTGTTTTTTTTTTATTATAAAGTGATTTTCGTTGTAAGAGGTTAGGCTCTCACAAGAACATATTTCTCTATAAACTGAGCTTATTTATTCTTAATTTGTTTTGTTTTGTTTTCAACATTTGCAAAAGCCGAATGAAAACTAATGTTTATTCAATTTAATGTTTCAATATATGCAGGTATTTTTTTTATTAAGTATGTGTCTATTTAACTTACCAGTTCACCTATAAACTTTATAAATAGATTATTTGACTGATACCAACATAAGCTGAAATCATTAACTTTTTATTTTATGAAATGTCTTGAATAAAAAGTACACGACTTTCTAAATAGATTGTTTGTTTAATACCTTTAAATTTTTTGATTAAACTATCTATGCAATTTAAAGTACACAATATTGTATGTCTGAATTAATAATACATTATCAAAGCAGGCCTCAGATAGTTTTTTATCTTATCTGATCTTCTCGACACCTGGTGTTGAGTGGTATAACAAATGCAATACTAGGCCCAATATGAATAATTCAATAAGGTAAAATAAATATACACTTCTTACTAAGATATTCAATCAGTAATATTTACTACTGAAATTATTTATTTCAAAAAGCATAAAAATTGTAACATAAATGTTAAGTTATTACATATATTACCAGCTGCATAATTAGGTATTATATATACCTTCATTGTAAAGTATAAAATACATAACCATAACATATATAAATACATTAAAATATTAATAGCATGGCTATCTGTTTTGCTGTGAGAGTAGTTTTTATAGTTGTACATATTAAAACTTAACATAGACAAAGCTAGGACCAGTAAATATGCTTGCATGCATATTAAAGAATAGAAAACTGTTGGTTGAATGTCATATAATCTATCAAAAACTGAACATAAATTACTAGATAGTTTTAGTGGATAGTTGCTTAAAGTAAACATTTAAAACTGATTTGCTTTTAACTAACTGCACTTACAATTCAGTTATCCCTATAACTTCTTAGTATCTTCAGAGCCCTGAAACGATAGAACTTGCTACAGACCAACTTTTTTCTATCCTCTTTATAGTTTCTGTGTATTTCGAAATCCAGACACCAAACTGTGCTGCAGTATTCGAGTTACTTCTTACGTAACTGTTATAATAATAAACAATGAGAGCTTTTTAAGATCTTTTATATTTTGAAGAATAAATCATAGAGTTTGTTTGCCTTTTTTACGATTGTGTTAATGTGATCTGTGAACCGCATTTGACTATCAATTATTATTCCAAGATCCCTGATGGTAGTAACTTCTTTGAGTCTATCACCAGCTATAGAGTAATGATTTTGATGTATTTAGGAGTTCTCCATCCAGTGAATTGATTCAAGATGATTAGTTATTGCTAAATAATCGCGTTGATAAAAATGATTACGCTTTACCATAATTTTAAATCAATGTTGAGTGCAGGGTCATATTTGACAATTTCTTTTATAGGTTTTACCTCGTGTGTTCATAAGTTTTGAGACGAAATAAAAGTTGCGTAACCTTTTTAATAATTAACTTATATTTCTAAAGTTTTCAGTAACTATTAAATAGATAATAATCAACATTAAAATATATATTTTATTCAAAATGACCGCCCTTGTTTTTAATACAGGCCCTTAGACGATTTGCCCAGTCGTTAATGGCGGCACGAACCTTTTCTAGCGGAATTCGCTTTGCTTCTCGAACAAGGGTTCGCTTCAGTGACTCCAAGCTTGGGTGGGACTTTCGGCAGGCCCTGAGCTCTAACTCAGTTCATAAAGAATAATCCAGCGGGCTTGGGTGCTTTTTCCTTTTTGATCTCTGCAGGCGTCCTCATAGAGCGTGGCCGATTACAACTTGTCTATTTGTACCGCTGTATTGTGTATTAGACGAAGTTACGGCTTACAGGAAAACTTTTCAGCTCGCTGAAAATCTGCATCGGTGTTTTTTCTCGCCTTAAATAGCGAAATGACAGTTGCACGTAATCGTTTCGTTCCCTCTATCACAAGAAAATATAAACAAATGAATTTGCGATACAAATAAATTAAAATTCCAAATTCAAAATCGATAAAAAAAGCCAGTAATATTTTATTTTTTCAGTAAAAAGTTTATCTCAAAATTTATGAATACACTGGTATACTGGTATACTGTCGTTAACACATACGTCCATTAAGGTTTAATAACGCTTTTAAGCTCTAATGAGTGTCTAATTTGTATAGGTAATGTCGCTTTAAACTAATGAAACCTTTAATGGACGTTTGTGCAACTGGCTGTTAGTTACATAAAATTAAATCTAGGATATTGTCATTCTTGTTAGTATTAAATTGCTTTAAAACAGTTAACATTAGAAAATCAATGAACTCGCAAAACAACTCACAGTTACCATAACCCAATGGCATCGAGCTATAATTATCATAAGGTACGTTGCCAGCTAATACCTCTCATATTAAAATCACCTGCAATCGATTTTTCATGATTAGGATACTTTTGAAGCGTCAAGTTAATAACTTTATGAGTAAATGTCACTATATGTTTCTTCAAATGGCAAAGTAGACGGCACATATGTTAAGTTTAGATGCTTTAGTACAAGATTTGGAGGTAACGTAAACCGGAAGATCCTCAGAGTCACTCTCATACTCAGTAACGTGCGTAGAGCTCAATCGACTAGATAGCGCTGTCAAGACGCCACCTCCCCTTGTGCTTGTTGAAGTAGTTGTTTCACGGTGTCGTCTGTATACATTATATCTGCTCTTAAAAAAACTGGCAATCGAAAAATCCTCTTCTTATAATATAACTATATATTCAACTATACACTATACTATACTCCACTATATTTTTAACAACAATTTGACATAGACTTTGAAAAAATATCTAAATACAATAAACTCAAAACAATACAAAAAAAGAACTGCAAAAGTACTAAAATTAATAGCAAATAATGCGATTATTGATAAAGTTCTCACCTCAATAAAAATTTCTGTATAAGATTAGACAGATCTTGGTTATTCTTAACTAGCTATTTGCCAGCGTTTCGCCCGCATGGTTTGTATTATGCATAAAAACCTTCCTTCTGAATCAAATCCGTTGCGTAGTTTTAAAGATTTAAACATACTAGGGATATAGGGACAGAGAAAGTGACTTTGTTTTATACTATGTAGTGATAAGCTTGTATTCAGGAGTATCTATATATTATATATATATATATATATATATATATATATGTATATATATATGTATATATATATATATATTATATATATATATATATTACCACCCTTACCTCAAACAAATTTATAGTTAAGTTCCTTCGCCTTAGCCCGTGTTGCTGCATGAAGTGCTTTTTTGTACTGGTGATAGATATTCCACTATAAAAACCTGCTTTCTATAGCCGCAAGTACCAGTAAGCTGGTATTTAGTTTAAATACAATTATTTTAGTTTCTTTTTGTTGATGTTCCACTCTTATTATGTTCAGGATGATGAATTCGGTTTGGAAATCGAAGCAGATGGTGATAGTGACTTTGCTTTGAGTGCAGTCTCTAGCAAGAAGTCCCGTAAAGGTCGAGGCAGCAAACATAGCACACCCGCTACCCCGGTCGCTTCTGACTCGGGATCTGGTAAGAATTATCCTTTTCTAAAAACAATATATAGAGTAACACATTATATATATATTCCTTTAATCTCTCTCTCTTTGTGTGGGTCTCTATATTTGTTGTTTTCTTTTACGTAATTGATTCCATTTACTATTTTAAATCTCGTACGACACTCCACGACAGGGACTGTCAGCATATGAGTGCTATTGTGATGTTGACTGTCACAAAAGTTACCACTAGAATAGCCACCAGAGGGGTGCGACCGCCTGATTCTCTAGCCATGATTCTAGCCATAGGGTATATATAACTTAATGATATTGTGTCGATATTTCATTTTATAATACATTTTTTGATATGTACTTTGTAACAACGAACGAAAAATAAAGAATGGTAATTATGGATTTGATAGCAATATTACCAGCTTAGTCCTAAATTTAGTCACCAAACGACATTTCAAAATAGTAACATAAAGTTAAATATCGTGTAACATCACTAAGATATCGTATCCTATGACTAGAATCAAGAATAGAATGATTAATGATGTAACATAACATTTATATTACCGCCGAATAGGTCTTGTATGTAAAGTTAACATTTAATTTGTTTAATATTATTTGAGCAGAGTCACTTAACAATAAATTCCGTAGTGAGTCCATCAGTTCGTTGACCTTGCATTATTAGATGCGTATTTTCACATCACGCTATTTATTGAAATATTTTCACATCATTTCTTTGTTAGCAATGTTTACTAAATTTTCACTGAATCCTATGCATTAATTTCATTTACAGTTTTACTTCAAATTTTATTCTGTTAAAGAAATAGTGCTAAGAGATGGAGTGTAATTGACGGAAGAAATCTAGCGTGTCTTCGGTCGCATATGACATTTAATCTTGCACACTTGACGGATGATCCGTCGCGTACTAACGTCCGATTTGATCCAACCCTTATAATTCCGCACACATTACTATTAAAACCAGCCAAGTGCAAGTCGTACCATACCATTATCTAAAAAACACATAAATCACTGTTGCATGGGAATTTAATATTTATTTTATTCAATTTTTATTATTTGTTGTGATTTATTAAAAAATAAATCGTAACCTTCGTTATTCTTGCTTCGTCCGTCTGTAAAAATTATAATAAATGTTTTAGTTAATCGGTTTTAAAGACACAGATAGGTTGGAATTTGCAGGTTGCTATTATACCTATATTCGTGAAGCGTCACATGGCATGCGATATATTCACCCAGTGTGCTATGTTGAATGTGATATATATTTATCAGTTTTGACGATCTGCGACTGGCACATCTTTCGTCAGTTAAGCATTGATCCTTAAACAAAATAAGAAGTATCTGAATTAATTATAAACATCCTGATTTCTAGAACTACTTAGATAAATTATTTACCATCATATAGATTTTATTCTGGTGAAAAATCTGGTTAACTTTACATCCTTTTACTCCTGCAGTCATTCTAACCGAAATTCGAATTCACTATCACGTATTCACGTCATTTAGTGTAGAAATTCTATTGATTCCATTTTTTGTATAAAAATACAAAACAAAATTGATTGAATATACGTGTCTCAGATATTATATTCCTATATAATTTCGAAACTAGCTTCACTTATGTCACTTTCTGGCATAAGTGAAGCTACTTAATTCGGACACTTGAATTCGAATTGAGGTAGGAGATATTTAAGGAATCTCAGTGCTGGAGTCGAATGAGGGCCGTGGGTATTATATAAATAATGTTTTCAACAGGAATGCCCACTGTAGAAGAGGTTTGCTCATCCTTTGGACTCGCAGATGTGGACATCCAGTATACAGACGCCGATCTAGAAAACCTTACGTCATATAAGTTGTTCCAGCAACATGTACGCCCATTGCTGGTCAAGGAGAATCCTAAAGTGAGTTATTTGAACAGAACTGATAAAATACTCTTTTCTCTATTTGAAAGAATTGAAAAGCATTGTAAATGCAAAATTTATCAAATATAATATTTAAAAAAAATTAAAGTTTCGGGTTCAATCCCTGTAACAATGTAGAAAATTAAGGTTTGTATTTTGTCTAGTTATGACCTTTGGTGTTTTAGATTTCCATAACTAAAGAACTTTAACTTCATTTACCTGGTTTCTGAATTGAGTATTTATAATTAAGCACGTCTTAAACTGTATTTAAACATCCCTTTTTCTTTCTTTCTTTTTCTTTTCTTTTAGTTTTTTTTTTTATGATCAGTATATAGTAATTTATATAGCAAAAGTAAAAAAAATAAGTTATTGAGAATAATCAGTTGAGAATTTGTACTTTCTCAATCGAGAACCGGTCGTTAGTTTAAGATCTGAGTAATGGATGTGCAGTGTCTAATGCCTAATGCTTATTTAGGTTCCAATTTCAAAACTAATGATGCTGGTGGCAGCGAAATGGCGACTGTTCTGTGAATCGAACCCCAATCTCGGTGGTGGGACTCAAAACATTGGCTCCGAGGACAATACGAACACGTCCACTGCATCCGATTATGCGCCGAAGTCTAGATCGAGTCGCCCTGCTAAGGAGTCTAAGGTAAACAATTCTTCAATTCATAGGTTTATTTGTAACGTCTTTTGTACTTCTTGTTTGCTAAAAGAACAATAGGGAAATATTTTCATTTTGACATTACAAGCAATAAATGTTTTTTTTAATGAAATGGACCGAAATGTTCTCGTGCTTTTAAAATTTGCCCAAGAAACATGTATTAATAGAAAGCAATACTGCAGCCATAATGCAGCACAAAAGTAAAAAAGTTCGATTTCTATAGGAAGTGGCAACGCATTGTCGCAACTAAAATATTATTTTCAATCTGAAAATTTCATTTCAAATTGTAGTTTTTTATTTATTATTACCTTAATGTATTTGTTTAGGTTGGAAAAATGATACTGTTATTGAAGTGTGTTTGTTTTTCAGAATGAAGATGCGGCAGAAGATCCAGAGGAAGAGGATGAAGAAGAAGCGAGCGATGAAGGCACACCGGCGCCTCGTAAACGCGGCCGTAAACCGAAGCACGCGGCCGGCGCCACGCCGCGAGGGAAACCGGGGCGCAAGCCTAAAGTACCCACGCTCAAGATCAAGTTCAGTAAGAGGAAGCGCACCAGCAGCGTGAGTACCAGCCCTTCGAATGTACGTATTCGCTCAAACAAAATTATGTTGATTATATTTTATAAACCGCTCGATGCCAGCTTCACAGAATATGTTATGCTAAACACTTTTTAATATGCTGTTGTTCTGTCGGGTGGACAAACTTTATGGTTTCAAAATATGTTGATTTCTTGTTTATAGATTTTTTTTTGCGTAAATTATTTGTGTAGATGTTGCTTTTAGTTTTGGAATCATTTATTTCATATTACTGTCACATATATAGTTATTTATAGATGAGTATATATATAATTTAATATTTTTTTTAGGAGGACGATCAAGAAGGTAGTGCTGGTGCGAATAGCGATTCAGACGCAGAATTCGAACAGATGTTAGTCGAAGCTCAAGCGCAAATGGACGCGACCACTCAAGCTCCGAAAGCGCAAACTTCGAAAGCTGCCGCCACGATCGCTACTGAAGAGAGTTCCGCGCCCAAGGAGGACGATCCGAATGCGCCGCAGCAGCCTAGGAAGAAGGCTAAAACCAAGATCGGCAACAAGAGCAAAAAGAAGAAGAAACTAAAAACCACAAGCAAGTTCCCCGATGGCGCCGAGGGCGAACAGGAGCATCAGGATTATTGTGAGGTGAGGTTCTATGTTTAATTCAACAATAGTAGTTTACGCAACTGTCATATAAGAAGGGGTATTGAAACACGAGAGTCTGTTTATCCGATAATAGGTTGACGCGAGTGTTTTAATACCTAAGTTATATGCAGTTTCATACATTACTTTATCTTCACTAATAGGAAAAATGAAATTATTGATGAAATTGAACAAAGTAGGTAGGTTACAAGGAAGTAATTTTTTGGAATCCCGAATACAAAAACACGATCTACTACGCATGCGAGCGCCATTTTTTTCATATTCAGCCTAAAACCATAGACTAGTTTCATGAATAAAAATGGATAGCGGTACTGTAATGAGTTTTCTGATATAGTTGGCGGTACTATAATGAGTTTTATTTTCAATTTTATGTTTATGCGTTAATAAAGTGCGTATTTATATAATCGTCTTTGAATTCGTAATTCGAATTTTTCGATTTGAGTGTAGATAAAGAAATATTATATATGTGATATTACATTTATTCCAGTTTTCTCGAAGCCCTTTTCAGTTTACACAAAATGAAACTTACAAAACAATGTTGTGTAAGTGGTCTGTTGATGTATTGTTTATTGTGATTGTGTAACATGTGCGCACAACTCTTGAGTTAATATTTGATAGCTTTAATACCCTGGAACATTCCCCTTTATAACGTAATATTTTTCAGTGGTGAAAGGTTTTCTTTTGAGGGCGTGTAATTATTTTCTAAAAGTGATAAAAGGTTTTTAGTAATTGCTTATTGAGGGCGTGTAACGTGTTTCCGGATGCAGGTGTGTCAGCAAGGCGGCGAGATAATCCTGTGCGACACGTGCCCGCGCGCGTACCACCTCGTGTGCCTGGAGCCCGAGCTGGAGGAGACGCCCGAGGGCCGCTGGTCGTGCCCCCACTGCGAGGCCGAGGGGAACCAGGACCAGGACGACGACGACGAGCACCAGGAGTTCTGCAGGTAATGTGGCACACAACAAACGGCCGAATCACAACTATAGGTGTAGACAACTTATTATATACGTAGAATCCCGATTTTATTGTCAACTTAAAATATTTTCACGATGCAACCGCGGCATCAGCTCAACCTTGAATTGGTTATAACGTTTCGTGGATAAGTGAAGTGAATTTTGAAATGACAAAGGAATATAATATTTGAGACATGTATGAATCAATCAATCTTATTTTGTATTTTTATACAAAAATGGAACCAATAGAATTTCTATGCTAAATGACGTGGATTCTGACACCAGAATTGCTCCCCAGCTCTTCTTTATTTTAAGTGATTAAGTAAAAAGATTACCTTTTCGGCACAAATGTATACTATCTCATGCAAAAGCTTTTGAAGCTCTTGATGTTACTTTGAAAGACACGATGAATCATGTCCCACACAGATGTTACAACTGAAGCGCATCAAGGATGATATATATTACATCAAAGCAAAGATCAATAACATGTTATTTTCAATTAAAATTATAAATTATATAGGTGTTTATTTAATTCATTATCAATATAGCTTGATTTTTTATATATTGTATCTAAGCAACGACGAATGGAAACCCAATATCATAATAAAAATTGGTTAAATTTTCACAATTAATTGATTTTACGTTGAAATCGATTATCCGGATTTTTGGTTGTACGAAATACCCCTCGTTTTAATTGATTCGGATAATCGGGATTCTACTTTTTATTTCATTGATTTACATGAAATTTATCGAAAAATATATCATTCATATAATTAGTTAAAATCTAAAAATTAATTAATTTTTCGAAATTTCTGGCGAAAACGTCACTTCTGTCTTGGCATCGCTATGATGTTACCTCTGAAACTAATATCGTTCTTTGTACGCATAAGGTTGAACTCTCTAAGTTCGGACATGAGTAAGTAACGTCACGCCCTTCTTACTCACGTGACATCTGACTACACCGTGATTACTGATTGTCTTACTGATCGTCCCTGACTTACGTTATCCATTGAACACGCTACAAAATTTTGTACGGTTTTCTTATATTGACTAAAATTAATATATCTACTATAAAAAACGTTCAGAACATGCGTAGGACAAAATACCGTGTGCTCGCAGTCTAACTATAAATAATACGTAGTTTATAGATAAAGTAAAAAATAGATGTCTGTAAACACATTTACTACCTATGATGTCCGTATTGTACCTGGAGGTTGATGAATGATTTTTGTCTATATACCTACAGTATTTGGTATCAAAATACATGAATTTAAATAATTTAGGCAAAATAATAGATTATCATATGTTTTGTGTATGCTAAATTATTAAATTATGTTGATATGGTTAAAATTTAGTAAGTGGTTACTTCATTAATGTTGTTTTTCTCGATATCCAAGACTAGTAACTTTCAGGTGTATGATAATAAATTCTATTTATAATCGTTGTTATACAGTAGATGAAGAGCATAACCCCATGTAATGCAAGATCGAACTTGGTTCATGTTTTTAAGTAGGTATAGTAAAAGTTGCCATCATATCCACATGTATGAAAAACAATACTAATCAATATTCTCTCTGTTTAAATGACACGCAGCTGATGTGTATAATATTTAACTTCATATCGACATAGAAGACAAATTATGTTGTGAGCTGTAAACAATGTTCGGTTAGGTTAGGAAGTGGTCTTCGGACTGCACCCATAGAGATACACATCGCTAGGTTTTTTGTGGTTGTGCCTCTAATATTTGACTAACCCTATGGGGTGGGGGGAGTCCCACATAACCCGCCGATCCCGTACTAGCGGAAGGAGGAAGCGGGTATGCGTAATGAATTTCATAGCGTCCAAAAAAAAGTTGGGTATGGGGACTTTTTCAGTACTGTAGATCTGTAAACAAACTATGTGTGTTTCCAACAGGATCTGTAAGGATGGCGGCGAGCTCCTCTGTTGTGACTCATGTCCGTCGGCATATCACAGGTTCTGTCTCAATCCACCATTGGACGAGGTGCCCGACGGAGAGTGGAAATGTCCACGGTGTAGTGTAAGTACTTATTTATTTGATCTAATATTTATATATGGTGCACGTAGCATGAAAGTCAACACAAAAGGTCAAATTATTGATATCAAGTTTCAATGTAACTGAATAGATAAGGTTTAAAATCTATTTAAAAAATTTGGTCTTTTGTAGTGATCTAACATGCAGTATTTGTACATATTCTTTTATGATATATTCTTCATTGGTTTTGGTATTAGAAATTGTTCTGATATGTATTACTGTTATCGATTTTAAGACATTATTGACTTAATAATAATAATTATCTTGAATTTTGCATTTATAATATTTATCTTAAAAAATAATATTATTATAATACTGTAAACAAAATTTATTAGTTCGAGCGCCTTTATGCTTAAGAAAACATGTTTAGATATACATGAAATATGTCTACAAAATATATATAAAAATATCATTCATATAATAACTTTCATATAATCATCATCATCACCAGCCCTTTTACGTCCCCACTGCAGGGGCTCAGGCCTTCCTTATGGATGGTTAAGGAGGATGGGCCATGACCCTCCACGCTGGCCCAATGCAGATTGGAGGGTATTAACGACTGCAAATGCAGCCGGGAACAACGGCTTAACGTGTCTTCCGAAGCACGGAGTAGCTCGAGATAATAATTTTTTGGTCACCCATCCCGTGACCGATCATTGCGAAAGTTGCTTGACGACAACGATCGCGGGCCGCGGCGCTTATCCACTACGCCACCGAGCTACTCATATAATAAGTTAAAATGTAAAAATAAATTAATTTTCAAAATTTTCCGCGATAACGCCAACTTCGGTCATGGCGTCATTATGACTCGTCCCCTGACGCCCCTCTTAAACTAATATAGTACTATTTATGTACAAAGTTTAATTCTCGAGTTCTGATATGAGTAAAAGGGGCGTGACTTCACGCGTTGCTGCGTTCACGTGAAAACGAGTATAAAATATTTGCTTTTTCATAATTAATTAAACAATATTATAGACATAAAAGTGTGATCATTGGTAATAGTATATTTAACACTACCAGAAAAAGAAATAGCATTTATTTTCTTTCAATACATTACCAGAAAAAAAAAAATGAATTTATTTTCGTTTAATGTCTACCCATATAGTGCGAACATTGATAGGTTGGTGATGAATTTGGTGAGTGTTACAGTAAGGTTTTTCTCGTTTATTGTGCAGTGTCCGCCATTGGACGGCAAAGTGGCTAAGATATTGACGTGGCGATGGAAAGAGCAATCGCCAAAGTCTAAAGTGCCTCGCTCCAGGGAGTTCTTTGTGAAATGGCATGAGCGTTCCTACTGGCACTGTAGCTGGGTCTCGGAAATACAGGTTAGTGCATGTTGGTTATAATTTTTGATGTGAAGAGTAAGCAGTTCATTTGCTGTTATAAGGTTTTTTCATCAGTTAATTTGTACAAGACAAAATAAAGACATGATCAGTCCTGTGTACGAACGGTTCCCACACTAACTTCAAGGTTTTGTACTTTTTAAAGTTTCGAATTAGATTCCCTATCGGGTTAAGTTTTATTATATTGTCTCTGATCTAAGTGTTGTAATAAATTAGATTAACAAAACGCAAGGGCTTTAGTTACTTGTTAATTGCATGTGATGTTGCTTGATAATCATAATTATTAACGTGTGATATGCAAAAACGAAAGTTTGGTATAATATATATAAATATCATGTTTTTAGCTGGACGTTTTCCATCCATTGATGTTCCGGTACTATATGCGTAAATCGGATCCCGAAGAGCCTCCTAAACTAGAGGAACCTTTGGATGAACGCGATGGACGCGTCAAACGATTGAAAGACAAGACAAATGACCAGGATCAAGATGAAAAGATGCTGGAGGAGAAATATTATAGGTAATTGTTGAATGAAGTTTTATTTTCGGACTGGTTTAAATCATAGAGGTGTTCTAGATATAGCATTGAAAGTTGACCTTGTTTAGAAAAAGAGAGAAGTACGGGCTACATTGTCTGTCTCTCTCTCTCTCTCCCTGCGTATGTGTACTCTATGCAGCAAGGGAGAATGGCAGAACGATTTGGCGGTTTGTCTTAAGCTAATATTTATTTACTGTATATGACAAAGAAGAAGGTGCGGTTTTATCTTTTCTAACCGACGGATGTTGCGTAGTTTTAAAGATCTAAGCTTACACAGGGACAGACCACAGATAACCTCCAACAGATACCACATGATGACTATTTTGTTAAAAAAATAAAGATGCCAATCTAAGCGGTGGGATAGGTGGCGGGCGAGTTAACTGCGGCGACGCTATTTTATTTAATTCACACTTTATAGCAATATAAACTAATGAGAATAACTTACAAAAATCGATTTTGTACAAAGAAATCTATACTAATATTATAAAGGTGAAGAGTTTGTTTGAACGCGCTAATATCAGGAACTACTGATTCTAATTGAGTATTATTTTTGCGTTGAATAGACCATTTATCGAGGAAGGCTTTAGGCTATATAACATCACGCTGCAACTATTAGGAGCGAAGAAATAATGGAAAATGCGGACGAAGTCGCTGGCGGCCACTAGTACGTTTATATAAGTAGGAATTAAAATGGGAGAACAACCAAAACGTGAATTTATAATCCTGAAAGAAAAATCAAAGTTTCTCGAAATTTCACCATTTTTGCATTTCTTGTAACACCGATTTACCTGCTTACAACAATGATAAAATGCACTGAGATACAAAATATATATAAAAATGAAAGTGATGCGCCACTGCTCTTATATAAAAATAGTTGAATGGGATTAATCTTGGCGAAAAATGCAAAAGTTGCAAACTTTGGACTTTTAAATAACGAATTAAAAAGTATTAAAATATGATGAATGAAAACTTAAAATACATATGTTAACCCAATAACTACTGCATTATAAAAAAAAAAATGATGCTTGGCTACAGCTACTTTGGAAAGCTACTTTGTTTTATACTATATATTCTGATATATCTCACAAAAGAACTGAACAAATAATGTAATGGTACAATAATCTAGTTAATTTAAGTATTATAACTAATCATATAATGTTTTATTTTATACTAATATTAATGTTATTATTGTATCCAGGTACGGCGTAAAGCCCGAGTGGTTAGTGGTGCATCGCGTGATCAATCATCGCACCAGTCGCGACGGAACAACATATTTCCTAGTGAAATGGCGCGATCTCTCCTACGACCAGGCCACCTGGGAGTCTGAACACGAAGACATCGCCGGTCTTAAAGCTGCTATGGATTATTATCAAGTAAGATATTATTATTGATGAATTATGCAGTCAACAGCACGTCAAATATGTTAATCTTCGTCACTTGATTTTAAACCATAATACATTAATGATAGAATTGAAAATCGATTGCGGAATTTAAACATATTGTTGTAATCTGACGTGCTGTTAAAGATGCAAATACTGAACAAACAAAATAAACATTTTCTTAAATATGTATAAAAATATTCCTTCAGGTTGAACATGTATAAACAATATTTCTTTTTCAGGATATGCGAGCTTACATCACATCAGAGGGCAAAACTAAAGGAAGCAAGGGCAAGAAAGTAGGCCGCAAGAGTAAGAATAAGGATGTCATCGACGAAGACGATAATAGCAGTGGTCTGCAGATGAAACCAAGGAAGTACAATCCACCACCAGATCGGCCTACCACTAATCTCAACAAAAAGTATGAAGATCAACCTCCTTTTGTTTACGAGACGGGAATGCAGTTACATCCATACCAACTGGAGGGTCTCAACTGGTTACGATACTCTTGGGGACAAAGCATCGACACCATTCTTGCTGACGAGATGGGTCTCGGCAAAACTATACAGACTGTCACCTTCCTTTATTCTTTATTTAAAGAGGGACACTGCAAGGGACCCTTCTTGGTATCTGTACCCCTTTCTACTATCATCAATTGGGAGAGAGAGTTTGAGCTATGGGCTCCCGATTTGTACTGTATCACGTACGTCGGCGATAAAGATTCTAGGGCTGTGATAAGAGAAAACGAGTTGACTTTCGACGACGGAGCCAATAGAGGCGGAAGACCTTCGAAGATAAAGTCCCAGGTGAAGTTCAACGTATTACTTACTTCGTATGAATTGATCTCGATCGACTCGACCTGCCTTGGTTCTATAGACTGGGCCGTTCTAGTGGTGGACGAAGCCCACAGATTGAAGAGTAATCAGTCGAAATTCTTCAGACTACTTGCTGGATACCACATTAATTACAAATTATTACTCACCGGTACGCCGCTGCAGAATAATCTCGAAGAGTTGTTCCATCTATTGAATTTCTTAAATAAAGATAAGTTCAATGATCTCGCCGCTTTCCAGAATGAATTCGCCGATGTGTCTAAAGAGGAACAAGTTAAGAGATTGCATGAGATGTTAGGTCCTCACATGCTGCGGCGACTCAAAGCTGACGTCTTGAAGAACATGCCTACGAAATCAGAATTCATTGTGCGTGTAGAGTTATCGCCAATGCAGAAAAAATACTACAAATATATTTTGACGAGGAACTATGAAGCTCTGAATCCCAAGGGCGGTGGACAAACCGTATCTCTTCTTAATGTAATGATGGATTTAAAGAAGTGTTGCAATCATCCCTACCTCTTCCCTGTAGCAGCTGAAGAGGCACCGTTAGGACCTCATGGCAACTATGACACGCAAGCTTTGATCAAAGCGTCCGGAAAGCTCGTTTTGCTATCTAAAATGTTGAAGCAACTCAAAGAACAGGGACATAGAGTGCTTATATTCTCGCAGATGACAAAAATGTTGGATATCCTCGAAGATTTCTTGGAAGGAGAAGGTTATAAATATGAAAGGATAGACGGTGGTATCACTGGAACCATTCGTCAAGAAGCTATCGATAGGTTTAACGCTCCGGGGGCGCAACAGTTTGTGTTCCTGCTGTCGACCAGAGCGGGTGGTTTAGGTATTAATTTGGCCACCGCCGACACAGTTATCATCTACGATTCCGATTGGAATCCTCACAACGACATCCAGGCCTTCTCCCGAGCCCATCGTATTGGTCAAGCAAACAAAGTGATGATCTATCGATTCGTCACTAGAAACAGCGTAGAGGAAAGAGTCACTCAGGTGGCGAAGAGAAAGATGATGTTAACTCACTTGGTGGTACGGCCGGGTATGGGTGGCAAAGGTGCCAACTTTACGAAACAGGAGTTGGATGATATTCTAAGATTCGGTACCGAAGAGTTGTTCAAGGAAGAGGAAGGTAAAGAAGAGGCCATTCATTACGACGACAAAGCCGTGTCCGATCTGCTTGATCGTTCGAAAGAGGGCATAGAACAGAAAGAGTCGTGGGCCAACGAATATCTCAGTTCGTTCAAAGTCGCTAACTATTCCACTAAGGAAGGCGACGGCGAAGAGGAAGTTGATACGGAAATCATCAAACAAGAGGCAGAGAACACGGATCCCGCCTACTGGATCAAATTGCTCAGGCATCATTACGAGCAACATCAGGAAGATCAGGCGCGAACTCTCGGCAAAGGCAAACGAGTACGGAAGCAAGTCAACTACAACGACGGCAGCGTCGCTCAAACAGAGAACAGAGAGGACTCGACGTGGCAGGAGAACGGTTCCGATTACAACTCGGACTTCTCGCAGGGCAGCGAAGATGACAAGGAGGATGACGACTTCGATGAGAAGAATGACAATGGCGATTTGCTCAGTCGCCGCAGCAAGAGACGGCTCGAGAGACGTGAGGAACGGGACAGGCCTTTGCCTCCGTTACTGGCGCGAGTTGGTGGCAACATGGAGGTGCTAGGGTTCAATGCGAGACAGAGGAAGTCGTTCCTCAACGCTATAATGCGATACGGCATGCCGCCGCAGGACGCTTTCAACTCTCAATGGCTCGTCAGAGATTTGCGAGGGAAATCCGAGCGGAACTTCAAAGCGTACGTGTCGTTATTTATGCGACATCTCTGCGAGCCGGGCGCGGATAACGCGGAAACATTCGCCGACGGTGTGCCCAGAGAAGGTTTATCTCGCCAGCACGTGCTGACGAGGATCGGGGTCATGAGTCTCATAAGGAAGAAGGTTCAGGAATTCGAGCACATCAACGGGTACTATAGTATGCCTGAACTGGTGAGAAAGCCCGTGGAACCGGTTAAACCGGCTGCCGGAGAGAGTGCAGCAGCCAGTCCGGCTCCTTCTACTGCAACTCCTATAACTTCTGCCGCCCCTTCACCCGCACCCACTCAGGTGACGCAACCTTCAGGACAAGCTCCCACGCCTAGCGGTTCGGATAAAGATGACAAGGAGGAAACTAAAGAGGAGAAGCCCGACGTGAAAGAGGTTAAAGATGAGCCAATGGACACAAGTGAAGTGAAAGAAGAGAAGCAGGAAGAGAAGGAGGCGCCCAAAGAGGTGAAGGAAGAAGTCAAAGAAGCAGAGAGACGTATGTCTGTTGACGAGGAACCGCCGAAGGAGGAGGAGAAATCTGACGAGAAGAAGACTGAAGAAAAGGAAGCGGACAAAGTAAAAGAGGAGGTGAAAGAAGAGGCAGACAAGAAGGATGACGTCAAGAGCGAGAAGGTGGAGTCTGAAGTTTCCGAGAAACCTAAAGATGAGAAGAAGGTAGACTTTTTCATTTTATTTAAATCTTGGTTGTTGACTCTTATTTTTTAGGCTTTTTATATTAAATTGACCCAAGCATTTTAACTCAGTAGTAATATTATTTTCCATTTCTTACTTGCAATAAGAAGGTGAAATCAAAATACATATTCTGTATTTACATATCTTAGTGTAATATAATAAGGAATAATACTAATATACTAATGTAGTATTATGTTTTATTTAATTTTCTGCCATCAAGGACCAGGAAGAAGACGATGATGTGGTATTAGTAAAAGAGGAGGAAGAACTGAAAGTGGAACGTCGCAAGTTCATGTTCAACATCGCCGACGGCGGGTTCACGGAATTGCATACCCTGTGGCTAAATGAGGAAAGGGCCGCTGCACCAGGACGGGAATACGAGATCTGGCATCGGCGACACGACTACTGGCTACTAGCCGGCATCGTAACCCATGGCTACGGCCGCTGGCAAGACATACAGAACGATTTACGATTCGCTATCATCAACGAACCGTTCAAAATGGATGTCGGCAAGGGTAACTTCTTGGAGATCAAGAACAAGTTCCTCGCGAGACGATTCAAGGTAATCTATTCATATTTATTCCCTATAAATATAGTTAAGGAGTTATGTGATAAATCAAGTCATCATCAGCCCTTTTACGTCTCCACTGCAGGGCTCAGGCATTCCTCATGGATGGTTAAGGGGGATGGACCATAACCGTCTACGCTGTCCCAATGTGGATTGAAGGATAATAACGATTTCAAATGCAGCCGGGACCCGTTAGTCCTGGCTTAACGTGTTTTCCGAATAATAGAGTAACTCGAGATTTCACTCTCAAAGAAAATAGCAAATATCATCTAGGCGTAATTTACAATCAATAAATAATACTATCTAAACATCAGTCTATTAATATTATGATTTAAACATTCTTAGATCAGAATATTTTCGTTTATTATGATATCCATATTAACAAATATTTGTAAACAAACAACATTTACGATTCTTAACGAAATGTTTGAAATGAATGAGTGAATGAAATGACCCATCACCACTTTCTCAACTCGTATAGTAACTAATGTAATATATGTATATCACACAGCTGTTGGAGCAAGCGCTTGTGATAGAGGAGCAGTTGCGTCGCGCCGCGTACCTGAACCTGACGCAGGACCCCAACCACCCGGCGATGTCGCTGAACGCGCGTTTCGCTGAGGTGGAATGTCTGGCGGAATCCCATCAGCACCTGAGCAAGGAGTCATTGGCGGGAAACAAACCAGCCAACGCTGTATTGCATAAGGTATGGATATCTATGAGGCCGAACATTAGGCACGTTATGTTTTTTCAGCATTTTTTAACCTCTCTTCCCCTTGGTGATGAATGGTGCGGCTCTCACTGTCCCCTCCACTCAAATCACGGGTATTTTTTTGTATTTACAAAACTCAATTATGACGCCACTTTTCGGTTAACTAATCCCGTGTTTGACGGAAAAATAGACGTGACAGCTTTAAGCTTCATGTGATTAATAGACGGCCGCTATGGTCGAGTCAAAGTAGGAAATGGACTAGTCTACGTCTCGGGAATGAGTGTGGCGGTACCATCGTTGTCTCAAGTACTTCATAACACGAGGGCTTTAGCTACTAGCCTTATATGAACAACCTTTATTTGTATATATTGCATACTTGTTATTTACATTTTTTTATATTTGCCACTACTAATTATTTCCAGACTTATAAAATATTAATATTTATTGATACGCAGTTTATATACAGTTGGATAGTTCTCGCAAATTGTGAAGTCTTGGGCAACTCTTAATACATAAAATATATAAATGCATCAAAAAGTAGCGCCTCTAGTAGAAATAATATTTTATGATAATACTAGTTTTTGTATGCTTTGTTGGTGACGTTCCATGGTAGTTGGTTCACATGCCTTTTTCAAGATGTCTTTATTACTGAGATCCCTCAGGCTCAGGCTCAATAACTGGTGGGGTTGACGATATACAGCCATACATATAGAAAACTTTTATTGAAACAAACAAAGTTGTGGTATTTTATGTAAAAAGATCTTACCAAGCTACTTAGTTTGATATCAAAGCAATGTAAGTTTGCCAACCATAGTTTGTAATAACGTATCCTACTTTATATTTGGTATTCATACTTTATTCATTTAAATACAAATAGAGTATGAGAAAATACTTTATTTTCAACATTTACTATGATGCGTAATACAAAACACTATTAGGGGTAAATACTTACTTAACTGCTTAAAGATACTTATAAGTTAAAACAGACTAAGATGGAAACTACTGAAATTTGGCAACCCTAAAGCCATGTGATGTTGTCTGACATTAATTTATTGTTTTATGATTGTACCAGGTGCTGAATCAGCTGGAGGAGCTGCTGTCAGACATGAAGTCTGATGTATCGCGTTTGCCGGCCACGTTGGCTCGCATCCCGCCGGTGGCGCAGCGGTTACAGATGTCGGAGAGATCCATCCTCTCGAGACTCGCCGCCACCGCTGGCAATCCCGTGCCCGCCGGTAATGTCGCCCTATATTATATTATATATCGCACGTTGAGAATGACAATATCACTAACCAAAACGATGTATTTTTTACTTTTGGCAACATTTTTCTTTGTTATGTATAAACTTTAAAACGCAAAGATCCCTGTGAACGTAGCTTGCATAGAAACTGCTAGGTGGCGTAGTGACGATACGTTGTTTAGAGAGGCTGATTACAATTTCTTGAACTTTAAACGCTCATTACTCAAAATCGCATTTTTTGTATTGTGTTACTATCGTTCTCAGCGTATGATATTAAGCTCTATTCCAGTGACTTACTGTAGGTGACAGAATTTTTATGATCGGATCAGTGTTTCGGAAGATTACTCCTACACACAAAGTTAGAAACTTTACTTCTGTATATAGTCATTACTCGCTGATAATGAAGCTTGCTTATTTTCAGTAGTTTTTGACAAACAAAAAAAATAGTTTCTCTAATGCTCTATAATGCGGCTGATACTGTAATCAATTAGTTATGGTCTGTTCTGCCTGTATTATTCTATCTATATAGGCTGTGGACTCAGCAGTACAGAATAGAATATATAACGGAAGAAAATTTTTGATACAAAGTGCGCTCTAGCAACGCACACATAGACAACGTTCACGGACGTTATGTCTTAGACCGTTTCAACTAGTGTGAGTGCCTTCGGCTTTAGGCACGCGTCAGTGATTTTTTTAAGAAATAAAATGTCAAAAAGTCTTATTACAACTATTTGGTAGACGGTTGTTTAAATTCAACATTAAATATACTATATAATTACTTGTTACTTAAATATACTATATAATTACTTTTATTGTATATTGCAACTTCAGGGAAATCATATGGATAGAAATTAATTGTCAGCGTTGATGACCTATAATCATTTACAATTACATGAAACACGTGTAGTGAGTTTTGCTAGTGTATTACTAAATTTTATTAGGCAAATTCATGTCACCATTTTACGTAAGTTTGGGTTAGAAAACATATTTTTTTTCTTTGTGTAGATATATGTTGTTTTTTGTCTTTTTTATAGGTTTAGGTCTAAAACGGATTTATTATACTTTAAAATATAATAATCGTGCATTTCGTCAATGCCGAAATTGTCGCAAAATATTTTGTATTACACATTTGTAAAAAAAATATAATTACAATTAGAATATTTTATGATTAGTTCATATTTCATTTCTTCATGTCTCATTCACAATAATAAATCAAACAGCTTGATACGAGTGTCGCTACTACTTTTTTTTTGTGGGTAAGCAAAAGTTAACAACCTTAGTGCGACCGCCGAGTGTAGGTATAAGGAATTAAGAAAATACATTTGATTATCTTCTGGTGTATTCTATGTCGGCAGTGAGAATATTAATAATCATCAATAACAAAATATCAATAACAAAATCAATTATGTCTATTAAAAATGAACTCAATAACCACAAGTTTCTGTATATTTATTATTAACTTACACCACTAAAAACTACAAATCCCAAACGTACCAGTGCTATGTGAAAAAACTTGTATGTCTTCTTTTTATGCATGTTAAGTAATTGTTGCTATTTTACACCGTAATTTATAAACTTTGAAAATAGTGAACAAGTGTTGGTTAGATTGTATATAAATAAAAAAGGTAACGCCTAATCGTATAAAATGTTTTATCTGTTGTAGCACAAATGGCGGCGTTCCCTGCCGGTTTCTCGGCGGGCGGTTCCCTGCCCGGTTTCTCTCCGGCCGCCGCCGCGGCCGCTAACTTCTCCAACTTCCGCCCGCAGTACTCCGTGCCCGGGCAGCCCACATCCACCGGATCCTCTAATGTGAGTTGATTTCTAGTTTTATATACCTTATTATTACGTATCAAAAGCCTTCTTTGGATACGTCGAGAAAACAAATAGTTTCTACAAATAGTTTCATTTCCTAATCAACTTAGAATAAAGTTAACAATTTTTGTATCGATGGGGCTGTCGTGTTTTAAAGACAATAGTCACAAACAATGAATGACGAAAAAAAATTAAATAAAAATACATAGGAATTATTAAACAAGTTAATTTTTTTAAGTATAATATTTCAGAAAAAGTTTGTAAATTTATCGTTACATTTTTTCCCAAACTTTGTTAATATTTTTTCGAGTTTAATATGATTACGACATTCTATTTTAATATCTAGTATCATATATGATATTCTGATATTAGTAGATATATTTAGAAAGGAACCTTCAACTGAATGAAATTGTTTATGATATGATCAGTGAGCGCATAAATTTGCAATTTTCTGTAAATTCATTAAGTTATTTTTCTTTTTCAGAAATCATAAGCCTGCATTATTTATACATCGTACTACTTACAAATTGACACGTACAGGTAATTTTACTTGAGTAGCGAGCTGTAATTTATTTATATTGTATAATTAGCGAAGTGAAACAACAGTCCTAATATCCGATGTATTTGTTGCAGTGAGGATAAATGGTCACATAGATAATTATTTTAGATGTAAGTTTTCCAAGATTCCTGTTTCACCTTGGGTTTGAAGTGATAATTATAGTGATTAGTGCGTTATGTTAGGTAACATAATTATTACGTCGTTTTAAAACAGAACTCTCACAATATTATTTATTTCATCCTGATCTGTATGAATCTTGTTTATTGTGTAAGTGATTGTGGACTTATGAAATCTTTATTTTTAATTTACCAAAAATAAAAATTGAATAAATCATATGATTAAGTGATAGACTGAGTTTTTTTTCTGTATTACCCGCTTCTTTTTTGTATACACAGCAGTCAGAATACTACGATATGCCAAACTGCACTGATTTTGCGCTTTACCATCAACACTTTAAGGTTTAAAATGAAGACACCCGATATTAACTGAACTTTGGATTATTAGCATACTGATAACACTAAATAGTAACTGCTAATAATTTTGAATTTCGCAAATAAAATAATTAAGGCTAGTTTTTACTTCCGCTGGTAAGTAAAAACGTTCCCTTACTACACGCAAACGAATACGCATCAAGAGTAAAGACGTGAAAGCGCCCGCTAGCCAATCAAAATGGTGGGAATTAGCCATGTGCATGGTCCATGCACATGACGCATGCGCACTATCACACCGTTTGTATGTCAAGATAGCAGGCACCCCAACAAATTTTAGGGTTTTATGTATGTCAATAAACTGTGAGTAAATATGTAGTGACAAATAGTGATAAATAACATATTTATATGTACAATGCACAATCAGAAATATCTCAAATTCAAATTCACATTTCTGACTAATGGTGTACCTGCTAACTCGACGCTTAAAACAGCAGCGATTCTAAACAAAAGGGTAAGAAATTGAAGCTTATAAATGCACACAATCATTGTGTCTGAAATTATGGTTTATAAACACAAAGATTTAACAAGATTAAAAATGTTCATAGATGCTTGCGAGGAATATTAAACCTTATTGTATGTATTTTTTAGTGTACCATTGAGTAAAGAAGTGTCAAATCAGTCTTTAATTTTTATGTAAGACACATTTTCATTCACAAGTACTGATTCATTATAATAGGGATGATGACTAATTTTTGTTTATTTGTCCGTCAGGTAGAGTGTTAAAAAATATTAAACACGTATTTTTAAATTTTTTTCGTAATCATAAAATTACGGCGTTACATTGAGTTGAAATTTCGCATGACGTCACGTTAGAGTACGTTTTCTACTCAACTGTGACGTAGCGAATCTCCACTTCTCAACTTTAATGCCTGTTATCTAAGCTATTTCTAGTTAAATTGAAGTAAAAAAAAAATACGTATCTAATATTTTTCTATTATCTGACTGACGGACTAAATAGAATTGCATTTTTTTTACCCAGTCATCATCCCTATTGACGGCATCTAGTTTAAAGAATAGTAAAGAAGAAATCTGAGATTATATGTATTATGAGAATCATAATTTCAGTCGCAATTGTTTTGTGTATTTATTAGCTTCTTTCTTTTTTTTATTCCTACACGTTTGTTTGAAATTGCCGTAGCTATAAGCGTCAAGTTAGAAAACACCTTCTTCTATTTCTTCTCTTATTAATGGCTTATCTGCGCATTTCGCACAATTCTGCCAATGTCAAGTGAATAAATTAATTTCTACATGTAAAGTGAAAATGAAACGAATGAAAGATGGCGATGATCCTGAAATTTAGAAAACACCAATAATCAGAAATATATCGAATTCTATTGAAGTGAATGAAATAACAGTAGTATAGAAGTCACTATTTTGTCATTTTTTTGACATGAAATTCAAACTGATATGAATCGTATTTCTATTGTGCCTGCTATCTAGCTAACAAGCATACTACGAGTAAATTCTTCCAATTTCATAAATTTTGATTATTGAAAATGCCCTCTTTGTTACATAACAGTGCTGCAAATAAAATGTACACCATTGTTACTAATTTTCACGTGGTTCAAAATCTATGTTTCATTCGTTTTTATAAGCTACTCATATACTTTGTAATTTTTGAGAATAACATAATTACATTCACGGTTGTATGTGTGTACTGTATTTTCTATACTGTCGCAAGTAGGAAACCTGAGTGATCGTACGTAGGTCAAGGTCACAAAACGGAGTTTGTTTCATAAATATTTTTTGTCATTTTTATTTATACGTTCTTCGATGGCGGTCTAGAACCTAGAACTAGACTCTAGGTTGTCTAGAACCTAGACCGAGACCTAGGTTGTCTGTCGTCATAAACAATTAGGAATTCTTTAGGACTGGTTAAATCTTTTTTGTAACGACCAAATATAACCAAACCGGAATGTCTTTTCACAGTTGATTTTAGATTCCATTCTCAACGCCTTTAGGTTTACAAAATCAAATTTGTTTTAGTATTATCATTAAAATATGGTAAATATAAATTCTATGCTAAAAATTATAGGAAATGAAAGACTGACATGTAATAAATATTTCATTGATTCACGATCGCAATAAATTGTACATAAAACACATTCACAACAAACGATACATACATGTCACCACGAATACGTGTCATCGTCCGTGTTGTACTTGACGCTGTCCAACGGCCTCACTACGGCCGGGTCGGGCGAGCAGAAATGCTGTAGCATGCTTTCACTTATACCACAATCTGACAGATTCTCTTTATTAAACGCTTTGCTAAAGTGATTTGGTTCATTTTCTTTGGCGTTCTCATCTGTAACAATGATTATAATGTAAGCTTACTACAGTAAAAGAGAAATTGAAGTTACTCATAAAATTATTCGAGGAAAGCGTGGTAACAAGGGATTTATCTATTATTTATGTAGGTAGGTAATTAAGTAAAGTTTTTTTATGTACTTTGCATTCGCAATGTCCCATTTATGCATTAATATATTATGTATAGATATGTATTTAATAATCAGATAACCGTTTGAGACCCGTGGCAAATTCTTCGGATATTCCATTTTTTTTACTAATTGCGTAATAAATAATTAATGTCAGGAGTAAAGTGTCTCCTCTGATCGGGGCCCGTGGCATTTTGCCGACTTGCTACCCTGTAGTTACGCCACTGCAGATTAAATACATCATAATATAATTAAACATATTTACTGTTACAATAACTGGAAAAAAAATTTTGCTAATACTAAAAATATATTTGATTTATGAACGATGTTTAACTGAATTTGAATGTTCATTCATCATCTTTCATCTGAGCCTCATCATACTGAGAATAAAAGCCTTTTTTTCATATATTGTTGATTGCGGTAAAACAGACAGTTAACCGCATAAGGCGTAGGTACTCTAAAATAATCTTTGTGACTCTTTAGAAGTGTTCTTGGAATTCGTGATGCTTCAGCGAAAGTTTGCTAAACAACTTGCACTGACCACGGATCTGAAGCTATTGACACTTTTCTCAGGTATCACCCTCAATATCATTATATCTTTCACTGACCTTCAGCAATACTTTTGGCTGCAAATGTGAACGCCAAAGTGGGCTGGTGATGAGCGAATGTGGCACTGAAGTTTGCGGAGGAACTTTTCTTCAGTACATTGAACAACGTGTGGACGGTCGTCGGCAGTATTGGTCCCCGTAGATCTATCGAGAAGTATTTCTTGCCGTCCGCGACAACTGTTTTCTCGCTCACCTATATATCATAAATATCATTTGACGTGAATACAAATTTTTAAGGTCAAGTACCAAGAATATCGTATCCTTGCATAATACAGGATGAATCGAATCGTACGTTTTGACAAAATACGTAATATTATTTCTGCCTTTTTTTTATAAAGTGCCCTGATAAGCTAGTATAATAGTGTTTTATTTGACCAAATAAATATTTGGCTTGGCTTTACACACATGGCGTAAGAGCGTATACAAAAAAAAAATTGACAAACCTTCAAAGAGTGTAGTGTCCCACCGTGGAAGGCGGTAGGTGCCAGTAGCGTGGGCGGGACTCCGGCGAAGGGTCCCGTGGGACTCACCACGGACTTGCAGTTGAGGAGGAAGTTGAACAACGCCTGAGCGTCCACACCGCGCACGAACACTAACGACTCCGCCGCACTGTCCACGCTACTCTCCGCTGTCTGCGCCATGCGAGTCTGTACATACATACATACAAAAAGGATGACGACTGGGTAAAAAGAATGCAATTCTATTAAGTCCGTCAGTCAGATAATAGAAAAATATTAGATACGTATTTTTTTTTACTTCAATTTAACAAGAAATAGCTTAGATAACAGGCATTAAAGTTGAGGAGTGGGCGCTCGCTATATCACAGTAGAGTAGAAAACGTACCATAACGTGACGTCATGCGAAATTTCAACTCCATGTAACGCCGTAATTTTATGTTTACGAAAAAAATAAAAAATACGTGTTTAATATTTTTTAACACTCTACCTGACGGACAAACAAACAAAAATTAGTCATCATCCCTAATATAAATATTATCGGGCTCAATGGCGCGGTGGTAGCGTTCCTACTATTAGGCCGAGAGTCGTGAGTTCAATCCCCACCCAGGATAAACATTTTTGTGATTAATAATTATATCTGTTCTGTGGCTGGGTGTTATCTATTTATATTATGTATATATTTGTATTCCCCCTTTTGCTTCTGATATCCGTAACAAAAGTGCCTAAGCTACTTACCTCGGAATCGGATCAATGTGTGTGATGTTGTCCGATATTTATTTACTGTTGTAGTCTATACTAATATTATAAAGAGGAAAGACTGGGCAGAATTTAAAAATATTTCACCTTCGGGAAGCTACTTCATATGCGGTGAAATTAAAACTATATTTTATCCCGAAAAACAGCAAACAAAGGTATGAAAATGGGAATGTAAATTTGTATAGGGAATAGGGGTGTAGACAACTTTTACAATAAAAATATCATTAATATAAGTAATTCATTAAAAAGTTGTTAGTAGGGCTCAAATGTTGGGAGGATTGGAATGGTAATAAATTAGATCACGACCCTTACAACTTATTAAAATTTATATTTAGACAAACATCTACAAGATTTTTGACATCATCTTCTTTTAAAGGTACATATCAGAATAATTCATACGAATATTGAACAATGAGATCAAACCGTTAATAAGAAGTTTCATTAGGAAAATAGTTCTGTTCTAGAGGTTATACATATTAAAACGAAAACTACTACCTACCTGATTATTATTAATCTTTTTTATCACTTCTGTCTCGAGCCCTAACTGCGACAAGAACTGGTCGGGGTCCTCCTCTTCATCTGCCGAATCACTCTTCTCGGCTTCAGGTTTGCATCCTTCGTCCATTGTGTCATAGCAGCTGTCAAAGGAGGAGTTCTTGGGCTTTTCGTCGTCGGAGACATTCAGTTTCCTTTTGCCATCCGAACGAAGCGGCATTGTGAATTCCACATCTACATATTGTAATAAATCCAATTATAACTTAAATAAGACCACATAATAAAACTTAATTAGGACTGTATCGCTGATTAAAATTTCTTTACATACCATTTTTGGTGCTAACAAAATAATACAGTTGATTGTTCCTGCATGTTAATGTTTACTCAAATTCAATTTGTGCTTTTAATTAAAATGTTTACATTAGAAAAGTCAGAGTGATGGCACTTGCTCTGGGCGCCAATATCATAATATTTTCGTGCGCCATTTACATTAAAGATCCTGTTTAAAAAAACGAGTTTCACAAAAATGACATTTGAAACTCATACACATCATACCCTGCACATAGAAGGTCTATATCTGGCCTCACAGCTCGAGGCGGGCTGTAAGAGCGAATGATCAAGTTTCTGTCCCAGTTAGAAAAAAATTGTAGATCCGGAGCTGGAAATAGCGAATTAAACTGCGTGTTATTTTGTCATACCTTCTTGTCGGAGTGTTTGGCGAAAACCCCTCGAGGTGGGCGCGATAAGTGCGCACGGTTCCGATACGCCGCAGAGTCCAGCCGCGCGGAATAGTACGGTAAATGTGTTCGCACATACGTAGAAATACGGACAATGTAATGCCCGTAGCAGCTGTATATAAAAAAAACAGAATACAATAAAACCACATATTCACATGAATAATAAATAAATAAATATTAGACATAACATAAATTGCTGAGATCACGATTAATGTAGATAAAGCCAAAATTATAAGCTTATGCAATATAGAAATATGAAACCACAATGGTAACACATCCGAAAAGTTATTTTCTTACATTGATGGATTCTATACCATGTCAGTATCGAATCGGGAACCTCAGAAAACTTAAAACTAATATGCCATAGAGAAGGCTTAGTATTCAAAAGACGGGCAGCATTGTGGAATGTACAGTAAGCTATAAACCTATTTTGTTAGAAATTCTAGTCTTAAAGTAATTATAACTAAATTTGAATAAAATAAGAAGTTTTTGTAGTAAATAATTATGATCAAAAGTATTCTAAAATGCTGAGTGAAAATAAACAGATGCCATAGACTTACCTGAAACAATGATCTAAAACTTTCTGTCCATTCTCTGTGAAGGGCTTTTTTGACTTCCTCATTTGTGGCCATGAAGCTGGTGGCAGCTACTTTGCCTGATGACCTCGGGTATAAATCAAGCCAGGGCAAATGAGGATGCTGCCAGTACAAACAGGTTTGGTGAAAAAGGGCACGGGGTGATGTGTCTAGTGATGATGATGAAGTAGTGTCGAGGCACCGGACAAATCTATAGGATACAAACGAATTTATTAATGTCTACACAATAAAAAATTATATTTTATATACAATTGGTATAATATATTTACCCAGTTATACCAGAGGCTTCCTCACTGGCTTTTAGTTTTGATGTCCAAGCAAATGGTTTAGGAGACATTAATCGTAATCTACTTTTTAATGCCCAATCAATAGGCAAATGTTTGCATTTCTTTTCTACTATCAACTGAAACAAGTTTTTTTGTAAATTATATCAAATGCATTTTAAAGGGATTGAATTAAGATGCTTTCGTAAGCAATTAATTTGTTGGAAGCCAATGCTGTATCCATTACAGAGTGTTTTAAATCTTTCAGTCATTATAGACAAATTTCTATCTGGCCATGGACCACCTGTGAAAAAGAAGAATAAGAAACCATACTTATATGTAGATAAATAGAGTTGTTCTATGTATATTAATAAAGTGTCCACTCCATCAACCACTCAGAATGCTTCCTTGGAACACCAGTGGTTCACAGGCCGCCAGTAAAGGACCACTGCATTACAGAATATTTATATGAAAAAGTACAATACTGGCTGCCAAAGAGTCGAAACTAAGTTTCTAATTTATACAATATGTGTTAGCAATTCTGTTGCACAAATTAGACTAAATTTAGGTTTAGTCTTGTCATATTTCATTTTCAATTGTTGAAACAACTACATTATAATATAAGTTATTTTATTATAGCATACAGGAGTACATTTTCTATGATTACATGTGACTATGGAATAACATTATTTTAGTTTAGAGAGGGGCATAACTAATATGACCATACATCTTTTGCTTTGGGTGGGATTGTCCTGCTTTCAGGTTATCCCTAAAGATATTAAATTTATTTATGTAGTAACTTATCTACATTGAAATTTCACTTAAAACCCTCGGAGAACGTATCAGAGAGGGTAAGATACCATAACTATTGAGTCACATTTTTAAACCATAATTTGGAATTAGCTTTTTAAATATGGCATTTTAAATTTACATAGACATTTTTTATTTATATGCAAAATTCCATAGGCTGTGTCAAAGCACGCCTATGGAATTTTGCAAATTAAAAAAAATGGTCACATCAGGATTACAAAGAAGCTTACAAGTTTTGGAAATAACACTCACTGGTTCTACAGAATGTTCAGCAGTGAACTTCTGCAGTAAATTGGAGAAGGTGGATAGTTTATCAGTGTCAATCTCCTGTGCTGGTTTCTGTGGTACCTTTGCTGGTAGCTTCAGTAGTGTGAACAGAGTTTTATCCTTAGACTCATCCAGACACATATCTGTGTCCACTTTCACTTTTTTATTTGCATGTGTAGTATCATTTCTGAAATAGAGTTTAAATGTTGGGATCTTATTTGTTATTATAAAAGAAAGGTTATAAGTATGAATTTTCAACAAACTTAGAGAAAGGATTCCTCCGTTTGTCTCCATGTCCACCGTTCAGAATTCTCGAGAAATCTAGATCTACTGGTTTATTGTTTGTTGTTGTTACTTCATTGTTGGATGCAATTGGCTGTTTCATGCGCTCCTAAAAGAATTATACATTTTTTAGATTTTTATTATACACAAGATAAGGTTTATATTTTGCACAACTCATCCCTATCACTATACTAGTGACTTAAAATAGAGCATTTAACAGATAAATACACATAGTAAGATAATAATTAAAAAGTACTTATTTGTATATTAAGGGTGTCTATTTAGTGTCAGGTAGACAAATGGTCTAAAAAAACGGAGAAATTGAATTAAGTGAACTATGTGTAGCCTATAGTTATAAATGAATAACTAAGGACATGTATTCTTTTTATGTAAATTTATAGGGTTATATTAAAATTCTATTTTGAAAGATCTGCAAATGAATTCCATGGAGTTTCTGGCAATAGCTAGTCAACACAATACAAACATTTCATTTATATTTTTTATAAAAGACTTCATAGAAAATAACAATTAAAAAACCTGCAAAGCCGTCTTCCGTTTTTTTAATTTGTGTAGTCGCATAACTTCATTTGGTTTTTTCCATGGTGAAGGAGGCTCCATAGTTATCTTATTAAATAATTTTATTAAGTATTTGATATTAAAAAACTACCGCTGTTACGTTTCAGCAAAACTACACAAAAAACAAACAATAACAATAATGAAGTTTGGTTTTTTTATCTATAGACAATTATAGAGGAAAACTATTCAATTCTATCCATAGAGCAGAATAGTGATGTTGGGATGTAATTGGATGCAAGTAAATAGAAGTACTTACACGGTACCAGGTATTAACGAGTAGTATCGTGAAGTAAGTATTTGTATCAGTACTTGGTTAGTCACTCACTAAGGAGAGTCAAAATAAATTGCGTGCTCGACCGTTTACTCTGTGGGGAACTTGGCCCACGTTCTCTTTAAGTTTATTTGCAGGTATTTAGTAATGTTTATAATAAAACGATATTGTATCTTTGGTAATGTATTTGGATCTCTGGATTTTCTTTATATGTCAAACAGACAACCATCAAACAGTTATTCTTTATGAACTATAAAACCTTATTAATCTATGACATCACTCCCGGCGGCAGAATCTATACATACTACTGACTAAAACTCGTAACAAACTATTATCACTTCAACTAAAATAATCATTTTTAACATAAAGAAATAACATAAACAATCTTTAAAAACTAACATAATAAAATCAATTAACGTGAGTATCTTTATGCATATTAATAGTTATACGGTACACATTTAGTCCATAAACGAGACGTCAATTTGACTGTTCGTCCAGACGTGTGGTTAAGAGACGAGGTATACTATTACCTGTCATTTTCTGCGATTGTGACTCGGTGCCATTGAAACTTCCTTGAATGTCGTTTAATAGTTCTTTCTATATACGGATCCTTAATAGCTAACGTTCCAATATTCCACATATACTCTAGGGAATTTACATCAGGTTTAACTTCGTTGTCACTTAGAGTAGAAGATTGAATCCGTCCTTGTATCATCCATCCGATGTTTGTTTTGATAGCTACAAGTTTACTGCTTATTTCAAATTCATAAACTTGATGTATCTGTGCCGCCTTATGAATTTCTCCAAATAACGAATGTGTAAGGCATTCACTTCCTGTTACCTGTAGTCCGAGTTCTTTAGCCACGTCAACTCTTATGTAAGATCTCTGTGAACCGGAGTCAAGCAGTACTCTCACTTTTCTCTCTTGATTATCTACTGGAACATTAACAATCAACGTTTGAAGCAGGGTTGTAGTATTAATGCTAGAATAGTTATTTAAAACTTCGGTCTTTGACTCACAACTCTCTTTTACTTGTTGATTCACCTTTACATTCATCGGCATCTGCGTTTTCGACAATAGGCACGCTGCTGTTGGGATAGCTTCGTTAATTGGTGAGTCATCTATGTTGTAATTTCTTGTTAGATCTGCACGTCGCTCAGCTTCTACTTCTGTCTGTAAGAACTTTAACAAATCACTAAGCTTTGCACCCCCCTGTGTACACGGTACCTTATTCCACAACAATAAAGTACTCTCTGGTAATGCTGTTTCAACTAAAGGAAGTAAAATACATTCATACTTTTCGTGATTAATTCCTAAAGATTCTAATATTTGTAAATTAGTTGTAATCTTATCATAAAAATCACTTAATAACATTTTGCTATTTGTATTCACTAACTTTAACAATTCACGCACATATATTTGAATTAGCATATCGTCTTTACCATAACGTTCCTTTAAAGTGTGTATCACTTTTGCATAGTTTTCCTCGGTCGGTGGGTAACTATCAACGAGGCATCTTGCTTTGCTGTCATGGGTCATTGCTTGCGTCAAATATTGAAACTTAGTTTCAGCATCAATTGTTTGATCTTCGTGTATTTTTTTATATTGACTCCAAAACGATAACCATTTCTTCGGGTTGTCGTCAAATTTCCGTATCTCTAATTTGGGTAAATTGAGATTATGTTTTTTGTTTCCATCTTTAATAATCTCACTCCTACAACCCAAATCCGTTAATTTCATCTTAACTGTTAGCCATTTTTTTCGATAAACGTCACACTGCTCGCATTCATTTCTAAAGGCTTCTTCATCAAATGTTTCTTCGGCTAGCATCCGATCTTGAATAGCCTTATCGACAATAGCAAGTCTTTCAATTTTTTCTTGCAAAAACTCTAAGTCGATTAATGAAACGGTAGTTGGTTCATGGCGGCTGAATGTTCTTCGAAGATGATCTCTCTCACGCGTTAATCTTTTTAGATCCATCTCTACAATATCGCTTTTCTATTACTTCCTTTATAAAGACGGTCGCCACAATGTGGGGAACTTGGCCCACGTTCTCTTTTATTTATTTGCAGGTATTTAGTAATGTTTATAATAAAACGATATTGTATCTTTGGTAATGTATTTGGATCTCTGGATTTTCTTTATATGTCAAACAGACAACCATCAAACAGTTATTCTTTATCTGTGGTAAGGAGTCTAAAATCTGCCTCATGAACAGTGGTCGGAATTAGGTAGAGTTATTCATGTACTTACACTGATTTCATACAGCGAAAGAATAAAGTGGATATGCCTCAAATCCCGAGATTAATTTTAAAGAGTAGAAAAAATCCCGTGATTTTTTAAATAAAAAGTTATTTACTTTTACACAATTTAAACTACTGCACGCACGACGTTGCCAAACTTACATCAATGAAAGAAGATGAAAGTAGAAGAAATAATGAAATAAAGAAATCCCGGGAAGGTCCACATTAATATCAACATTTCGATGCAAGTACATAAATAACTCTACCTAATTCCGACCTCTGCTCATGAAACACCTTCTATTTTTTAGTAGTCAATTATATCTATCTAGAGAAAGCCCTGCCAAAACTATTTTAAAGTGATACTCTAACTATATACATCGCTTTGTATGCCCGGACCTGTTTCATTTTTTTTCGGTAAACAGAGTATCTGCAAAAATGACGACTATGGTGAGGTATTTTAAAACAATTTTATTAAAAATTCGATACGAGTAAGTAGCGATATTTTTCATTCAATACCGAATAGATGTCGATATTTCATCTCTGATACGGTATTCAGTAAAAGTATCGTTTGGTATCGTTCATTCCTAGTGATGCGATATGATTTAAGCGGATTTAGTGAGGAAGTATTTAAAAAAGAATAGTTCCCGAAATCAAGACAGTACATATCTAAAATTATTTTTAAAACTTAATAAACAATTCATATTCTATTTGTCCTTTTTCGTATTTGTATTGATATCTAAGTTAAGAACTTTGCAAATTTCAGTTTTTTTATATGTTAGTTAACAGAAACGAATCTTTGGTCCATTCGTTTCCTGCAAAAATCAACTTTTGATAGAGTTGCCGTCTAGTGAGGTGTTTTTTACTGCTTTGTTTTTTTTCTTAAAATACGTCCTCATTCAAACGTTTATCATATCAATAAAAATGGCTGCACAGTCCCTTGATCACATTATGAATAGTAGATATTAGACAAATAAGTGCAGCCTACAGAGGGCCCCCGATGGGCTTAGTCCGCCAACCTATAGGAGACAATTTTTTTTTTAAGTGGTTTTAGTATTTATATAATAGGTAACACTAAAAATATTAAATGTGAAAAGCTTAAAAAAGAAGGTTTTGTTTATTTGCTCGATATATTTTTTTCCAATAATTCTATACTCATATTATAACGAGGAAAAATTTGATTGCTTGTTTTTTGCATTGAATAGACTCTGAACCTATTGGACCGATTTATAAGTCTTTCATCTATGAGAAGCTACATAAAACGTGTTTAACATAGGGTATCATTTACCCAGGCGAAGCCGCGTGGAAACATCTAGTTCTATAGAAATTGGTTAAAAATTCAAGAAGAAATCTATTGACAAACCTACTTTCATAAAAAATATACACACTCCTTGAACAAAGAAAATCCTCCTTTCAGATTTTGAATAAATTTCATATCCAAATACGTAATCTTTTGTTTTAAACTGAAATACACGAAATATCATGTAAATATTTAGTTAAATATATGGTGAAATAAAAAAGGAAAACTACTGATTCAATATCGATAAAATATAAATGGGATCGCCTTGTTCCATTAACACAAAAAGAATTTTTAAAATCAGTCAACAATTGACGTAAATATAGGTATACACACATAATTGAAACATACATGAAAAAACATACATCGTCGTCGAGTATTACCTCCTCCATTTGGATTTTTAGCCGGATAAAAATATCCAATATATATCATTTATATGAAAAGCTGCGATTTTCATATGCTTTCATTTTTTTATTTCAGCTTTATATAATTTCTGGTCTTTTAAAATGAAGAAATTTCTCGTAAGTAAGATTGCTACTTAGAGCCAATCGTAGATCGGGAACGTCGGGTTGGTTAATTTTCTGGCTGATACTCAATACTCAAACTAATAATAAATATTATAAATGATATCCATCAACATAATGTATCGATTAATTCACTCGTTGATATATATCATGATATATTTATCAGTGAACCCTGACTAAAACACATGAAACAGATCAATATAATCTTAAATGTTTTCTGCTAAGAACGCATCGCTTTATCATTGCTTTTTTGTTGCTTATTGATTCGAATTAACTCTCGGGTCTTCCGGCTTCCTAATGTACTGGAGATTTTGAGGTTTTAGTAAGTTTGTCACAGAGGTTCAATGAAACAAAACCGAAGTAGGTTTAAGAGGTAATAAAAGTCGGTGCTCGATGACGACTTCGAGGGTTCGTTTTGGTACAGAATAGAATAGCTGTTCCGTTGAAGTAATATAGTAATAAGAAGTTACCATATCATCAACACACCTGTTGATGACTATATTGTAAAGTTGAAAAGAAAAGGAAATAGGACGGAACTACTACAAATGGTTAAATTTTTCTACTCTTAAGGGAATTGTATAATTATAATGAAGATTTATAATTTGTAAAAGATTAAAGATTATGCGTTATATTAGGTAGTAATTTAATTTTAATTAATGTATAGTTTTTATCAATATCGGAAATGACGATTTCAATACTCATTTTTAATTAGCAATGGTTCGATTGCATAAGCTCTCATTTCTCTCAAATCTACATCGCTGAACGATACACAACTATGAGAGAGAAACGTTCTTGCCATCTATATAATATAAGCTCCGTCCGCAGTTCGGACGTTGCACGCTCGTAAACGCAAGCGAGCATCGCGGGCATTGGCACTCACATGTCGGACGTAAATTCCTTAGCCTGCGCACGATGATACTGTTAAAATAAACAAAAGAGAACAAAAAAGCGGGAAAATAAATCAAATTTTTATGTAAGTCTTCGACTTCTAATAAAGAGCTTCTAGTGGAATAATGTTATAATGATTTTTTTATAAGTAAACTGGAACCATTCACTGATATCCTTCACAAAATCAAGAATGAAAATGATAAAGGACGGTTTTTGTTTTATATACCAACGTTTTTTTCTGGTAAGTTTAGTATATTTTTTGATTATTTTCACAATTTTGCCACTAGCTTAGTGCCAAATAAAATAAGGATATTTTTGTATTTATCGAGAACATAAAATTCATTCAAGAAATTTAAAAAGGCATGGGTGATATTCCGAGAACTGTGTGATGATGTCAGTGTGCATGTAGGCAACTTCGTTTGATTCATAATGTGCTTTTTTAGCGTATAATTTTTTGATCCATAACTCGTAGTTTTATATTAATAGGGTTGAATTAAATATTTACGATTTATTAGTTTAATTAATGTGTTAGCAATACTGCACATAAACATATTAAAAAAATACTTATCTGCACAAGAAGTTTGTTAATTATATTTATTACAATTAACGGGTGCATACCTATTTAATAAATAATATAAGATACATTATAGGATTATTTGACGAATTTTTAACAAAAAGTTTTTAATAAATTCTTATAATGTTGTTTAGATCGACAAGTTTTATTGTAGAGTTCTATGAATATTCGAAATATTAATATCGACAAGTTTTATTGTAGAGTTCTATGAATATTCGAAATATTCATAGAACTCTACAATAAAACTTGTCGATCTCTCAAATTCAATATATTTTTCGATTCAAGCCAGGAACTCGTGCTTTGATCTTTATGAAGGACTTTTCATTTATGCCCCTGGGCTGGATTGAGGTCAAGGATGAGCCTATTATTAATAAAAAAGCACGACTCTGAACTTCATCTGATTTGAATTTATGGTGAACTTGCGTTATACTAGATATCAATTATTTTTTGAAACTAGATATACATGCCTAGATATTTAATTTTATTCTCAAAGAATTATATTTGGCTCTCAAGTATTTTACGAAATAAATATGTTTTAAAAGTGAACGATAGAGTCAACAAAACATGACGGATATACATACAATAGTGATGATTGATTGTGTGTGTATGTAAAGTCAAATGGTCCTTACCTACTACCTAAATTTACACAGTATATACTTATGTAATTAATTAATCTCATGTACGTGGTGTGATTGGTGAAGGTGTAATTAAATACAATTTTGTCTTTTAAAAAAATATTCTAGTATACAAGCGGCTGCACGTTAGGCTACCACAATATGTCAAATCTCAATTGATTTTGAACTATTGTGGTTTAAAATCAAGTGGATAGTTTTGTAGAGCCTGACGTGCTGTCGACTGTATCACACAACCTATAACCTATCACCTAAAATGCCGCACATTTGCATCATTGCAGTTATTATTACGAAACTATCTTATTTATCCATTGTTGGATTTCGGTTGCAGCGTGTAGCAACCGCGTTAATACTTTGCACTGAAAATTGACGTCACACTGGCGAAATTAAGTGGCAAAAGTTTAGTAATTAATCAAACGGAAAAATGACGGCTATTAAAAATATTGCTGTCTAATCTAAGGTTATAAAAAAGGAAAAAATTGATTGTTTATTTTTTCGTATCGAATAGGCTCCGAAATTATCGAAGTCGTAGAGAGCAGGGTTTCCCAATCTTTCTTGCGTAGGGGCTCCCCGACTATAAAAAATAAATATCCACTGATTCTTTATTTGAATCTTAAAATAAATAAACTATTGTAAATGTTTTCGTCTAAAAAAATAACAGAAGTAATATTGGCCGGTTTCTGAATTGAGAAAAGTACAAAATCTCAACCGATTATTTTCTATAACTTAAATTTTTATTTTTCATAAAATAATAAAATCAGAAACAAAAACCAGTTTCATAACCCTCTGTCCATCCAAATTACAGTATCGCAGTAGTTTCGTAATATAAAATTATATATAATTGTTGATTTTAATGTTTTGTCTAAAATAACAAGTTTAATCTAAAAGCGCTCAAAGCTGTCACTTAAGTCGTGCACGTGTCCGACCGAATGTTCGGTTTCGGTTGAGTTTCGGTAAAAAAACAAGTTTCAGTTTCGGTGGCAAACCTGCCGAAACTAAAACCGAAACCGAAATGCATTCTCGCCCTGTGATTGATCATATTTGACGCAGAAATTTCCAATTGCGAACGAAACAGTGAGTGGTACTTTTATTTTTTTTTATCAATGTGTTTCGGCCGAAACTGAAACCGTTGCCGAAATTCGGTTTTGGTTTCGTTTGACAATACCAGTTTTGGTCGGACACTACAGCCAATAGATGTAGTTCAGTGGATAATAATCAATATATGAACAGTAATTACCTTAGTAATGAATAGTTGTAGCGCAGCTGTTCAATTAATAATCAATAGCTGTTTGTTTGTCTTGCTAAACTCAAGATTTAGCTGATTTTGAAATGTCTGTCGTAGTCCAGGGAAAGTTATAACGGGGAGAGGTGATACGAAGTACATTGCGTCATCTAGTCTAATATACCGGGTGTTACAAAAATACCCGTTATAGCTGAAGGGTGTTGAAGTATATCATATAAACAGTACTCTGACAAATTTTCAAAACCTTTGCATTAACTTTTAACTTTCAGTAAAAAGGCTAATTTTTAATAATTAATAAATACATCGAGTGTGCTATGTCACATCACTATTTTAGGTTAATGACCTTACCAGGAGTAATGGCACACTACCTATCTCCTATGTTTTCTAATTCTTTTTTCTATTCTCCTAGTACACACCCACACATACACACTAAGAATGAGAGAGAAAATATACTTCAAAACATGTCTGCGTTTGCCAGTTTACACAGTAAATACTTAACCTATTTCGATCGAAAATAAAATGAAAAGAAATTAAATAGGAATCAAATCATTGGCAAAATGGTATGGTAACCGACGCTGTTCAGCCGGTAGTCTAATTTCAGTAAAAAAAATTATAATACATATTATTATCAACGCGCACATCATTTCATAGCATCGTTTCCGACTCAGCTGTTTCTGAATTACAGATCAAACACCATTTTAAGTAGTACCTATTTATGATAGATAGGTAAAATTTATTTAAACACTGATATACGAGTGTAACTTTTAGTTCATACTTTAATGGTCCGACAAATCTGATAGATATTACGATAATAAAAAAAAATATGATATGCGACATAATTCACAAACGATTTTGGCGTATTTAAAAATAAATATTTGCGAATTACTATTTGTACTTTACCTTTTCACTTCCTTATTCACTGTTTCAGCATTACTTGTGAGGTTCACTCACCTACACTTTATTAGGCACTTAATTTTATTCCACAAGAAAAAACTAAAGATCGCGGCCAACCTCTGGTTCACTGACGTTTCAGTATAATTACATCTTTTCAAAATAGTCTCAATTTATATCAATACAACACTGCATCCCATGTAACACTGATAAAAGCACTTTTCATAGTACTCGGAATTAGAGAACACGGACATTTTCGAAACGTGATCACATCGACGACGTATGAACAACTGAATAAAGAAAAAGTGATAAAAAGGGAAAGCCGCCAATTTGAGTCCTTTATTATAAGCCGCTGCATAGTGTGCGGCATGTCAAAGGCGCACAGAAAGGTACCTATAGTTCCGCAATTAAATCTGAGAAGTAGTGGGATAGGGTTGCCATCTTCTCTTATTAGATCGGAAATTTTGTCCTTAAAGCCGGACTAAGTCAAATCTCACGCGAAGCCGTAAAACAATATTACCGTAGTAGACAGTAATATTAGTTCACGGCTTCGCGGAGGTTACTGCCTAGTTAAGCAAAAATCACTAACTTTCAATTGATTTTGTAGTAAGACGTAACACAAATAAGCGTTAATTAAAGATAAGATAACTTCATCATAATTTTAACGCTTTTATCACAGCCAAAACGTGAATTCATAAAATAAAGCTTGATCGTAACATCAAAACTGCACAACCTATTTTGAAAAAGGTTTTTTTTTTATAAAGTAATTTCGGAGACTATACGATGCAAACAAACTAACGATTTGTATTCAAATTTCGCAAATACCCGTGCAACACTGCGTCTTTTTGGGTATTTGGGTATTTGACGTTTTTCGAATTTGTGTGTATTCATAGTTTATTTGATATAGCTTCGGCACAGGTATACCAAAAACCTATGAAAACTATACCGCCGGACATGTGACATTAACATTTAGCTGCACACAATCTAAAAAGTCAAACATGTCCCGCTAAAGACGAATAGATGACAACCCTTAGACAGGCGGCAATGTTAAAGTTTGAGCCTAAACTTCTAGTTGCCTAGTACCGAGGTGATCAACATTTTATTGTACAAATTAAAAAAATCGTCGCAGGACATTGTTGCAACTAATTTTTTTACATACGTACGTAAGTACATAATACGTATTAGGAATTGTTAATTGACAAAGTTTTTGTAAATTTTTATTGTTGTTGATAAGATAGTACATGGTTGTATTTTTTGTATTTACAAATTTAAACGTTGTTAATGTTTGGTAAAGACTAGTTTAAGTGAGAAATGTGATATACTTTCACGCTGCACCTGCAAACGAGCATGCTTGGCTCAGTCTGTAGAGAGGAAGTAGCATCGACTATCATAAGACATCGTTAAATAAATAAATTAATGTATTTCGTGGGCCGTAGTAATCTGCATACAATCGACATACCTGTTTAAAATTTTAACTCATTTTATACACCTTTTCTATTTTGAACTATTTTTCAAATAAATGACCATTTGTTTGTTAGCTGTGTCGGTCGTTTTAGGGCTTTTTCTATTTAAGGAAATAGGTAAACAGTACATAATAAAACGTCTCATTCATTTTCATTGCTTACAGCATTAAAACAGTGAATCCTATACTCTGATTCTAAAATTCAGTTGAATAGCCCACAGTAATAAAATAGATAATAAATTAAAATCCGTACCAAATGTTTACTACTACCGTATCTAGCGTCAAGTAGTCACTCGCGCGCGACATCACACAAACACGAACGATAATGTTTCGTTTCTTTCTCTCTCTCTCTTTCCCTCCCTCTCTATCTCTATTTTACGTCATTGTACACTCGGGGGAATAAGTGAATTTGTTTTAGGCTCGATTTTACCGATTATGT